TCCAATTTAGTTGTGTTTCGTTGAATTCGAATTGAATCAAAAAAGGCCATTAAAAAAAAATGTTAACAGTCACATTATCAGAGTCATGTTACACTCACGCAGAAATGAGAGGGAAAAGGGATTGAAAAAAGATTAATTACGTTACGATAATTATCAATGTTATGATTACTGATTGAATGATTGAATAATTTAACTGACGTTACGTTGTATCATACGCATTTCTGTCACTTTATTTTCTATGCACACTTTCTGCAATGGCAACAAGCATGTGGAACATCGCATATGACATGCAATAAATTGACACAAATATTAATTGCCATGTATTACTATTATTGTGCAACAAATAGAAAACTCTTTTCCGCCTTTCGCGTGCTTTTTCCAACTGGCATGCAATTACACATTTCGGTCAGTTGATACACTATCCAAAAAGCTAATGAGCATTCTTTGCAAAAAAATAAAAACAAATCATACTCAAACACATGACAACGATACAGACCTGTAAAATGAATGAACATAGCACAATGGAAAAAATACAAAGTTGATTTACTTTTTATTTCACTAAATAAAGACATCATACACTATTATCATTACCTTCAGTTCATTGCACCGGACATAGATTCATTCAACGAAACAACATATTAAATTTAATACAATCACTCCCACAATATAAACAACAAATAAAATAACATAAGAAGTACATACACCCGAGTGGATGCGATTAGAAAGATTTTTCAATTTCATACTTTTACGCAATTGTAAATTGAGTGTATAAATTGAAGTACGTATAATCAATAAGTTGACAAAATTCATTATCTGTGTACGGTTTTCATCCTTTCATCTACTGAATATGTGTCATTACAACCCATTGTAATCAGTCATTATTTCATATATGAGTTTGGATTTCATTTTCATTATCACAACAAATATGTTTTATGTGTGCAAGCGCCTATCTATAGACGTGTGACGAAGCGCTTCATTTGTAAATCAGTTTTCATCTGTATTGGTGGTTTAAAACCCAGTAAAAAGTAATAAAATGACACATTTAATGAAGAAGAAACTTGCCGTTCTTTTTTCAATCAAAGAAAAAAATGGCAAAAGATTTTTATGAATTACTAACAATGATGATTAATTACTATAAATACCAAAAATAGTAACTGCAGAAGATTAAGTGTTGAATACAAAATATGGGAAAAGTATGACAATTGGTCTCGGAAATGTATTCAACCTTTCAAAAGTTTTTTTTTTTTTTTGACAAAATATGTGCACATTGAAAACATTCAAATCATTTCATATTCATTTGTATAACTAACAGCTATCAAAGGGAAAGAGATTCCAATTATAAGTGAATCGTATCAAATTTGTGTTTTAAATGGCGAATAAATGTCTCATTGATGATAAGATCCGCCACTATGACCTACCGAACACTTTGATAATTTCATTGTTGCCACTTTATCTAATAAGAAAACGAATAAAATTGCGTTGTTTGCATTTCAATGATGACCCAAACCGCCAACACATTTACGCTTATGATTCATTCTTCATAAAAAGTTGTTTTTGTTGGACTCATCAATAATTTTGAGTAAATTCCAATGAAAATAATTATATCGAACCGAGAAAATGGAATTATTTGAGTCGATCAAAAAAATGAATTGTCCAAAAGCTCTGTAAATCCCAGCATTACATCAAAATCTCATCAATAAGCATTTTCTAACAATCATACTTAATTGATTAATAATATAAAATTCATCATATTATTTCTGATCTGTTTGAACGCTTTCCATAGATATTTTTTTTTTGTGAGTTTCATGTTTACATTCTGATAACGTTTATCTCAACTGTTTAAAAAAAAACAGTCTATTAAGCTGTATGGTTGTATTTTAAGAAAACAATAAAGAATGCAAGAGAAACTAAAAAAAGCACACATCATTTTGATTCTCTCTCTCGCATTTCACAAAGCGAGATATCGAAATGACTTTCTTTGCTGCAAATTAGTCTACGAGTTCATGATTAATGTTGAACAAAACGGTTCATCTAGAAAAACGTGAGTTGAATATAATGGGAACATCAAATGAATGTGTTCATTAGTGACGAAATCTAATATATATATAATTATCAAAAAAGTCGAATGGATACAAGAATTGCTTGTGAAAAGCGACCAGAAAAATATGTGCGACTCAGTTTTATTCATGTTGTTCAACAACGACTTTATCTTTCTTTCGGTCATTTTCTAAAACAAAATTATACAACAACATAAAATTGAGGTTGATGTATGTACACATGTAAAACAACGAAATTTCGCTTTGCGGCTAGTGTACATTCCTGTGATTTTCCATCCACCGTAAAATATTTGAAAAGAAAGTTGTCCATTCTCTAGATAAATTTGTTTGAAATATTTGCTACATTTTAACTACGAATTTTCTGAAGAAAATTGTTGACGATGCAAAGCAATAAAGTGATTAATTTTGGTTTTGTCCCCTTTCTCTCTGCCAAAGTGAAGAAAAGGCAAATAACATAAGTTCAGTTTCGACTATTGATACAATGAGATAAAGTGCCTTTCTGAATAAAAAAAAAAGTCTCGACGAGGTAAATTCTATTTTTATTGTTGTTTTTAGACTGTTTCGGATTCAGTGTAAAAAAAAGTTTGGATGTATATTTTGTTTTCGTTGTATCGTAATCCGCGACTGGATCACAAGCAATTCACCAAATACTTTGGTTTTGAATTAAATCTAAAAGATTTCTACATAACTGCCCATATACTTGGTAGACATATACTTACATACAATAGCAGCCCATACATCGACTAATCTGTTCACGTAAGTCGATGTGCGGTGTTGCTATTCTCACACACTGGACATATAAGTCATTCATAACCTTGAAATATTTTTGAGGCAAAATACGAGAGAATAAGCGAATGCGCGCGCTCCCGCACATACAAACACACACACACGCACACACACATACGCATAGTACAATAACACTTGATACAATTTTTCAACTGAATTTTTTGACGATTGGAGCGTTACAACAATAGAATGCGCGCAGTAATACGAAAGGTTAAAGTCCTATAGATGGCAGATGGTAGATGGTTGAAAGAGATGGAACTAACGGTAGAGAGAGAGAGATAGAGAGAAAGAGAGTGTAAGAGAAATAAAGACGCTTGACATCAATTTCTTTCCACGGCAATGACAATTCTATACAGACGATACGGCTATGTGTTTCATCACGTTCGGTGCTTTTTTTGGACGTGAATGCTTTGTTGAATATAATGTCACAACTAAAATCCAAAATATGGTACGGCATTTTGCTAAAAATGATTCGTCTGCAAATCAGAAGCATAAGGACCGGCAATCAAGCTACATGCAATACAAACTTCTTATGTTTGGGAATTCGTTCTCTTTTTGTTCGTCGATGTTTTTATACCGCATCTGCTGTTGATGATAATAGAATATGATGTATTCAATCTAAATGCACAGCCAATCGATATTTATCGGCAACCCTTTATCACTTTTGTAACAATGACCTAACTTCGAATCGATTTTCTAAGCGCGCACATTTTTTCATGCAATGTGTGTCATCTGTCATGTTTCCGGTTATTCGTTTTCCGTCTATGTTAAATAATTTACGCCATTCAATGGAATAATGATGATTATTTGATGATTTTATTATGTGTGTGTTTTTTTTAAGCCATTATTTTTTCGATTCGGTCTTTTTAAAATTATTTTCGACGTAGAATATAAAGACATTGGCGATGCAAAGAACATTGACTTTGTTATTTGTTTCGGACATATCAACAGCGAGCCGCGTAGAAAGAAAATACGATTTTTTCGGTCGATTACTTAGTTATTTACATCAGTCAATGAAATCGAACAAAACTAACTTGATTGCATATCTTCATTTTTTTCGTGCATAGCATTGAAAGTGCTTGGAAGATTTGCACGCCAAGTGCGTCAAAAACATTGAATGCGACAAACTTCGTAAGAAAAACAGTGACAGCAAATAAAAAAAACGACACCTAGACATGAATTTTTGAACGTAAAATAAATAACCTGCACTGTACACCACAGTGAATAGTCGAACAAATTCGAATACAAACAATATCTGTGCATAATATACGTAATGCCACTCTATAAAATACTGTACACAGTAATATTGCGTATCGTAAAGATTGACGTCGCTGTAGCCGCAGCAATTTCATCGGTTCATCCCTGGGCTTCGTTCCATTTAACACGTTTGCTTCTCTCTATCTCGTTTTATTGTCTCACCAAATGTCAAAGCATTTTTTTCGTGTTTTCAAACAAATATTTGCAATTTCTAGAGAAAATGTGGACGCTGCTTTGGAATTCATGTTTTCAATAAATTCCGTTGTTCGTCGCAATCGTTTCGAATGAAACTAAGCCCTGCTGTGTATAATACGTGTTCATATATGCACAAGCACCGCACATTATTGCTGTATAGCGTTAAGCTAGTATTACAGTGGTACGTCTGATAAAATTAATGCCTATTCCATTCGTTCGACGGTGTGTTTTTTTCCTCTGCCGTAGCGTATCCGACGCCTGTGTATGCATGTGGTATCTTTCAATGTGTTTTATATCAAACAAATTGTATCACGCTCGTTTGTATGTGTGCAAGGTCAAATACCCTATTCAATTCAAGTCGTAAATCAGATCTTTTTTTTCTGTTGCGCTGTCTTTGTTGTATTATGGAAACATGACTTAATTTCGATGTTCTTTTATGTGTCTTTTCGAATAAATATCGGTGGCTTTCCTTTCGTGAGCTTTACATTTTCTCGATTGAATATCTTTCGTCCGTCGACATTAGAATGAATGAGTAAAGGTTGTTGTTACATTCAACAAAAGTTCGACATTGACTGAGTACAATGCGCCATACAATCATTAAATTCGAAGAGAAAAGCCAATAATTTTCTTCTTTTTATATAAATCGTTTTATATTTTGATTGATGGCTCTAATTTGCGAAATTTGTTTTTTTTTTTCGGTTTTAGATCGAAACGACTGACAATGGGTCCACACCAAATCATGAAAATTCGTGTCCGTCCTCGTCGAGCGAGACATCGATAGCACCAAGTACTTCCGACGCAAAAATGGAAAAGAAGGTCACAAGTTGTTGCGACGATAGCGATACACTGCAGGCGACAGTCGCGACAGTTGGTAGAAGTCCGAAAAATTCGGACAATCTGATGATGGATGATGAACCGTCGCCTATTGAAATGGAATCGTTGCAGTTACCATCATCGTCGACTGAAGAAACTAACGGAGCAACTGACATCGCTAACGAAACAATGGAAAAAGACGTCGATGCGAACGAGGCATTGACCGATACACAGCCGCGTGTCGTTGATAACAAAAAGGATACTAAAGAAGAGTTTGTTGACTGTACGGCTGATTCATCGAGTGTTATTAACAAATGCAAATTATTGGCGGCAACTGACGACAATATACTCGCGACTATGGATATTGCAAATGTTGAAAAAACACCTGGTGGATCAATAACAGTAAATGTGTCCGATTTAATAATACCTGAATCGAAAATTGAAACTAAAACTGAAATTGAAATTGAACCTGAACCTGAACCAGTTGAGGTTGCGCTTCATTCACTAGAGCAGGTGTCAGAATCAAAGCTTGATGGAAACAAAAACAATTCCACTGACGAGGAGACTACACCGATGAACAATGATGTATGCAATGCAAATAGTTCAAGTTCAAAAAGTGATACAAATTGTGTAGAAGAGCACTGTGATAGCGTTGTTAAATCGGCAATGGAAGACAATGTCGAAAAGATATCAACTGTAAAGCATGACGAAATCATTAATACAAATGCTAATTCGGATGCAAAAACAGATCAATTAGATAGTTCAGATAGTGAAATTGAACAAATTGATAATAATAGTTCAGCCGAACAAAATTTAACGGAAAATGGCTCCAACGATTGTGATAGTAGTGATATTTTAGAAAAAAACAAAGTTGAATTGGATGAAAACAGTGCAATAAGTGCTAATTACGCTTGCGAAATGGATAAAATAGATGAAAAAAGTTTGACGGACAAATGCGATACAAACGTGGAGCCAAGCAATGTAAAAAGTCCTGTAGCAAGCAAACAAATTGAAACTGAAAGAATTCAAATCAATGTACAAAATGATGAGTTATCCTCAGCTGAAGAATGCACTGAAGAAAATGACAAACAAGTTAAAATGGACATTGACCCAGAAACAGTGGCTACTAAAGAGAACAATGAACAAACACTCAATAGCGAGCAACCCAAGTATACTTATGATTTAAACGAATGTGTTTCATCGCCTGAAATTGCTCCAATCGGTTTCAAAGATAAATTTAAGAAATCTTTTGAGATTATGGAAAAATCAAAACAAGAATCACATTTAGTCGATAAAATTGTCGAAAAAATAAATGACCAATCAAATACAAATGTTTATAATGACATCGAATCATCGAATAAAGTGAATGAAGTTGAAAATGATAAAAATACCACGTCAACATCAATCCCATCCTATCAAAATAAAAACGATCAAACAATGGCCGCATCTAATGATGTATGCAACTTGACAACGGAATCCAAAATGAATTGTAATTCAACCAATGAGAAAACGATAAGCCCGGAAAATGCAATTATAATACCAAGTAAATCCATTATACATTCCCATTCCACTCTTAATCATCCAAAAGAGCAAACACGTACTGATCACCAAGTTTGTGATATCAAAGCTCCGGCACCAATTGAAACGCGAACCATTATCATATCGCCACAAAACAAAAACCGATCCGATTCCCATCAGAATGAAAACAATGAACCGAAGACAATTTTTGCGCCGGACTCATTATCGTCAAAATCATCAGGCAGCTTATATTGCAACAATCCAGATTTTTCAAAATCACTTCGTCCATCATTGCATGATTTGAGCGGATTGAAAATGAAAACGCCCGACTTCAGTAAAATTGCACGATCATCGGAGCTACATGTGCCTAATCCAGATTTCACGAGAGCATACGATAAACTTGATACTCAACGTCAATCGCCGCATCAGCCCGATGTGAATCCAAGCAATTTTGCTGAAATTAGTAAAAAGTACAATTACATTAGTGACCTGCAATTAAAAAATCCACAACCAACAACATCGAAACCAACCAATGAGCCAACACAATCACAACCAACGTGTTCATCGTTATACGTTCGGACGCCCGATTTCACAACTAAATTACGAACAAATCAAACGGACAATGAATCGGAAGCATTAGAAGAACCAACACCGCATATTATAAATAAAAATATGTATCGACCACATGCGGATAGTTCAAGTAAATCAAGTGCTTCGGCTCGTTCAACACCAACTAATTCGCAAGTTTCAGATTTTTCGCAAGTTTCCGAAGATATAACAATGTCTTTAGTGCAACACGCTACTCAAACGAAAGTGTTACAATCAAAAGCATCTGCCCCACCAAAACCGCCTACACCAGTGCATCGAATGGATTCGCGAACTGTATTAAATGCATCATCGCAACAGCCGCCGTTGTCAATGCCACTGCCATCACCGCACATATACTCGCCGAAATCACTTGAAAGACCAAATTCACAAAACTACTATCCACATGGTGTTCATCAAACGGAAAAAAGTCTAACAAATTTACAAAAGCTCTACAATGATGATTTATATCAACGAAATATGGCCGCATCACCAGCTCACCACCAATATTCAACACCTGCAGCACATGTATTCCATCACAGAGATATGCAAATGGCAATAGCACCAAGTCAAAAAATGCAACACGCCTACGAACAATATCATCAAAATGAAAAAGTGACGATGCCGAAGAGTGCTCAACCGACATTAGACACAAATGTGATGCGTTCATCGAACGATGCTGCATTATATGCGAGACCAGCGTCAACGAATATGCTTTATCATGAACAAAATCGTTTAAAACCAATTCATTCAGCATCTGAAATGCATCCATCCAGTAGTAGTCATATAAATACCTTTAATTATTCAACTGGAAGGCCCGCATCAGCATTAGCATCAACATCAGCATCGGCAACTATGCACGGCATGAACAAGCCGCCAACTGATTTTTATAATCAAATGAATCCGCCGCACAAATGGGCCGGCCAAACTCGAATCACACAAAGTCCAATTTCATCGGCTCCATCGCCACACAGCATAAGCCACCAAAATGCACGCATCTCACAAAGTCAAAGTCCAATTAGTGCAAGCCCATTGCCATATCAAATGCAACGACAGAGTCCTAGCAATCCACAATATCAATCACCACACACTACACCGTCACCATCTCCATTTGGCTACTCTCCCAGTCCACTACATGTTAAATCGAACAAAATTCCAACAAATGCACCACCAAACAACATTCCGCCACAAAGTGAGTCACATTTTATAATGTTAAATTATGCACCATTCGTATTAATGAAAATGACTCATATTGTTTTTGTTTCATTTTTTCTTTTATTATTATTTCAGAGAAACATAATGACTATGCTCTTCCTATTGCGAATGCAGCTGATAAAAAGCAAATATCAAATATGTTGACCGATTCAAAAGTGAAAGACAGTGGTCGATCACATGATTCACGTGAACAATACCAACAACAAATGCCAACTCATCATCGACCCTCTGCATCCAGTCGAAATTCCACAAAGATAGAAACAAAGTACACAGATCGTCATGATTATAAACGTCCGAATACAATTCTTGATCCGTATGTTTTTCGTCAAGCATCTGACACTGATGTTAACTATCAAATCATCAAGAAAACGCTGAACAAGGAAATACCAACGCCTTCATTCAATCGTAAAAATGCTGATTTGAATGCAGGCCTATCATTGTCATCACGCATCAATACACATGCACATCTACCGCAAAATACAAGCGAAATGAATGTTGTGCGAAAAGACAAACCGACGACCGAAGCAAGATTAGTGTATTTGGATTCAAAACAACCGCATGAAATCTACCAGGAAAAATTGGCAAAACAAAATGAATTGAATAAATTGCAATATCCATCACATACTTCATTCCATTCGGGTCAACCGATGGAAAATCATGTTAACTATGAGACAAAAACAACAGCACCAACACATTCAACATCGATGACTAATCATCAATATGCGGTACCAACAAATCATCGACAGTCAAAATTATTAAATCATGGTTCAACACCTGAACCAAATCACGTGCCTTACGAAACACCTGTACGTCCAAAATTGGAAACAAGAAAGGAGAAATCAACGCCTGCTGCTATACAGCAGCAGCAGCAGCAGCAGCAGCAGCAGCAACAGCCCACCAATCTTTCAGTGAACGATGTGTCTAGTTCGAAATCTTCATCGGCAACATTGTTCGGTCCGAAACGTGAATCGCCACTCGATTTATCGGTAAAAACAGTTAAAACAAAAGCTGACTCGACCGGTGTTTACGATTACAGTCTTCCGTTGAGACGGCCGGATACCATTCCACCATCGCTAAAAGTCGATTTTTCACCAAACTTCTCCAATTCATCACCCGATCCAAATGTGGCACGTGCAAATAGCGCTAACTATCGGCCACAAAATCGATCGGAAACTCTTCCGCCGGTTCCAAATCAAATGGTGAATATGATCAATCATGTAAACCATACACAAATTAGTTCACAACTTCCAATTTCACAAGCAAACTATACACAAATGGAACTTCACCAGAGGCATCAATCTCAATTCAATATGAATATTGATCCAGCTGTACGATATAAAGCTCCGAATATGGATAATTGTTTACCGTATCCACCGACAAAATCCAGTTCACGTGTTGCACCGACACCAACATTGCCACCAACATCCATTGAACAAAAGGCACGTAAAGACACAAAAATGCCGACAATTTTCGGCCAAAAACCTGAAGAATTGAAAAATTTCACTCCGGATAATCGGGCATTCCAAATTGATGCAGGCAATAAACATAATTTGGAAGGCACAAGCTCAGCAACATATAATAAAACTGGTGGTAAAATGGTTAACCCACCATCATCAAAATACAATTCCAAAGAAAAAGAATTAGCATATCGTGCTAGTGGCTATCCAAATATTCAATCAAATCTTGTCAATCGACACGGTGAATTTCCAATTCAAAATGAAAGACAATCGGAAGTAATCCAATTTGTATCGCATCCACGTTCACAATCGCTGAATCGGCAATCAGAAACAACAACGATTGCAACAACAACGACCACAACAACAACAGCAACAACTGAACAACATAAACAATTACCCTATCCACCGTATAATCATTTTGAAGCAACACAGCGAAATCAATCACAGCCGCCTGTATACAATCAGTCCCATCCAACGACTGAATACCCGATGCCGAGCAAAATGCACGACGAAAGATACAAAATGGGCCATCCGTTTATGGAAAGAGGTGATGCTCACTATGTGTCGGCCGCAAATGTGCCACAAAAACGACCGCCGGAAAATGGATTAATCGATCAAGTTCCTGTGAAACAGCCACGATACGATCACATTGACGATGTCAAATATCAACAATGCGTTAATAATTATCCATATTATTCACATCAAGATCGAAATATGCCAATATATGCACCGCAATACGCACCAAACACAAAAGTAAGCGAAAAATCAATAAGTACACCGGTTATTGTACAACCACAACATGCAATCGCCAATGAAGCCAAATATCATTATCCACCATATTCAAATATGAATAATGAAAATAAACGTGTAATGTCGATGCGTCCAAATGAAAACTATGAACAATCCGGTTCCAAAGTGAATACACAATCATTCCGACCGTCACAATATTATCCGTCAAATCATTATGTACCGATTGAAAAAGCGCCATCCTATGAAGATGTGGCCAAAACAAAGGCACCAATCAATACGATAAATACAACTGCTCCACATTTATCGCACAACAATGTTTATCCACAACCGCCATATCGACTAAACGAATGGCCACCAAAAATCGGAACCAATGAGCATCCCATTGGATACGGACAACGTCCATCTACCTATGAACAGAATCAACCGCAACCAAATCGATTTGAGTCGTCTGTCATCAAATCACCCGAATTTACAAAACTCGAGACCGTAGCCGTAGAAACGTTCCGAACTACAAACAGAAGCAGCAGTAGCAATAGCACCAGTACTAGCACAAATGTTGTCATCGCTCCCACGACCTCAACCACTAACACCAACAATAATACTAATGTACCAAAAGCAGTTGATCAAAGTGTGATTTCAAAACTTCGAAACAATTTAGAACTGAAGGAAATCGAAAAGCAAAAATTGTTAAAAGCACAAGCCACCAGTGATAATAAAGTTAGCGAAGACATCAATAAATCCGATCTGGCCTCTATATTAGCAGCACGAATTCGCACCAAAGGTGAACTGAAAGGATTTACACCAATACCAATTAGTGGCGCTGAACATCCGACAAAAGAGAGCCTGTCTGTGAAAAATACCGTTGAACCATTAATTGAAAACGAGAAAATCATATCAAAAGCTGATATTAAATTCAGTGATAGTTTGACTGGATTAGACTTGATGGACTGGGGCAGTACTTGCAATGATTTCTTAGAGCAACTACAAAGCAATGGTAACAAACAACGATCGAAAGCTCAGCGACGTTTTAGATCGGACGATGGCATTTCAGATAAAAAATCAGCGGATAGTTCAGCGAATTCAGTGAAATCCGGTGATAATTCAAATGGTGAAAAAGATAAAGTCATCGAACGACCAAATCTCAGTCAATCAAATTCACAGAACAACGATGAAACTTCAAGCGATGAGGATAAGCCATTGCTATTGTTGCGTCAACAGAGTTTGTGTGAAAGTTCGAAAATTCGTAAAAATGTATCGGGCAGCGATCGTGAAAAGGTGTCGCCAAATCGCAAGAAGAGCACATTGGAAAAACTGTCACCGAACAAACGAAATGAAAATAAAAAGCGTTTGGCTATCGATAGCAGTTCGGAAAGCGAAGAAGAAATTGATCGATATACGAAGCGATCAAAAAAAATGATACGAAAACCAAGAACACGATCTAGTATCAGTAATAAAGGTGGTGGCGGAGATGATGATGATGATTCAGACACAACAAGCATTTGTACACCAAATAAAAATACAAAATCACCGAAGAAACGAAATCGAAAAGAAAAATCATCATCTGAATCGGACATTGATGCGAATCGCAATTCAAAAAAGAGAAAATCACTGGAACTAAACAGTGATTCGGGCGAAAGTGATGATAATAACAACGATGATGATGATGATGATGATGATGATGATGTTGACAATGACGAGGATGAAGATAGCACAATCCTATCGACTCCGAAACATAAACGACCACAACCAATGGTAGTAGAAGAAACAATGACAAGATCGAAGCGAAAACGCGAATTAGAAATGGAAATAGCAAATAGCAAAGTATTGCGCAATGATAAATTAGTCAAATGTAACATGATTACGATTGAAAAACGTGACAACAAATCGTCGCAAGAGAAAAAACAAAATTCAAAATGTCCGGAGGAAAAAGGCAATGGAAAAGGTGGCGATAAAACGCCACGCTCAAAATTGTCTGATCAGAAGAAAAAAGCAAATGACAGCGATGCGGATGTAACACCGAAAAAATCGCATTTATTGAAAAAGAATCTGCGCAACAATAGACAACAGCAATCATCGTCGAGCGAAAGTGAATCATCGTCATCGGAAAACGAATCGAGTATAACTGAACGTTTGCGTTCGCGAAAATCAAAAATCAATAATCATGCATCCGATTCGGATGCAAATAAAGAGTCTCAAAGCGATAAAAACAAACCATGCTGTAGCAATTCAGTTGGTGAATCGGCCGATGAAAAACAATCGAATAAAAAATCGACCAAAAATACACCGAAGAAAACCAATACCGATTTGGATGTGAGCGAAGATAGTCGATCACAATTTCCGCCCGGTTGGGAAGAGCAAGCATATGAATACAAACGATCTCTCAAAATTCCCGCCCGATTGATTACAATTGGACGCCCATCATGGCATCAGCATCGCAAGTCCACATCGCTACCAGACTTGGATCCGCAGCATTCAAGTGATGCTTCTGAAACATTTGCCGAAATGAATAAAAAATCAACCGCAGCATCGTCGGCTAAGAGGAATAAATCAGGCAATAAAAAGACTGGCGACAATTTAAATTCGACGCATCATGACAGCGACAATGTAGCAACAAAATCAAAATCAATAATTGATCTGTTACATCAACGAGTTATTCGGCCAACTATTAAAAGTAAAAAAGCTCGAAATTTATTAGGACAAAATGAGCCAAAAATATTGCCACAATCAAATGAGGTTGAATTATTACCAACGCCTGTCCTTGAAGGCAAACCCGAAAATGCTTTCAAAAGTGAAAATGTATTTGAGACGGCCGTCTTGAAATCACGCACCCGAAAAGAATATAAAGCAATGAAAACACAAGAGATAATACGTGAAGTATTTGGTGGTGAAGATCGGCCCGCATCGGCACCTCCATATAATTATGAGATTGTACAACAGAAGATGCAACAACAACAGCAGCAACAGCAAGAACAGCAGCAGCAGCAGCAAATGCAACAACCGTCTAGCGAACAGCATCAAGAAGAAACACAAGAAAAGAAACCGTTAACCTTTGATCAACAATATCAGCAATATTTGGAAAAGTTGAATGTCGATTATGGTGAGAAAATACGAAAAGTGAAGAACAATGTAGTGGTGGCAAAGGGCAATGCCAATGATTCGGATCAATTAATATTGAAAACGGAAAAAGGGGATGAGGATAGTCTACTCAATCAGGACGATGAGAGTCATGACACCGAACTCAACGAATGTGACCGTACAATTGATGACAGCAAAGAAGGACCTTGCGATTCACTTGAGCGCGGCGATACACCAAGTATTATGTCCGAAGTTGAACGGGCAACGCCAACATCATTTGCCGGTGTTCTTAAAACAAAAAAGGGGCGCGGCAATCGATATGGACGACGCAAAGGTAGCTCAGGTATGTAAATATTGTAAATAAATTACAATACACAATTTGAATAGAAAAAAATTATTTTAAAAAATATTTTAAATATCTCTAGGTTTTGACTACATTCGAAAGAAAAAGAAACCATTGTCACAGCAGAATAATGCAAAAGACACACCGGTTTTGGTGAAGCGTCGTTCGGCTGCCGTAAACTTTTTGGAAATCAAAAATGAGAACGACATAATGCGTGAAATTCGCAGTTGGGTGCTGAACAAAGGTGTTGGTGAAAGTGTACTGCATAAAGCAGCACGTCTTGGTTATATTGATGTAGTTGTTTACTGTTTAGAACGATTGGAAATGACTCCCGATCAAAAAGATAATGCCGGATATACGCCATTGCATGAGGCATGCTCACGTGGTCTCACCGATATTGCAAGGGTTCTATTGCAATATGGTGCAAATCATTCGGAAACGGCTCATTCAGGCATTCGTCCACTTCATGAGGCCGTTGATAATGGCTATTTGGAAATTGTTCGATTGCTACTTTCGTATGGTGCCGACCCTCTTTTGGCTACCTATGCAGGTAATTTCAAAGTTGACTCCACTTTTGGTACAAGTAATAATAAAATATTTCGTATTATTATTTTTCTTAGGTCAAACACCGATTATGTTAGCTGAAGATGATGACGAAATGGTATCATTTCTCAAAAACTATTTAATTGATGTTCAAAACACCGGACCAAATAAAATGCCATGGAAATTTGATGGACCATGGAAAATAAATGGTAACATTTTTCACAACATATTTTAAAACAAACAAGAAAAAATAAAAATAACGAAAATCAATGTTATTTACAGATCCAGATAATGTCGGCTATAATGTATTTGATGATTTACCTTCTGAAGAAAATGAACCAGTGTCGAAACCAACAAAAAATCCACAAGAAGATAGCGCTGCAACAACGCCAGAGAAATCTGTGAAACCGGCTAAACGAAAATCACCTTTACGACGAAAATCAAAACAAAAAGACACAGTCGACTCAAAAGATGTGGCCGATGAATCGGCTGGCGTTCACACAGCCGACAGTGAAGCAGAATTGTTTGAAATCGAAGAATCAGATGCACCACTCATTCCATTGTACCAACTGCGAGACGAAGGCCTCACCAAATGGGTTCTTTTGAGTGATCTATGTTATTTGCTGAAAGTTAAATCAAAAGACACTTTGCTCAAACTGGTTCGTATTTATTTTTTTACGTCAAAGCACCACGGAAATTTCAATGAAATCATTTATAATTTTTTTTAGTTGTATCCGGGTTCAAGTCCAACGACAAGTGCCAATCAGAAAGATCTATTGCGTGAATTGAAGATGTCTGAGTTTCTCGAAAAGGCTGTGTGCCTGCAATTATTGTGCGCTGGGGAAAAGCTGAACATACGATCATCGAAGGTGACATTAGTGAAATACAACGAAACAGTAAGGAATGCTCTTGGTGTCAAAACCATAAAAATGCGACTATAATTCGGTGGAAGAGATGTAGTGACGAGACTAAAAATAAAACCCAACAATCGATTGTGGAATTCGAAAATTTACCGATCCAAATGCGAGTTTATTCAAATGTCAAAACAAAAGAATACTCATGATTTTATGTGTTGTCTCATCATAAAATAATTTTCTTTTTCTTCTTTTATTGTGAAATAATACGGTCTATTGTTCATTGAAACAATGGCAAAAGATTGTCTAAATCAATTCCATCCTATGTCACACATAATTAAACAATTTAATAATGCAAACGACAACAATTTATTAGCAATGAAATAAGGATCTAAATGAAATTATATTTTTCGAGTTTTAAGTTAATAATTCTTCTATTTTTTAGGTATGATAATCGAATAGAGAATGAAAATAATATATATACGAAGTTTCATTGAAGTTTATTCTGAATATCGTCATCATTGCTCACTGAACCAAATACAAAATTCGATTGATGAGACAGATCGGAAATGTAAAACTTCATTTCCGTAGCTAAGATTTTTAATTATATATATTTAGAGCATAAGGGACATACAAACACAAATGGTTTTTTTTTACTAAGATTCTGAAGGTTTTGCAATAAATTTTATTCCATATTCATCGAAGACAGATTCTTTTGAGATCAATGCGATGCAAAAAAAAAAACAACAACAAATAAAATGAGGTTCAGTGTGCAACAATGTTTTGGATGTAGGAAAATTGTATTAAGGTTAGAAATGGTAAAAAAAGGTAAATAAATAAATATCTTTTTAACTCAACACAAATCGATCAGAAACAAGCAGTTAAGATTTTTTTATACATTACTTTTTTTTCGTTTTGTTTTTGTAAAAAGTTATTAATTCTTAAGTTAATGGTAATAATCTTTTTAAATTGTAAAATCGTTAATTAATTTTAATTTAGAGAATTTTTTTTTTTCATTCAATTAACAAATTATTTTGTCTATTTTGAATATGACACAAATGAGTGTGAACAAGACATTAGCAACGAATGATTAAAAAAAAAATAAACAAACAATTAAATTGAATGAAGAAAGAAGACTTATGGTTAGAGCCGAAATAATAAGATGAACTAGGAGAAATGGGAATGTGCTTTAAATCAATTTGTAAATGTATTAAAAAAAAATTCTGCATATTTAATATGTATTTTCAATTTAGCTCTTTTATTAGTTAGAAAATTTTGCTATCACATCCCTCAACTCAAACTAATTAACTTTTGTATTTTATGTGTAATTCTTCTATAATTTAAAAACAAAACGATTTTTTTTCTCTGTTTATCTCTGTTGATAATATCCGGCAATTTAGTTGATAATTTGTTCGCTTATGTATTTTTTTTTTGTTTGAAAATGTTCTTAATCAAGAAAATTGAATTACCTTTTATTGAAATAGGTACGTGAAATAATTTATATGGAAATTTGTAAAGAAAATAAAAGTAATTCACTAATTGAATAATAAAACGGTTTTTAAATTTATTATGACTCAAACAGATAAGCTCTGACAAATTCCAAATGTATTGGCGTAAATGGCAGTAATCGCAGGTCAATTAAAAAAATGGTAAGATAATTTCCATCATCTCTGTGTTGTAGCTGACATCAATCACGTCCGCATCTCAAAAAAATGCCTTTTCAAATAAAATATACGTATGTGCTAAAAACACCGCATGAAAATGAATTCGGGTCATCGCTCTTCACGCTAAAATCGCAATTATTCCATCACAGTCGTTCGTAAAAACATTTCACGGGGAAATAAGCTTGACGCATTTAACAGCGAATTCAAATTTCAAAAATAAAACTTCACGCGCACATTTGATAAAAGCTTTACGTATACGAAGTTCAAGTTTTGTCGTAGTCGCTTTTAAAAACTAAAATAATAGCCGCTCAAGGCAAAATCCATCGATAAATAGAGCGAAGCTGTCTCTAGAAATATAAACGAATGTATACAGAAGCAGAAATTAAAGTGGAAAAAAAGAAATCACCTGACGAATCTGAAATTCAAAATGACATATGTCGAATTCATGCGAAAATAGCCAGTTTACTTGATAGGTGTGTGTGTGCTTGGTTTTTTTTTATAGAACTTGCCGAATATAATGGAAATTAACTGCCAGAATTTTGATATCGTTTAAATTCTACAAAATCGTATATGATACACGCGATAATAATGACGCGGAATGAAAAGAAGAAGAAGAAGAAGAGAAGGAGGTGAGCGAAGAGAAATCTCAATACGGAACGAGAACAAAATGTAAAAGACAAAACCGAAGAAGAAGAAGAAAGAAACTGAATTCAAAAATGAAGTATTGAAATATCACATATCAACAACACTAGCAAAGGCTTATTCGTATACCATATACATTCTGAAATGCCAATAGTCGCAGCACAACAACACACTAACAAACATCATCGTTCACATACACACGTACACCGTTGGTTTCGTGTATCGAAACGAGCTCAGTGTCGTTGTATATACACAGAGACGAAGTAGAGAAAAAAATAATAAACCAAAACACACATCGGCGCGCAGCTGCCCGTGAAAAATTTATCATATTTTTGTTGAGAATCGCATTTCTGATTCATTTCAGTTGGAATATTAGCATGGTGTGAAAGTATCGTCTCGTAACTCGCACTGTCTCGAACAAAATTAAAATTTAAGAATTTATTCATTTAATCGAGCAACTAAATCAAAGTTATACACGACACAAAGTCACCGAATAAATAATATCGATTCCGTGATAGAAAAATAAACGTCAATCATTGTTTCTCTATCCATTGATATATTTGTCTATTTTTGTTATTAATCAGTGAATTTTAATAATACATTTTTTTTTCGGTTGAAAGATGTTTTAAAAAGTGTGCAAAATAAATTCATGAAACCAGATGACCATCGTTAACAAGTGGAAGACAAAAACTGTCAACAATGTATGTGTCGAATTTTATGAATTGTATTTCATTTTCTTCAAATTTTATTGCAAATAAAAAAGTTCGCAAAAAAAGTGTGTGTGTGCATGTTGTTTTTTGGTTTAAAAAAAATAAAAATACGAAATATGTCTGTAATTGAAGACAGTGTGACGAGCGCAAATAAAATAAACAAGTTCGTTCATTGTATCTGAAATGCGGTATTTGACGTCTAAAATTCTTTGGCTTGTCATCGCCCCATGATTACATAGTTATTTGACAAATTGTTTCAATTTAATTCTCTGTTCGTTCGCTGTGGCAATCAATGTGCGAATTTTACATGTTTCAACGGTTAAAATGCAACGCAAATCACAAAACCAAAAATATCATTCGCAATTTCACATCTTTTTTTTTTTTTTTTTTTAAAAAAAGCATTTGAATAAAAAGAAATAATAAAAAAAAGATTTAACAGCCAGTCATGAGTGCACGTTATGTAATTGTACAATTGTATTTACATTACAACAATAGGTTTCTTTTGAATGTCTCCCATATATTGTAATTGTCGTACAAAACGTTTAATCGTTTGTCTCTTGGTATTTTGTTGGTTTCCTTATGATAATATACCCTGAGAGTGTGTGAGTGTCGTGTGATTGGTTTAATGTATGCGCCCGCGACTCTATGTGTTTACAAATAGAACGGGGAAAAAAGTACACAAAAAATACGATAGGAATGAAAACGTCATATCTTCAGCTCCTCCGTTCTGTACAAATGTAACATTTCGCTGACTGTGTTGCATTTTTTGTTCATGTCATGTGTGTGTGTGTGAGCCGAATGCAAAGTTTTTGTCGATTCATTTTTTAATCAACCGTTTTTTTTTTTTCGTGTTTCGCTCTCGTCTCATTGTTTTGCTATTTGCTTAATTGTTGAACATTGCCTGCTCAATAACACTTCAAATCTCTCTCAGTGTATTTTCACTTGAAATGCCGTTCAATGAAATTATGTCTATGCGTTTAGCATATAAAAACTGTACCACAAAGAAAGACGAAACTATCATGTGATGATGGAATCGATTCAATTAGTTCATTAGTGTATTTGAGCGTCACACGATGGACTAATTGAGAAGAGAAGTAATTGAAGAAAGAAATTGTATTCATCCATTTAGTTTCCACTCTTAAATTGATCTACAATTGACAACACAGCCAACAAGTGCAAACTTTCGCACATATATGCCTGTCGAGTGATTGTAAGGAATAAAAAAATGATTGCTGCATAAAAATGTTGAATTCATAATTTCATCTCGTAATCAAATTGAAGAAATGGTCGTTGATTGTCTTTGAATGAGCAAGTTTAAAATAAATTACACAGAGTTTTGCATATGAGATGTTTAACTCATTGGCGTGTAATGATGTTATTTTTTGCGTTCCGGTGCTTCTCCGATAGTAGCAAACGTGTGATATACTATATAACACGCGAACATCAATGGCTCTATCACACACACGTGTCGACCAATATGTTTGTTTAGTTTTCATAAGGAGTTCAATTTGTAAAAATGAAAACACTTGTTATTCTCTTGCTCTAGTGAATGAAAGCGGGTTAACAGTATTGAATATATGTCATAATTTATTCACTGGTGAGATATGGCATTGCTATCGTGAACTCATTATCGCTGTACGAACTGATGACACCGAACACACAGCGATTCCATTGCATCGTACACACAGCGTGAATGCATCAATATGTTTGTTTCACTTGTGCGGCCATCTGAATCTGGGACGCACAAGAATAAAAGAGAGAAAAATTGAAATATGATATGAATGGATTGGAAAAGATGAAAATTTAAAGTGAGAGCCAGCAATTTACTTACTTCTACAACAATTTACAACCACTGTGTCACAAGCATGAGTTTAATTTCAAAATTTTTAAATCGAGGTTAAAACAACAGTTCGATGGCCTACCCAGGTTGTGTTCATGAAATATCATGAATTATATGCATTACAAGCCATTTGGTGTGTGCAAATGTCTTAAGAACATGCCAACCAAAATAGCATTTGCGATTCAAACAAACACACTTAATATATATTACATACACACTGAAATATACACTTGCGTGAAATATTTCAAAAGTCATTTCCTTTCTATTCGACACATTAAATTGTTTCTTTTTTTTTGTGTGTGTGTGTGCCAGATTATCTGTGCAAAGAAACATTTCCTTATTAAACAATATTTCAACTCGATTAAGTGTTATGGGCTTATGTGAAAGTATCACAATGACAGAGTCATTTTCTTATCTTACATTATAATTGTTGAACAAAAACAAAATCGAATGTTTCTGTTTGGTTTTTTATATTTTGCTACAAAATGTTTTAGAACAGATTGTTCATTTGTTCCACAGATAAAGTCATACGATCCCTTCAAGTTCAGGTAACTTGTTTACATATACATGGTGTTCCCTATGTGATAAAGTTATCAGTGTGTTTAATATCAAATACTATTTGTGATTGTTTAAATTCTTGACTCAATCGAAATGAACTTTAAATTTGATGATTAAGTGCGCGAAATAGAACGTCTGTTATCGCATCAATAGCAAGTCAAAGTTTGACTTAAAAATAGCACAACTCTCGATTTCTGCTAAGAACACAATGAAATTGAACATTTGATTACGAAATCGCGATGACACATAACAATCAAAATAGTCACCACATAAATACGAAATATCCATTTTATGTATTGACACATTTACGGTTAATATTCTAAGTCATTAAATCACGGGATTGTTTACACGTCGAAAGCCAATTTTCGTTTATCAAACAAACATGAGTCGGGATGAACTTACGTGGCCATCAATCAGTGGTGGTTATGTTTATAATTAAGCTTGACTCATATTAGTTCTGTTTGTACGTCACGAAAAAATATTCTATGAATCAGTCGAAATAAAATCAGTTTGGTTGTTGTTTTTTTTTTCAATTTCCACTGAATCGTTCGTTATTCTGTATCCAGTTTTACAATCGAGATCAGAGAAAATTTGCATAAATGTATTCAATTATGAATCGGTTTAAAGAAAGATTGAGAAGTGATCGCAATAGTCTGTAAAAACAACATAAATACGACAACAATAACTTAACCGGGCTGTAAAAAAACCTGAGTGATCGAATAGGCAGATAGACAGATAAAGAGAGACGTTTCGCTCAAACCTTGATATCATTCTTTATAAAATGCTCGGCGTTCAGCATTTTACGTCATTTCCAACGTATTTTTTCTTGCTTTGCACAAAAATTACGGCACGGTAAAAATTTATTTATTTATTTTCGTTACGATACTTAATATATGAAATAGCGGTCCATCGGTGTGGATCGGTCTACTGCGACACATCGAAATACAGTCATTTTCATTTTAAAAAAAACCAAATGCTCTACGACGTTCAACAAGTAGCATATACGCGATCAATTTATATGGCAGTGGAACGCGAAACAGCACAGATCTTCATGTTTTTATCTTTAACGACCGCGATATCTAAATAGCAATAAAAAAAAGTGTTTGCAAACGACTTACTTTGCTTAGGGAAATTATTGAGAAGAAAATTGCTGTGCATTTTATACATGATTTATAAAGAAAAAAAATTAATTACATAATATTTGAGCTTATGTTTACCATATTTGCGACTGCGTTGATTTCAAATTAAGTGATTTTATCGAGTGAGTGCATACATTTTATTGCAATAACTGAAAAAGCGAGTTTTGTTATTTATTTTCCGGATTTTACTTGCGTTAAGCATACAGTTAATTGTGAGAAGCTCAATTAGCGCTTTAAATTTTTAAATTCGATACTATACTGATGTGTGTCTGTGTATTCACTATTTGACGGCGTTCAAGTTTTTGCCTTTCCAAAAAAATGACAGCTTCTTCAGTAAAGTAATCCAATATAATGTAGTCGTGGACGTTTACATTTTTAAAATAGCGGTTACATTTCATATCCACGATATTATCGTGTACATTCAAAAGTTTCTTCATTAATAAATGAATAAATGAACATTTAACGACAAATAATTCAATAAATATATATTTCTTTTTCTTTTCCTTCTTTCAACAGGTATTTTAAAGTGGTCCGTCATGTTTGGTTCCGATTAGTTGCAAAAAAATGAAAGACAAGTTCACAAGTGATCGAAATAAAACTTATCTAAATTTAGAAGTTATAAATGATTTGGACGAAAAGAACTAAATCAACAAACAGAACATCTAGTGGGTCATAAAAGTGAATCAATCATTTAAATAACATAGATTTTAAAATAAAAGAAAAAAGAACACTGACATAACATTGACATTTCAAAATTCGATCACATTTAGAGAAAAAAAAAATCGATATAAAAAATACGAAATACATTAAAAACGAAAAAATGCCTATCGTGCTGTTAGATCGACTTCGGTTGCCGAATCTACGACTGTATACGTCAATTAGTGTGGTTGTAGTCAGTTGCTCTTTATATTATGCAATAAGTTCGACAAGTGATCCCTTTTGGCGATTGGACAACAATACAACGGCATCCGATTCATTTTTCTCATTGAATACGGAGAGCAATCAAGTTGTTGATCATGTTGTTAATGGTTTGGACTTGGGCAGCGTTTTAAGTGACAAAAAAGAAGCAGACGGAAGCATTTTAACCGGTTGGAATGGAAATGTTGAACATCATACGCAACAACAACCACATCAACAACAACATGTGGTCAACCAAATTTTTTCCCAATTCACTGCTGATCAACGAAAACTATTCAATGACACAAGAACCATTGGCAATAAATTCAAAGATGTTGTATCTTTCATGGTACAAGAACCAATATGCGTGTGGGTGAGTAGTTTTTTTACTTTTTTATTTTTTTTTTATCATTATTTTCCCGAAATCAATTGAAGAACTAGTTTGAACAATTGAATGATGCTTATCGATGTCGAAGCTTTTAGTTCTTCAATGAAAGTAGGAAGTAACATGAATCGCAAACAAAAATTTTACGGCGAATATAATGCCAGACTTAGATGCAAACATCAGACCATTGAGTTCGTGATTCGCATAAACATGTTAAAAAGAAACTTCAAACCATATGTATAAGCAAAAACACGTTCATTACACAAAATTCATATCAAATCACAAAATCACCGTTAGGTGTCAACACTTCACGATGAATTCTTCACAAAATATTCACAAAACGGTAATTGTAAACAAATGTTTGCCTATCATCACAGAAATGTTGTTATGAAAAGCAGTTTATATTTGGAAAGTGCTAAAAATAACGTTTTTCATTTGAATCGATCATAACAGAAACTTATGTAGGTATTAAAGCTCATCTTTATAAAATACAAATATCGTTGTATTAAAAAAAAACATTAATTTGCAGTTTTCAATCATATTTATTTCTGTTGTCAGCTATTTTTGTAATTTTTTTCGTTCCAATTCGTTTCGATCAGTTTTTGTAGTTTTTGATATATGGAGCACCAATAAAGGTGTAATTGGTTGAAAATAGAGCGTCCTACATAATATAATATAATCATGTTATTCAATTTTTTTAGAAAATGAAATGAAACCATATGACATTTATGAGGCTAATAACGATTTTTCCATCGAAATGACACATATTAGGTAAATGTAGAAAATTTGAAGGTTATAATGATATCCACAATTGTGCTGATAACACCAATATCTCAAAAATATGTACCACCTCAAAGAAAAAATGTCGGTTTTCTGAATGTTTCATTTCATCAAGACGAAATATTGTCGCGCATTTTTATTCTCATCTCTTCATGCGTGCATACTTTGCATAAACAATTAATAATTGTAAAAATTAGCATGTTCATTGAAAAAGAATTGTACACCACAATACCGAACAATATTAATCATTTTAAAAGGTCGTTTGATCAGATAACAACGGAAATCGCATCCATATTGCACAGTAAACAAAGTTCGGTCAACAACAGCAAAAAAAAACAAGCCATTCAACTTCTGTTTACAAACTATGACACACAACATATGTTTCATCAATTTCAAACAAAAGTGCAATGGTATCGTAGCATTGAATAAAAACGATTGACATTAAGATATTAAGTACTTGACCATTATTTTGGCATATTTACACCAAATTTTTTGTTGTTGTTGCTTCCAGCATTGACACTGACAAGAAAATATATAGCATAAAAGTGTTGAATGATGATGATGGTTATGTGGCATTTATTTTGACGCAAATGGAAGTCTCGAATATAGTCGGAAATGATTTTGTTGTCACTGCAAATATCTACGTTATCAACGGAAGAACGCCTTACAACATTTGTGGCAAAGTACATGAATTCCTCATGGAGATTGTTGCATTTCGTAATCTAAATATGTGATCGAGTGTATTGATTGTTGATCTCAATGAATATGGAAAATATATACATATATTGTTTTTCTTATTGCAACAACAGCGAAAGAATAAAATATATGGTTCATTGTGTATATATTAATTTCAAGTATTTGTCACAATATGATTACCCGCACTGTTGTGTGTGACATATCATTCCACCATGAGGAAATTGATGATAGTGGTGAGAGAATGAACGGAATAAATACATAAACAGCAAATGAATAAGAGAATAAACTAAAGTATTTAGTGATTATCAGCTGGCATTATAATGCACTGAAAAAAATTGCTTTAGTTATTGCCAACTATTGTGATCTGAATAGTTCGAACTTTTTCTTTGTCAATGTTTCGGTATTTTTTTTTCTTCAAATTATTTCAATTGTTTTTGTTTTGTTTGTGTGTCGAGTGTCGAAAATTTGATTCGATATGACGCTTTTTCGATTGAATTCATTTCTGAATCGAAACCAATATCGAATTGAATTTTTAAAGTGATTTAACGAAAGAAAAAAAATCGTTTCAAAGTTATATATTACACACTTCAAAAAATAAAGCGTTACCATATGAGGAACCATTTAAAAAGCAATCTCTTTTATTTCGCTCATCGAAAAACACCCGAATCCACTACAAAGATGTTATTTTTGAATGAGGTGAAACTGATATTTTATTTATTTGATCAAAAGAAAAAGAACGAAAACAAAACAAAATGAGATATTCATAGCCGATGGATAAATTATGAATATTCATAAAATGTTCGGAAGCGATTTCACAACGAAATTCGATTAAAATCCAAGCCATGGATGATTTTGATTCTTTTGTGATTGTAGCGTTGATGTCGGCTGATGTGATGCGATGTGAAGGCTCTTTCCTACCATTATTATTTACTTATCGCACTCACTGCACACAGAAACAATTGTATATTTTTACAAAGCAATAATGTTGTCACAATCAATTCTGTGAGTGAAAATATGTACGATAGCAAAGGCACATTTAAAATAAATAAAGAATGTATGAACAGCTTGTGGTGCATGAAATTTAATTGAATTTCAGCTAATGGCTAGACGAATATTGGAGTTTTATATATTCGGTGCGTAAACATATCGAGCAAATTGAATCATAGGAAAGCAACAAACATTTCGTGGAATCATCGATCTGCTTCGATTACAAATGGCATTTTAAAGTTTATTTGAGCCCCTCTGTCTCTGCCTCTCTCTCTGTGTGTGTTTGTATTAACGTATATGACTAGATATATTTCCTGATTTAGTACGTGATTAACAACTAATATGTCCACACTGAATCAGCGGCAATATGAAAAGCCGACGTAGCTATAAATATAGCAATACACAATGTTGAACAGCACGTATCGCTGCGATGGCTATTTTTAGTAAAATCATTTGTTTAATAAAAACACGCACTTGATACAATTTCAATCGAAATGGGAAGTCATTTGTTTTATTTTTTTTCATACGTGTTGTTTCGATTACCTGTAAATGATTTTGTCAAAACAATTAAGTAACATTTTTCATTTGCGGAAATCGAAATAGAGTTCATGTGCCGGAAAAATTAGACACAAACTGATTGCATCATCAAAAACGGCTCAAAACTTATTGTATATACAACAGATATCAATGCACCGAAAACAAAAAAAAAAAAAAAAAAAACTCACAGCTATATATTGAATCTGAGGTTATTGAGATATTGCAAATAATGATCTTATGCGTTGCGGTTAGGTGTACCAGTCAACCATGAAAAAATATATTGTAAAACAAAAAAAAAAGTTAAATTGATAGCCATAAATAAGGTTAAATTGGAGCTGAAATTGGAGTTAAAATTGAAATCGATCTTGCATTGGATGATAAACAAATCGATTTTATTAAGCTATTACGAAATTCGTAAATTAACAAATAAAAATTATGAATTCAATTGTAATGCTCAAGTTGACATCACATGAAAAATCCTTACAATGCAACCAACGATCAACCGCTGACACAGAAAATGAACGACGTTTCAATAAACCGAATACGAAACGGCCAGATAAATGGGACAAGATCTTGTAATCCAAACGCATCAAATTGCTTTACATTTACATAATTTATCGAATTGTTTACAAATAACGTTATATACGTGAACCTTCCAAATATTTGCAATCGATTTATAATATTTGTACAGTTTGTGAATAAACTTATTGAGCAATTGTAACCCACACAGACTGGGAATTCATTTTACGCACACTTTTTTTGGGCAGCAATTGCATTGATTTTGCAGACATTTTTCAATTGAAAACGGTTTCAACTACTTAATAGTTATGCATTGCTCAATTTTTGTTTTGTTTTTTTAATTCAATCAAAATTCAGGAATATTTTTGCATTGGATTTGGTAAATTCAGACATTGTACTAAGATACGTTCAGCCATCTATGAGTTAAGCTGAGCTCAGGTGCTTGTTTCTTTCATTTCGGCATAGTCTATCTGAGCCAATATAAATAGATAAAAATAGTGTTATTGGTAGAATATTCTAACATTGCAAGCATATAGCGTGTCCAGACTTTGGTCCGGACCTAGTCTGCTATTTAAAATGAGGAAGCAGCTGAATTCCACTTGATGAGTATTTTCAGCTAATATCTCAATACAATGTTCGGACCAAATACGTCTATAATAATGTAAACATTGTTTTGGCAATTTTAATTTTATAAACAATTTACTTTTCGATCCGAAGGCTTTTTTTGAAAACAAAACCCGACTCGATCAGAATAATAATTATGATTATTCAGTTTTTGTTCATAGATGATGGTAAACAGTTATTTAGCGTTAACCGGCAAACTATGCAATTGAACACAATCACACAGTAGACAGACGTCCATATAAATATTTTTTTGAAATAAAAAAGCTTGTAAACAAAAACAAAGTAAATAGATAGGAATCAGAATTATCAATAATTACCACATTTAATTTTCTTTTTTTGTGAAAAAAAAAAAACAATCAACAACAAAAATGCTAATTAAGCAACAACACAATAAAACCTATATGAGTACCATAACTTTTGTTCGCATGGAATCACACGAGTAGAACTATATTTCGTATAAATTGTTTGCAAACAAACATGTGTATTTTGTTAAAAAAAATTGATCATGCTGATAGTGTATCTCAATACCGGCATTATGTTAATGTCTCAATTTAATATATATATTGTTTTACTCTTTCTTCCAAACTGTGAACACAATGTTACTGATATCAAACTAACAATACAAATGACATGCCTTTGTTTCCGCAAAGTTTCATTCGTTTCGGCCACTTGTGCTGAATACACAAAGACAAGTGATCAGATGGCTAAGGAATACCAAATTTTGCATTCATCATTACCAAAAATGCTTAAGCCAGCATGCATATTTATTAGTGCCGTTTTCAAAACAAATGTAATTTCATGCGCCGAGACTTGATTGCTTTGGCTATGTCAACAGAGCCAAAAAAAAAAAAAGAATAAAAAAAATCTACGATACACAGAAGAGCGAAAAAATAGAGAAACGAAGAGAAAAAAAAATAAAACCCATTCAAGGTCTTTTACAGACTGTACGTAGCAATTTAGCGCGCGTGCGCTATGCCACAATGTATACTACACATTAGAGACCGAGAATAACATACAGTTCGATATAAAGACATATGGTATACGAATGGGCCATCACACAAGATGTGCTCATAATTTTTCATAAGCTACTATAGCTATATCACTTCCTTGAACTTGTATCGATTGCAAAGCAACAGCTGAATAAACGGCGCGTGGGCATGAGCATTTAGTATCGTTTTCAGGTACCATTTTTTTTGTTATCTTGTCAATCAATGGCCAATCGCTTTTGTTATGATTTGCTCAAAATATTGCGAAAAAAAAGTATTTAAAATTGTGTGCTCACGACGACGACCACAAGAAAATCGCTCCGTTTTGGAGGTAAAGTACTTGAATGCCGCACGAAACCACTGCTAGCCGAATGTTGACTCATGTAATTGATTCAATGAGCATGCCTTTTGTTTTACTCTAATAGAACATAATAAAATTAAACAGAAAAAAACAACAATGCCGCCTTCAAAATATAATCTAACGAATTGAAGTTTACCTTAGGAGTGTTCTCCTCTTTCAATTCATTGTAATAACGAGTTAATTGCAATTTTTATAATTTATCTATTGTATATAGCTTATGTGCTGGGTTGATCTTGAAGCCGGTCCAAGCGTTAATCAAGCGATCGGACGCTGTTGTTGAGCGCTAAATGTTCACAACAAAAATGCTACTTTAATTTTCATTTCGAACGAAAATGAATGTTCGTGTCAAAACTTTTGTGAGCATTTGTTTTTAAATCATACATGCTATCTTTTCCTACATCAAATTTTGGCAACCGTTGTTAATGCGCAGAAAGTTGTTTGGCCGTTAATATTGACGCAGGTAGAATATTTTTGTAATGTCTGTAATAATTAGAATGACGTGTGAACATCGCATCGATTTTCACGTACGACACAAAATATTCGTTTCTCTAAAAATGATCATATGACGAAAAAAAGTATTTATTATTGTCATTGATTACTTTATTAAAATAGATTTTGGTGTCACTGGTGGATTTATTTTTCATGCGAAATGAAAATATATGCTTGCATGAGCCTGTTTCGAGGATTATTATTATTCAATGAAGCAAATCGTTTGAAATGCAAATTACTGCCACGTGCTACTAACTCAATATATCCCGAATGTGATTTTATCACACACAAAAAAGGTGTATAAGAACATCATATCAATCAATTACATACGAAATCATTTGAAAATGACTATAATGTCAATCAACATGAATAATAACGGTTATTCGAAAAAAGAGTATATTTTTGGCATCAGTTTATGTTTCGATTCTACGTCATATCAATTACAACGTTATGTCCATAGAAACTCGTCTATATTGCCATCAAGATGTTACAGCTACAATACATTCAGATCACGTTACTCAAATTTACATGTTTTATAGCATAAAGCTTACCATATTTGGAACATTACATTTTGGTTAATATTGGTACAAGCCTCTCGATTTGTTGGCGCGTGCCCCTTTTAATTTAGTTCAGTGTATGCTTAGTCTTCATTTCAATATGATCATTTGGTATCGGTTTTTTATTGGCGCTTATTTTACTTTTGATCTTTTCTTTTGTTCTCATTTTCTCATTTTTGCAGACCGTGATAAATATGGCATATTGCTGTCTGATTTTATTGGGCAAGTCAATTCAAAAATTAGTTTTTGGCGAACTGCGTATCTCTGAGCAACAACATTTGAAAGATAAATTCTGGAATTTTGTCTTCTACAAATTTATATTCGTTTTCGGCGTGGTCAACGTACAGTTTCTTCATGAGGTGAGTACAAACACATATACACAAATTCAACGATTATTATGCGATTTAGATTAGAATGCACTAAAAGAAACAATCATCAAATATCAACTTTGGCATGACTGGCGTTTCGCTCAACATACATTAACCACGTGATCTACAAATTTTCTAGTGAAAATTGATAGCAAATTTTAAAAATTTATACATCCATACATTTGCTGCCGGTCATAAGAAATGATGCGAAACATTATGAAAAAAAAAATGTTTAATTATAAATACAAGTTGGCTATAAATCTTTGCCTGTTATTTTATTAATCAACATTTTAAATCAATTTTGATGCCGATCAACTAAAGCGTTAAATGATAACGCTGGTGGATGGCGCGTAAAAACAAAATAAAAATATTTTTTCCGTCCGGTCCGGATAATATATGATTTCGTGACATCAATTCCAACGAACGATGACGTCAATACCATTTAATCAATATGTTTTTTTTTTGTCTACGCTCCGCAACATTAAAAATAACATACAAAGAATGAGAAATTCAATGTGATATCATATCTAAAAGAATGATCCGAAACGATTTTGTCGAAATTCCGGACAAAATCGATTTTAATTTCACATTCTTCGACAAAGTTGATGTTCATCATATTTTTCGGCGATCACTCGCTGGGTACAAATGGCAATAACAAAATATGTGCCATCGTTTGCAAGTAAACAAAATACCAGACAAAACGAAAGGAAACGAGCGAGAGAGATGAAACTAAGTCATTTGAATGGTTTCGCTTGGACGTGCACACAGTCAGAAAGTTGAATTGGTTGATGTTTTGGTGCCAATGTTATTCGTTACAAAATGTATGTTATTAATAAATGTCTATGTTCTTTTCCGATCACTTTCGATCTATTATAGGTTGTACTGTGGGTGTCATGGTTTTCGATACTCGGTTTTTTGCATTTAATTTCGCAACTGTGTAAAGAACGCTTCGAATATGTAAGTATTATCATTTCATTAATTCAATGTAGTCAAAGTTTTAGGTTATTATTATTATTATTATTGAAAGTGGATTGTGAATGGCCACAAAGAAAACCGCCAAATATACTTTTGTATTTGTTGTCGCTACATTAATTGACATAGAATGATTTGGAATAGCGTTTTTTGAGGCGAAATTCCATTTTTGAAATGGAACTCGTGCCAACAACAACGAAATTGAAATTATTTCCAAATATAAATACAACATTTTGTACACTCTTCGAAGCGATTCTCACTTTTTAAGGTGTGTTTCGGCTAACCTTTCCAATAGAAACGTATTCATTCTTCTTTGATGCAAAAAAAGTACACATTTTAAGCTTTGAATTTCGCATTAAGAACGATGCGACGCAATAATCTTTCTTTTTGCGAGATAATTTTAAGAAAAAGTCCACTAAAACAGAGAAGAGTCAATTTAATCGAACTAATTGTAATCAATATGACAGAAGATCATATCTATTATGACGATTGAATTAACTTTGAAGCTATGGCGCTAATTGAATGCTTTTAGAACATTTAATGACACATAAATATTACATTAATTTATTGTTTACGCGCTTAAGCAGTTAATGTGGCAAAATCAAATCATTTGCCCATTTAGAATATGTTTATATTTTGCTCATACATTTGTATGAAATTAACATAAATCACAATTCAATTTTATAAAAGAGATATATACATCTCTTGTATATAGTGTTTGTTATAAACGAACGTCTATTCCTTGTTTTCATTTGATAATCGCATTTTTTTTTTTCGCTACACGAATATAAATTTCTATAGTTGTTGTTGTCGACACTAAATATGACACGCAAAACGAGTTTTCAATCACAAGCCTACTTTTCAAATCATTTGACTGACGCGATTTTTTTTTCTAAATCAGTCGATTATACGCAAAGTAGGTTAATTTCACTAGTTGACCTAAATAAATGATTCTCAATGTGTGTGTTTGTTTGTTTTTTTTTTGGATAATTTCTATTTAAATGTATGCATTTTTACAGCTGTCGTTCTCACCAACAACGCCGGGATGGTCTCATTTGCGACTCGTTGCATTGCTGTCAACAATCCTTGTTTTGTCCGGTTTTATGTTCATCGTATGTGTTGGCGTTGGTTTTTTCGGCGGACTGAATACATTCGCTTTCATGGCCGCAGAGGTAGGTTTTTAAAAAAAAAAAAAAAGAATTTCTTGTAATGCATGGCATTTTTTCTTCGATGCAAAAAACATTTGTTTTGAACAATATATGCAAAAAAAGACTAAAGATATTCCATTATTGTGTTTATAAAAATTGTTTAATTGAAAGAACAAAAAATCTTTGTGAAGCTGCTTTTTTCTAAAATACGTGTTTGCGTGCAATAAATGATTATGAATAGCATCAAATTGGTTGAGAATGTTTGTATATTTACTTGAAATGAATTGAAATGGAATATCTTGTTCATTATGATTTAAGTGGTGTATTCGACCATTTTCCTCGAAAAAAAAATCAGTTTGTTCTGTCCGAGAACATAATCATAGCATGAATATCAATACAATCTCGACCGGTTTTAATTATATTATGAAAAAGTATAGGAAACACAAATGCCATTTTATGCAAGGTGATTTTTCAAATTATTATATTGGTACTTCGAACGAAAACGAAAAAAAAAAAAATGATCGACAGAACAACTTTCAATGACCTGATGGCGCATGTATTGCCATTGAAGCTGTTGTCACTGCGTTGTCATCGGTATATATTGCAGAAGCGAAGAATTTAAAACAGTTAACCATTTTAGGCATTGTCGCCTTGTTAATACAACTTCAAATTATACAGATGAAATACCAAATTTCCACCACAAAAAACAAATCAGCACATCTGCATGCCAACATTTTATTAACGATGATTATTGTGATTATTGACCGTACGATGTGCATGTTGTTACTTTTCATTTCGATGGTTTCTCTCTCGCTCTCTCTCTCTCTCTTTCTCGCATTCGATACATTTTATGCATACAAGTTAATAGCGTAATGCAATACTATAAATATTTCAAGGCTAAAGTGAGTGAACGAAATAAAAAAATGCACGGTGAATGGTGTTATCGAGAATGTATTATCCCTTTATCAACTAATGTTTACGGTCGTCTACCAATTATTTCTGTCATCATACACAAACAATATCAATATGAAATGATATAAATACATTTTGTTGGAATATTTTTAAAATATAATAAATCGAATACACCCGATATCGATATGAGTGCCGATAAAGCGATGTTCCATTTTTAAATTTTGTCATTGCCCTTTTATTCGACACAACTGGCAATTTGATGAATGTCAAAAATTAAAAAAAAAGAAACAGATTTTTCTTCAATCTTATCGATGACACGACAGCATTGACATTCACCCAAATAACTCCATTCATTTATTGATCTGATCGTTGATATAGAAATGTTTTAAAGAAATTTGCTTTCTATTCTTTTACTGTGCAGGCAGTAAACGAATGTGTGGCAAACTCGTGTGGAAAAAAAGTGACTGACTGAGTGGTTAGCTGACATCGACTGAAATTGAATTTTGTTAACTGAAGTCGACTTTAGTCGTCTATGTATGTCATTTTAAACAGATGACTAATTTGGGACGATTTTGTCTATATAGTCAACTGCGATTGAAGTTGAATTAAGTTGTATTTTTCTCTACTAGGATTGACTGAAAAATCAGCCAAATCAACTTAAAATAACTTCAATCTCAGTTGGCTTTAGCCAAAAACGTCCCAAATTAGTTAACTGACTAGTCGATCAGTAATTTTCCACAAGGGAATTGAATAAGTTGAACCGCGCCAATTCACAACTTTAAAAGTATACAACGAAATCGTACATTGTATATAATGTTGTCATTTATTCTCTTTTTCACAATCAATTGCAATGACCTACATATAAGATGAGCCTCTTTGAAATTTTAATTTATCGAAAATGCAAAAAAAATAAAGAGTCTTACGGGAGTAAGACGAACTTTTCCGCACGGTGGTAGTTGCGTATTTTATTAAGAAAGTTCAAAATAACATTTGTTCGATTTTTCAAGCCATTCAAGCGGCGTAAAGTTCGAAACCAAAAAATATGTTTCAACTTTGGCAACGAAATATTCTTTAATTTAATAGCAGAAGTAGCCAAAAAAAGATTTTTCACACTTTCATGATGAACCCATTTGTACGAAATTTGAAAGTATTCTATTTTCTAACAAAACACTATAAAAAATATGTCTGACATTAATTTTGCCATAAAAATTATTTTTGAAACACTTTTCATAACTAAAGTCACAAAAAATTTGGATTTTTGTATGGGTATTAAGAGTACCTCAGCCTTTGAGCCAAAAACTGAAAATGTTGTATTGGAGGTAACCCTAATTTTGATTGAAATCTCTTCAAACTTTCAGAATGTTATTTTTTTGTGTAAAAAATAGTCTGTGCAAAGTTTCACGTCATTAAGGTAGCATACAGGCATGGCTTCCATACAAAAATTCAATTTTTTTGTGATTTTTTCAAGGAAACTGTATCAAAAATTGATTGTATCTCAAAACTAACGTCGGATTCGGTTTTCTCGTGCCAAAAAACCCCTCAATACATCTTTTTGAGTGTTTAAGTCTTCATTAAGTATGACTTTTGGACGAAAATTGGAGTCTTTTTCATAGGTATCACTCCAGGCATGACATTTTTTTCCATCAACCAAAGTCGCTCAAAAGCTAATGATTTCTATTCCTCGGGACCCCCAATCATCCTGTAAAGTCAGATTTTGAATTAAGTTTCTACGACGAGCGCAATCTTGCTAACAAATTTTGCGTACGACGTATAACGTACGACGTACAACGTACGACGTACAACGTACGACGTACAGATTAACATAAACCATGCTCAAAACGGCCTGATTCGGGTTCTCTGACCTCATAAACGTCCAGAAAACATGTTTCTGAGGTTTTCAAAATTTTGACCGATTACAATACTTTTCACCTTACACTATGTGTGCGGAAAAGTAAAAATATAATTAATATTTAATGATTTAGAGCTAAAAAATGTTTCTCACTCGTGTGCTTCATAATTGTGTGACATTATTGCTGTGAAAAATATTTTTCATTTTGAAGAATTCTTATAATTTGCTATTGTCGGCCAAATTTCTCTATGCATATGAATTGGTCGGGATTAGCCTATATTCAGACAATATAATGAACTAACTGGTCACAGTAGGACAGTACATTAGCCAGCTGAATGGACTAAAATGGAGAAAAATAATAGAAGTATATAGCCTAATCTCTCTGATTAATATAGCTTAAACTCATTCGTCCCGCTACACAGTGTCAAGAGCTTATTCATAAACCAATCGCCAAATAAACGCGTTTCGGTGACGACCATTGATAGGATATCGTCAGCAAACCATCGTTGATTCAGTAAACTTGCTTTTATACACATTTTATAACATGATAAATGGAAAATCTCCAATACGAATCAATTAGAATATTCGAGAATTTGCGTGATCGATCAAATATTTTCTGGTATTTTTTAAAAATCTCTCGTTTCTTTTATCACCTTAGTGTGTTATGCTGATAATAAGAACACTGCACGTTCTCATACGCTATGGAATCTTTTTGTATGACATGCGTCAAAGCACCGTTTCATCTGAAGGTATGTATTCCACACTTTATTTGATTTATGCCGACTTAAATAGAAAGTGTTGTGAAAGAAAATGAATGAAATCAATTATTTAAAACGTTGTTTTTCCACAGGTGTTTCATGGGATAAACGTGGCCCAGTCGCTTATTATGTTGAACTAGGATTTGAAGTCAGCACTCTAGTTATTGATCTTCTGCATCATATTCATATGTTAATTTGGAGTAATATCTTTCTGTCAATGGCTAGCTTAGTAATTGTTATGCAATTACGTTATTTAATCCATGAAATTCAACGTAAAGTGAAAAAGCATCGTAATTACTTATGGGTTGGTATCGAGGGTCGAATCACTTTTAATTTTTTCCATTATTTAATATGTTTCATCTTAGTTTTTTGTGTTCTATCAATTATTTTTAATCATCCATTATATATTCAATATTTAAATTGTTTGGTCATTGAATTCCATTGATTCGGTTTAAATTTAAAAGTGATTTATTTTGTCATTATTTTTTATTTATATTATTTCCTTTTGTGATTCTCCCTCAGGTTTTGAACCACATGGAAAAGACCTATCCGCTCGCAACCGCCGAAGATTTATCGAATAACTCAGATAATTGTGCCATCTGCTGGGAGAAAATGGACACAGCTCGGAAGCTTCCTTGTTCACATCTATTTCATAAGTACGACAAAACGAAAATCATTCACATGACGACGAAGCAAATTAACCAATTCTTCTATTACAGTTCATGCTTGCAATCTTGGCTGGAACAAGACACCAGTTGTCCAACGTGTCGATTGGGTTTGAGTGTGCAAAATTTTGCCAATATTCCGGATATTGAACGGATTATCGATGAACAAGAGAACACCACCAGAGCCAATAATCATTTCTTTCATTTCAATGGTAATCAATTTTCATTTGATCGACTCTTTTTTATATTGAGTAGAGTGTTTACAAACTTTTTACTTTCGTTGTAAAGGTTCACGTTATGTTTCTTGGCTGCCAAATTTTTCGGTCGAAGTCACACCAATAAATAATGTGTTGAGAACAAATCCAGTAGTTCCATCAAATGGTATGACATCACAATTGCATAATATGGCTCGTCAAGTGCAACAAATGTTTCCACGATATCCATTGTCAACGATAATATCGGACTTGGGATTGTCTCGATCGATGGAAGTAACAATTGACAATATCCTTGAGGGACGACTTCTCGTTCCGGGCGGTCGATTCGATTTCGATGATGACAATCCATTTAATGAATTTACAACCACATCCAATGAACAACACACAGACGAATTGTCACGGCATTCATCTGAAAATGATTCAAATAGCAGTAATAGTAATAATAATAGCACAACAAATTCAATATCTAGTACGAATAGTTCCTTGAATATGGCCGATATTGGCTATGAAATAGAACAAAGTACAAATATATTTGGTAATCATAATGATCTTTTACGCGACGAAAGGTAAATTTAAAAAAAAAAATTGACATTTTTTTGCGTCAAAATAAGCTAATCGATTTTTTTTTTATTCTTAGTGCCAATGAAGAGTTGTCGTTGGGCGATCGATTTTCAAAAAGTCACTCAGAACGTGAGAAGATTCTTCAGCAGCGCAAGGAATCAATGTTAGCTTTAGCACGAAAAAGGTGAATATTCCACCAATTCCAACAATTCAATTTTTAGTACGACAATTTCAATAACAAATCAAATGTCGTTTATTTTTTCGTTTATAGATATTTCGAAAAAAACAAAACCGAACTGAGCGCTGAACAAAGCAGTCGAAACGAAAGTATGATTGTCTAATTGCACTATGACCAAAACGTATGGATTATCATTGGTTAATTTCTTGTAAAGTTCACGATTACGGCTGTATTTTATGTTTGATTCAACTGAAATTTGAGCCAAAAATGCCATTTGCTTTCAAATGAGACACGATTGCTTTCGATGTAAACATTTTCTATTAGAGACTTTAACGAAACATAATTGAAATGATTCGAAGATATTGCACTGATTATATGAACTAACTCTAAGGTTAGCTAAGATAACAATATGAAAAACTGAGTTAGACCATTAAATTTAGAAACAATTTATATGAGACGTTAAATTGTTAAATGCAGAATCAACAAAATAAAAAAAACACAAAATAATGTTGATGTTTTTGGAATAAAAACAAAAAAAAAATTAAGTAAATCGTGATATTGAAAGAAGAAACACACAAAATGAATTACAGATGCATGACATCTGTTTCACATTTATCCCTTTAAATTTATTATTTTTTTATTAAACCGCGTCTTTCTCCGCACTCATAACGGAACGTGATTTAAAAATCGAACTCATCAAAATCATCAATGACTGTCACGAACAGGGATTTGACATACAAATCAAATATTATTGTACTTAAATAAAGCAAAACGAAAAAATTGTAAAGAAATCAACTGATGAGAATTTAAATGTAGCATTTTAGTTATTACAAAATCCAAATAAAATTATAAGAAAATTGAATTTATTGCACCGTCACATTTGACCGCCACATGTGCTACACAAGAAGTCAAACAAAATTGAATTGAGTGAAATCCGTTATGAGAAATAATAATGTGATTAAATATTTTATTTTAGTCAGCGAGTCTTCAATTTTTCATTCTTTCTACTGGAGAGGAAAAAAGGGAAAACAAAAGATAAGCATCGCATCCACTCGCTTTAAAGTCACCTTAATTTAGTGTTTACAAAATAATCGCATGAAAATAAGTGATTTTTTTTCGATTTGTAAAAAATTTAAAGGATTTATATAATTTTCATTCGTTCATACATCTTTATCATTTTGAAATATTTTTATGATGTTCGTATAAGTGATTTTATTTATAAAATAATAGCCGTTAAAAACACAACAAAATGACAAATAAAATGTTATGCAATAATAAAATTGTGCATTTTTTACCAAATCGATTAAACTGTCAGCTTAAAAATTAGATCAAAAAATTCAATCTACTACGCTTTACATGCATACGCATACATGTACAGTGATTCTTTCATCCATTTTGAATTTTGGGCATTTGCGTCAATGTTTCGATGTGTTTGTGCGTCGTTCATCTCTTTTGTCATGTGAGTCAATGCGTTTTCTATACCATCACATTGCTTCCGAAAAACGTCCATAAACAAGCTTTTACTCTTCGATTCAAGTCATCTATGAATGTTCATTTAAAAAAAAAAAAACTGAAATGCCCAATAAAAATGAACGTAATGAAATGCGCACATTGAATCTCTTCAAAATCGTTGATGTTCATTGCACACGATACGTAAAAATAAAATTTAAAAAAAAAACAAAATAGTGACGAGGCATACACACCGTATGTCGAGAACTGTCATTTATATTTGTGGACGTCGTGCATGCGTATTAGTGTATTGGTTGTGTGTGTCGCTGTTTGTTGGTTTGTATCGTTCGTATACGCTTCATACTGGCATGGTTTGGTGTGATAAAAATGATATGTCGTGCAAAGTGCAGTCTAGACACAATTTTTCTTTTTCACCACAAGACCATAACCGTCAATCAGTCAGGCAGTCAGTCTTTGAACTATACTGAGAGCGTTCGCACGTTCATTGATATATCCCTTCTATATCCTGGTTTTTTTTCACACACTATCTCTCTCTCTTTCGATTCCAACACATATTCATACACACACTGCATGCGAATTCCTTTCAATCATTGCATCTATTACACGTCAACCAACCAAATTTAATGTCTTTTTTTGTGTGAAATTCAATTAAATCGTAATCCTTCATAGTCCCCAAGTGTTAATCAGTTTGAATATTCGGGTTTGTTTTTATTTTTGCAGTGCGTTCGCCCCTTTAATTATAGGTAAATAGTCATATATATTATATATTTTTTCGTTTAAAATACTCATTTCATTCCATTTTTCTGTGTAAAAACGTTAATATCTATAAATAAAAAGAAAATATCAATAAAAATGGGGAATAAAATAAATGAATCCTGGCCGGTTATCGCTTAAGGATGATTTATTTTTTCTCCGTAGCTTTGATGAAATGGTGACAGTGCATTTGAAAATATTGTGTATTTTTGTGTAACCTTTAAATGAAAATAGAAATTTTTTAATCCTTGCGACAACAATAATCGGCATTGTTTCATTCATTTGACAATTACATATAAATTTAAATGTTTATAAGAAAGAAAAAAATGCGTGAAAATTGTGAAATTGTGTGCATACATTTTCCATTGATTCTCAATTGTTGATTGAGTGTTGTTTATGGTTTTGTTTGAATGTATTCTAGATGAAGCTTTCATGTTTATATTATACTTGGATTAAAATAATCAAATGAAAACATACCAAGCATGCCAAATTGTAGCATTCGATTAAAACAATGCGACAAATCATTCGAACTGAAGTGAAAAATGTGCCAAAGAAAACAAAATGTAAATATAATATATATAGAAACTAAGTATAAGGACATCCAATGTGCATAGATAGGAAACCTCTGTGACAACAAAGTATGTAAGCTAAGCGCATAAAAAAAACAACAAAACACACGGACTGCATCAGCAAAAGTGCATATTTTCGAAGAATGACATCAGCATGGTTATTCTCTACTTTTTCTTGCAGTGTTGCGAATCGAATGCAAAATTATTCGAAAATACAATATCGTAAATGGTGCTCAACAATGACACTAAAAAGCATTTGCATCATTTTGATTGCGGTCGACAACTTTTGAGCGATTTTTTAACACACGACTTTGTGGTTTTCTTTTATTCTGCAACACTATCCATGTACAGCTCTTTTCTTTTTCTCAGACTCACAATCATCATACCGTATAAGTACCACTATTTTGACCAAGAATTTCAGTTAGTATCTTGTGTAAATTCTGCATCGTCTCAAGTCATTTGACGGAAGAGATAAAAAAGACTTGAGAACGCGTTCAAAAGTTTCGATTATTAAAAATCACTTGATTTTGACTCATACAGTTCATGCAAACCATGATCGACCATTTAAACTTTACCATTTTGAATATTTTTGATTCCTTGAAAAGTTTTCCGCCACGTGACGTGAACAATCAGTCATTCAAAAAAATTAAAACAAAGAATGGCGACTATTTCAAATGAATATAAATTTTGTCTCATGCATTTCATTTGTTTTTTTTTTTAAGAAGAGTTTCAATGAAGAGTGTGGTAACCATCCCAAAATATACAACAAAAAAAGTTGTTGTTGACCATGCGATTTGAGATTCACTTGAGAAATGTAGATGTTTTATCTTTGGGCATTTTAGAATAGTCTGGAATTGATTATCGCCTTTTTTGTGATCTAAACAAGTTACAATAATTTTTTGTATGGAAATGCTAACTGTTTTGTAAACATAAAGTTAAACCACTGTAGGCCACAAATCGACGAATTAACCGATCCGAAGTTTCCATACAGAAGGTAAATATTTAATAAAATTTTATTCATGCGCGCAATTCATTCAAGAACATCCGTAAACCAAACACTCTATGAACTTTTGTTCGGCAAACAATTGCGATTACTCTGAAAATGTGTTAAATGAAGAGGTCTGCAGACGTCATAAAGGCCCACAAAATATTTGCTCAAGACTGTAAAGTGTGTAGATTATAACCGTTGCTGCAAATGTGATAAAACATATGCCAAACACATATAATGCCAACGGACAATTAATTATATCAATTATATTTTACAATGACGGATGGATTATTCAATATTGGCGTCATTTTTTAAAAGATTATTAAAATTCGCACAAGAATCGCACGTTCTCCATTACTTTTCTCGCTCTTTCTTGTATTCAGGTGCGGCATTTTTAAAAAATATATGTAATAAGTGCATGATAAGGTACTGACTAGTGGCCGCACTTCTCCGATACCAATAACAGCTCTGCCGTATTTGCTCCGTTTGATAAACAACTTCAAATTTTTTCCACGATTGACTTTCTTTGTCTGGTTTTAGATACAAACGAAGTTATTTTTGTAAATAACATTTATTGGTCAATTATTATTCATTTGATAGCATTAGAAATCATGTGTCCACAAAACAACCATTTCAACATAACTGTCTAATGAAATTGCATACCTTATAAAACGAAAACAGGATTCATAAATGGCTTCCCATGATTTCAAATTAAGGAAATTTGTCTAGGATTTTTTGTGTGTGTGTGTGTGTGTGTGTGTGTGTGTGTTATTGTTCAGTTTTAGTTTATTTTCCGTAATTTAGCCACAGATACGGTGGTTGGGTTCGTTTGCATTCGGTCTCACCTCCGTAAACAATTCATAAGCAAACGAGATTGAGATAAATAGAGAAAGAGAGTAATAGTAAAACAAGCAGTTATGTTTTCATCTTTTGGTTGCGTAGAATGTGTGTGCCAGTTGTTTGTTTTTGGTTTAAATGAACGCTGTTGCGCTGTGCGTTTGTTGCTATTCTTCGACGACCAACCATTGTCCTTGTGCTGTATGGTTGTAGCGATTTGTTGTTATATTCTTTAATATTAAGTTTTTTTTTCCCGGTTTTCATCCACATTTTATCTACAAAATATGATAATGCGATAAACAATGTGTTTCGATGCCAAAATGAAGGTGTTTTGTATTCAAAAAACAACCATAAAAAAGACGTTTTTGGTCCCTCAAAATAAACTATATAGCGTTGGAGAGAAAAAAAAGGCATGCACGAAACTACAGCATCAACATACCGAATGAGCAATGCAAAAGCGAAGAAAAAGAAACGAATAAGAAAAGAAACTCATATAGACAACAATGTACGGCAAGTGAGCACCAACATGGAATACCAAAGCAAGCGCGCACGATAACAACACTGCTAAAAGATCTCTGAAATATTCCGGTTACATGAAGCGGCGGTACAATGAGAACAGTACACACACACACATACACACAGTCACATCTATAGACATCGAGTATAGAGCACATCACAAGCATCTGAGTAGCTTAAGCAAAAATCACATTCTCACATATAAATTTGTGTGAATCAGTTGGCGGTGGTGTTTGGTATGCAGAGAGGTTTTTTCCCTCATACACCCCAATGTGTACAGGTTTAGCACATCCTTGGTTTCGATGTCGCAAAAATAATAAAAACGACCGAAAACTCCCAATATTACAAAATGCATGGGATTTCGTTTTTTTTTTTTGTCTTCTTCGGTCACAAACTAAAGATTGCGCTTGATTCTCTTTGGCTGCTTCTGTTGCTTTTGTTCTGACGCAAAGCGATTATTTCACTTCTTCTAACTAAACACATTAAACGTTTGCAAAGTGTCTTGTATAATATGATGTGTATGCACAGTTTGAATTTGATACAATTTCAACCAGATCGCATTTTTAACCGCGATAAAGACAAATACAGTGCAACAAATATAAATTCGTTCGAAAATCAATTCGATTTGGAATTTGAAATGCAACACAATCCACCACCAACGAATGGTTCCGTTGAAGAAAGATGGATGTTTAACCTAAATGGTGCCTAAGAAAAAGAAAAAAAAAGCGACGCTTCACTTAATAAATAAATTTATAAAATATATATACATATGAACGGAAAAGAGAAAAAATTTGGCGCACAAAATCATATTAAAAACACATGGCACATGTACAAGCCGATGAATGTATGTATATTACACATTCAACGAGTGAGAGTGTTCATCAGAGTTGTAGACGCGACATTTGTTGATGGTTGTTCGCTCTCCTTCTATCATCCACCGCACAGCATAACTATATCACGTATGAAGTATGGATGATATCACTGCACCAAAACCCTCGGTAATTCATACCAAAAACTCATTGTGTCGCAGTGTCTAATTTAAACCGAAAATCACTACTACACTCGCAAGAAAAGGCCGGAATGAATTTTCTATACGAAAATTAAATAATTCTTCAATGGCGATGGAAATTTAATGTAGAAGAAGTCGCCAGAGATGTGCAAAATCACAGGTGAATTGTATGACTTAAAACAGACTCTGCATGATATCATATATTGAACGCAAAATGTGATGACAAATGCGAGAAAAGAACTTTCGACATTTTCGTACAACAATTCGGTCCTTGTATCTGCCAACATTTATGATTGAATTCTGTATTGCCCCGTATGCTAGTACATATAAATTCGATACACTTTGTATCGAAACTGGCTATTCAGTTATTCAAGCTATGAACATAATCAACACCATCCACACATACACAGCATTTTCGGCATCTTCATTCATATTGCATGTGGATTTCGAATTTCAACGAATATTATATACATTTTATTCTGCATGTGTCCATATTTCTGCGATATGACTCTTCTCAAGCTCGAACTAAACGGTAACCATATTATGCGCCACAATATCAAAATAATATAAAAAATTTATCAATATATATATATGAGCACGCAACATTCACAATCGGGTGGATCAGGATATTGTCGTATCAAGAAATGGCAAGAGCGATAGAATAGGCGAGTGCAAAAATGTAAGAAGAAGAAGATGAAAAAAGCACCGAAAGAATAACTGGAATGACAAGAAACCAAGAGTGGAAAAATGTTGTTTTGCCAAAGCAAAGACGACGAAAATGTCAGTTGGACAGCATGCTTTTTAATATTCTGCTTACAGACAATTTCAAAATCATTCTGTATCGGTTATCCGTATCATATACCGAATTTAATCTTGGCCAACACACAAAGAATCTACCAAACAATCGTTTTCGGTGGAAGGTGTACATTGTATCCGCACATGCGAAGCGTGCACAAACTGTGCACCCGAACGACGACGACGGCACAAAAACGAAAACATTGTAAAGCAGCATCACAACGAATCGAAAGATGAAAACAGAGTATACTAACTAGTTAGAGAACATTGGACGACCAACAAGGCGACACCATATAAACGGCAGTTCTGTATACGCATTTCATTGTTTACCATTTCATCGTAGTAAATACATATTGCACACATCTGTACAAGTGTTTCCGTTACGGTATTGGAATGACATTCGCACTAAATCTAGTTGAAAAATGTGATTTGTATGAGTTGTCCCTTCTGGAAAATGAAGAAGACGAAAAAATGCTCATTTCCATGATCTATACATTTCAATATGGTGAACGTGTGAAAAAAAAGGCGAATCAAATCGAAAATCAACGATGAAGGCTAAAGCTATGCATTAATATGCTTCGTCTTGCATGACCCCAATCGAAGCCGAAAACAACGGTCTACATGTGCGTAAACACACACTCAACCGCGCGCTTACATTGAGGATAAACAAAGCTCTTCTGCTTTCTTGCCTGGTTGCTTCAAATCTTATTAGAGTTTACGACTTAAGAAAAAATATTCACTGCATTATCCCATCCAATTTCTGATTTCAGTTGATCCATTCGCCTAAGATGCCGCCACAGATTTGTTTGCTTATTGCAACATTTTCATCTTGTTGTTTTTTTTTTTTTTTGTGTGTGCTCCGTTTTTTCTCCGTCTTTGGCATCATATCATGTACAAGTGCGTTTAAACAAGATTCAAAGTAATGATAGAAGTTTTTCAAGTGAATATTATGCAGCAGTCGTTTCATTTCCCTTGACTTGATTGCCAGCAAACTTTTCTCCTTACCAAACAACATCGGCAAAGTGTATGAAATGAAAATTGTTGTAATTCAACTGTAATTACTATTTGCTCATGCAGTCGTTGATCACAACATCCAAAGTGGAAACAAATAAATTCTTGTCACCTTTTCAAAGTCTCTGGGGTTTGTTTCTATCATACCTCGCCCTCACTTTTTATTTTATTTCGTAAGTGAAGTTTAGCGCATCACAGTAATAATAGCATCAAAATTTAATCTCACATCTCCCAATACCGAAGTTCGAATGAGAGATGAGCATTCGGAGCAAAATATAAAAAGGGGAACCGTTCCGTGTAAACGAATTGTATAATAAAAATTCTATGCACATTTGTGACATGCAATTCTAAATGATATAGCTTAAAAAGTTGATATGGTCTCGTTTGGTTTGACCAATTTATGATAGATTTTATTCTTTTCCATTTTCAATTGATGGTTCTTATGCAATTTTTTTATTAAAAATATGAGTTATTACTGAGTTGAAAATTAAAAGTTGTAGAATCGATTGAAAATTGACGAAATTAACAAGCTTCGCTTATGAAAAGAACTCATGAACTGGATATCAAAAATGTGCCCTCATTCAAAAGAGAAGCGAAGAGCGCGAAGATCGACTGTCTTAAATTATTCAAATACATTCAATCACCAATCCTTTTCCGTATCCGAACGAAAAATTGTCGGGCAGAAAGAAGCGAACAAGCCGAAAATCAAATAGGTTGAAAGTAAAACGAGTGAAACAAAATGATGAAAATCAAGACGAAAACTATGTGTGTAAAGTCTGTATAATTTTCGCAACAGAAAATGATATAAGATACATAACATTGTAATGCTCAGTGTGCATTCGTTTGTTCATTGGTATGTGAATTGTATGCTTGCTATTCTTGTCGTGCACGAGTCTCCGGTAGATAAATGCTCATGTACAGACTGTCGATTGCAGAAGCAAAGTGCTTGTACGAAAATTTTTCGTAAACGAGAGAACAAATTCGCATCGCAAACGCGTTGTACTGTGAAGATGATGTAAATACATATAATTTTAATTCGGTTCTACCTCTCTCTCTCTCTCTCTCCCTTTTCGTGTCACTCTATCTATATATAAATATATATATATTTGTGAGGCAAGAAGTAGAAAGTTTGTCTCTTTTGCTATTGTTGTAGCTGTCGAAGTTTAACGTTTTATTCTATCTTTTATTTGATGTTATTGTTCTTTTTTCTACTTTTCGGTCCCAAACATTGCTCTCTATCTCTCTCTCTGGCAGTGTCAGTGTTTGATACACCGTGAATGGTGTATGTGTGCGCAATTTCCGAGTTTAGTTATCCTTACAACATATTGTCAGTCGCTGGGTATGGTACGGTCTTTCTCCCACTTCTTCTGATACGGATAATGTTTTTTTTCTCATTCGTTCTAGTCGCCCGTCAATGTTCTCATGTGCGCTTTTTTTTGTACCATGCGAAACGAAAAAAAAAAAATTATCAGAAGAGAGGGAAAAAATACGAAGCGAAAGAGCAATGGAAAAAAATTGTGTTGCCGAACTAAAACACATATATTCATTTTAACGTAGCGCATGGAATAGTAAGAATTCGTTCTGGCCAACCATAGCAACATGCAATATGTATAGCCCACAGTACAATTGGAAGTGAAATCGCGCGCGCGGATGTGTGAAAGAAAATTGCAATAAAACCCAAATGTTACCTTAATATAGAGGAAAAACAACAGTCTCACCATACACTCGTTTCAAGCGCGCACACCATTCACATTCACGCAAAGTGTCTTTTGCTATTGAGGCTCTCTCATTCCATCGACACGGGCTATATCTGGCCAACTATAATTTTATAACTGTAAAGAGTGAGAGAAAGATAGAGATAGAGAGAGAAATACACAAGCGAGAACCGAGCGAAATACAATAAGTGAAGATGCAAAAAGAGCAAACAAAACAAAAGGACTCAGGATCATAGCGCACAGCAAATGGCGGCATATAAATACATTGCTTAAGCTTATGCAAACAGCAGACTCATACTTCTGTTGCTGCTCGTGATCATAACGAAAACACACGCAAAAAAAAAAAAAAAAAAAAAAAAAAAAACAAGAAAAAGAGAGCATATGAAAAAAGAGCAGAAGTGACAACAACAACACCGTCAAGAGCAGCAGCTACAAAAGCGGTAGAAAATAGTAACAATAGGAATAACACTGGCATCAGAAGCAGCAGCAGCAGCAGTAGCCTTGGTAGCATTTGAGACGCGCGTTGCAAGCAACAAAAACGATATAATTTGCTTGCATACATATTTATGTATAAATAAATATTAATATTTCTCGGTGTTTTCTTCGCTATTGTTTTGGATACGTTTTGCCGTATTCATTTTGGTGTGCCCATTGCTCTGTCTGCCCGATATGCTATATGCACAGAATTTTCCAATGGGCTATGTTAGGGTAGGTAGATGTTGCGCGCTCTTTTCTCTCTCTATCTCCATCTCGCTGCTCGGGCCAAATTACCAGAAAAATACAGTTATTCCGGTTGGTTTTAGTAGCTTTGCCATTCGTTTATAATCAAAACATAATTCGACTGCATGATTCGAAAACACACTTCGACACTGGATCGAGTTCTCATTAGAAAAGCTACATCATGCTAAACATTCCACCACTGAATTTCGTATGAGCAATAATGTTTTCCTTTTCGTTCAATGTGCCCAGGTGGTGGGCAAAGCGAAAAGCGCAACACCTTGCCGTACTTTCAGATATAGTAAATAACAGATCAAGCACAAAAAAAGAAGACATTTCAACACATTTATTGCTGAATGAAACGATGCGTTCGCAGTAGCATTTCTCATGCGAACCGAAACAAAATAAGAACAAAAACAAATGTTGTACAAATGAAAAATTTATTAACTTTATCTAACGAGTATTTTTATTATGGCGACCCGCTTCACATTTTCAATTTCATCCAAACACCGTTTTACTTTTTTTGTTTCTCTGTTTATGTATAAGCTCCTGTTTCATGCCTATCTTTATGACTAATTTTAAGAAATGGTAGATACGTTATAAACTGATAAAATGTTTAACACCCATGTTGATAAGATATTGCGATTGTCAAATTGATGTTTATTTCAATAATAAAAAGAAAAGACAAAAAAATGGTTGTACAATTTTGGATTTGATACGTTTCAAATTCGGTTCTCAATCAAACCGGGTACATTTCTTCGTTTTTGTTTACAGTTTGATTAAATCGACTTAACTAACTACATTTTCCATTTAAATTGCTTTGTAATATAGATCAAATATTTTATTTTATTGTATTATCACAACTTCAATTGTTTTGATAAATCGAGTTTATTGCGATGCGAGGCTTATGAAAATTACGAAACGATCAAAATCCAACAGCAATTGATGATTAATCTTGTCTTGATGTCTATACACGCATCTTTGGCATGTGTGAGTGTGTGTGTTCGTGTGATAATTTGAATTTATGGTGTTCGCCACTGTTTTTCGTGCGACGCAATATTAACCCCGAGTAAATGAATTCTTTCTGCAATGAGTACGTAAAGAGTGCGTGTGACGATTACTGAACATAAAACTTTAATTATACTTAATTAGTAAAACAATTTAAAAAAAAAAACAACAACAAATTTGCAGTGAAAGAAAACATGACAAAATAAATCGTTACATCTTTTTATTGATGTTGTTAATATAATTGTAGTAGTCATTATTCAAACATAACATTCCACAATAAAATCTATTATTTACATTTTCATTGTTCAATTTCATTTTTCTCCATTTTCTCCCATAGTTATAAGGCCGAGTTGATCACCAAGAGAATTTTAACTAAACGTTGAAATGATGCTTCCAAAAATATTTACCAATACATTTGAAACGACAAAATTATGGTAATATTGCCATTTCAGTGACATTATTGCTCGAAATTGCTGAAAAAAAAGGAGATTAAAACTTCCTTTTCGGGCGAAATACAAAACAAAAGTTTACAAGTATTTAAGCAATTGAAAAACGAGAAAAACAGCACAGCATTGCAAAACGGAGTGTACATCGAATTAAGGCAACACAACGACAACAACAACAACCGTAATACACAAAATGCAAGAAAATAGTATTCCTGCATCGCCGAACGCAAATATTATCGATCAAGCACAGTTTGAAGCCGACAAACGGGCTGTATACAAGTAAGTAATTTTATTCGTTTTCGTCTATTAAATTTGTGTCTGAATTTCTTTTCGGTTGCAGGTTTATTCCATTTGATGTTTTTATGTTGTTTTGGTTTATATTTTGTTACTTCTATCTTTGCTATAGTTGTATTTACATTTGGCGATTTGCTTCGATTTTTCTTTTTGTCCATTTTTTTCTGTATAAATTCATCATTATAACGGTTGTAATTAACATTTTTCGACAATAAAACTATGGAACCATGGATTATTTGCACATAATATTATTTATTGCCTTGCTACATTATGTCACATGGTTGACAATGATAATGGATCATTGCATGTTGAGCGTTGCCCAGTTGCAATACTAAGAATTAAATCTCACTTTTCTCGCGCGCGCGGTTATTGACAATAGATGGTGACATGCAGTTTCTCTCTGCCTCCCTCTCTCTGTCGCTCTTTAAAAAATGTAATTGTGTTTCGTTTAATGTTTTCGATGTGACGAACTCCGCTTCATAAAACCAATTACATTGCACAGTTTGTGGAAATTGAGATTGAACTTTTGCGTTTCCCTTTTGTTACCGCACCAGTCGGTTCTTCTTTCGACTTGGTCTTTTTTCCTCTTTGCAATTGTTGTTGTTGTTTTTTTTTATTTATATTTCGTTTGTCTGCCACTATCCATGCACACAAGCATATATACAAGCACACGAAATATGTATCAATTGTGCTCCGCAATAGAATTTTTTGCGTTCAGAATTGAATTACAAAACATGAAAATGCATAAAAATCATGCAAATATAGCAAACCAAACCAAAATGACAACGCAAAAACATTCGAAATAACATCCAAATGAAAGTGTGTGTGTTTTTTGTGTGTTTGTATATACCGTATAAATAGATGATATTTGATGATATTTTCGAGACATGCATGACAAAATTCTCCATATCAAACGTGCGTTGATTTTTTTTTTTATTCTGGCGCTATTTTTGTGACGCGTGCACAACATTTGCCCCTTGTGAGTGTGTACAATATCGTATGCGATGTGATGCAAGACAAAAACCATTGTAAAACCGAGTCAGAGAGAAACAAACGAGATCTAGTGTGCTTTTATGCAAAAGTCGAAAACCAATAAACAGATGCGAGCGGCTAAAGACCGCTTTAAAATATAAGAAAAATGCTCAATTTCAGCTAAACTAAAGAGCAAGAAAATGCCATTTTAAGCGTATATATATATATGTGTGTGCAGTGTCAATGGCAATGGCCACAATGGCAACGACGGTGGCAAGAGTACAAAATTTATACATAGTTAAATTCACATAAATGGCAAATATATTTCCCATTTTCGTTCGTTCGATTCCGAACGTGCATGAAAATCAGGCAAGTGAGCGTGTGCACATTTGATATGGCATGTGTGTAAGCGATAGAGAGCCCATCGCACTCCTTGAAAATTTTATCGTGTCAACCGCATAATTCTCATACATTTTCATTTTTGTGTGCATGGAATGTAAACAAAGATGACAAGAAAGAACAACGCGAAAGATTTTAAATTTTCATTCACATTGTTGTCGGTATTGTTTCTTTGACTGTGGGTAAACGCGACCCCTTTTCAAGGCTCCAAAACAAAAACCCGCCGAAATACGTAAGAAGGAGTTTTAATCGTAAATGTTGGAGGAAAAAAATGAACAGCTCGAGGACTTATGCACTCCAAAGACTCGTCAGAATACATGGTGCTTGAAAGTGGAATATATCTCATGACAAAATTATCGCATTTCTTGAGTGCCCTGAATTAATTTTTTGGTAAAGAAAATACGTTCCTTCTTCAATAGATTATGTGCTTGAGAATGTTGTACAATCTTTCCAAATGAATGATTAACGTCCATATCGAAATCGATTCGTTCTATATCAATTACTCCTGATTTTAAATTGATAGATGTATATGTTTCTCGCCAGCAAAAGGCGACCACATTGATAAAAAAATACCAATGTGAAAAAAAATCGAATTTCCTTCGATTTATATTGCTTTTTTTGAACGAAAAGAAAAATGAAAAGGGAAAAAAGGAATAAACGTTCAACAATAAATGACGCGTGTACTGTATTATCATTCTGAACGATCCTTCGCATTCGTATATCACATATGAACGCGCAAATACTCACGCATGCACTTGAATGATTTATCCAGTTAATATGCTGCTTGTGTAGATCGTATATGGTACACGTACCGTTTTCCAAGAGGATCCATTGGAGAGAGAGAGATAAAGAGAAAGAGAGAAAAAGAACTTCGTCATGTCGTTTTAATCACGCATGATGCATAATTCGAATAACACATGAGCTTTCTCGTTGTCTCTCCACTTCAGCTGCGTCCGATTATCACAACGGAACGCACCACAAAAATATGCGACACAATAAGACATACACACCGAACACGATGTGTAATAAATATATGCTACATATGCACATACACACAAGCCATCACTGATGCGGGAATATCTTGAGTGTAAATGATGAAAGAACGCCGATGTTATTATTGATAGTTAAGCACAAGAATGCATATATGGATTCTCATCGAATCGCCCAAAAAGAAAAGTACAAAGCAAACAGAAGACGAGAGAGAGAGAGAAAAGAGAAGAATAAAAGACCATTCGAAGCATGTGAATTAATGGCAATCTAAGAAAAATCGTGATAAAATAAAAATTGGGATCCATGTCTAGTGTTGATTTCCTTCTGGTTTTAAGAGAAATGCATGGTTCCCGATGTTGATGCAGCAACAAAACACAAGTGGTGCTAACGTTCATTAAATGAATGTATATAAATCATATTAAATGAATTTTCTGGCCGTTCGTTAGTTTGAAAGCGAAAAAATTAACTGGAGTTCATAATGAGCGCACGTTTGCATCAAAAATAAAAGCATATAATGTGTTGACAGTTGTATCATGCTCAATTCATGACCCTACTGAATATAACCGGGTCACTTTTGACTGAGTTTTGGTCGTAGCATTTGATTTGCTTTCAATAGATTACAAACCGCATCGCATTTGGTTTTCGCTTTGTGAGCAAATCGAATAGATTTTTTTTTTGTGTCACATTTATTCCATGGTTTTTTTTTGTGTTTTGGTTAGTGTATTTTAAGATTCAAATTCATATTTTTCGTCTTTTCAACAACGATTACGAATAAAATCCAAGAATATGAATGTTTTTTCGAATGTATGTTCATGAGACCATTCATGTGACGATCGATGGACTGTGCATCTATCTAAAATCATCTATATGACGCAAATACACAAAAGTATAATAAGACACATTCGAAAACATGTTTGCCAATAAAAATAAATGGTTCGACATGCATCCATATCCTTTTCAAATTTGAACAAAGAAAATCGTCGAATATGGCATCGACGTTCCTTGTTTGACGAGACTCCTTCGATGTTTCGTTCGTTCCCAGTGCCGCAATATTTTGCTCCCATGCTTTAGTTTTATTCGATTTTATTTTATTTCATTTGATTATATATATATATGTTTTTTTCATCATTTGGCGTTTTCTTCACTTCACATGATTGTTCTTGTTGTGTCGTTGTTAGGCATCCGCTATTTTCGCTGTTGGCATTGATGCTTGAGAAATGTGAACAAGCCACGCAAGGCTACATACCAAAGGCGTCGTCGACATCTTCATCGAGCCCAAATGGAACATCAAATGGCGATTCCGATTCGTTTACGAAAGACATTCAAGCATTCATCCAAATGCTGGAGAAGGAAAATCGACCACTCTTAACAAATAATGCCGAACTCGATGGATTGGTGAGTGTGTTAAGAAATACTCTTTCTCTGCCTCCCCCCGTCTCTCACTCTCTCATTCACATCAAATTAATTAAGAGCAAACTGTACATTACTAAATACGCTGAATAATTAATGGGAATGCCTTTTTTCTCCTCGTTTATTATTTTTAAGATGATAAAAGCATTACAAGTGCTTCGAATCCATTTGCTCGAACTCGAAAAGGTTTGTAGGCCCATCAAGCATTTCTTATATTTCTCATCGTAACAAAACGACTATTTATGTCTTATGTTTGTATTGTTCTCGCTTACTTTTTACTCATGCGGGACGACCGAAAAAACATACACTATAGGTTCAAGAATTATGCCGAGATTTTTGCACTCGATATATAGCGTGCTTAAGAGGAAAAATGCAATCGGAAAATTTGCTACGATCCGACTATCCACTTGAACACAATAATAATTTGTCAAATTCAAACAGCCCAGTCAACACTCCCGATCACGTAAGTGTTTGCTTTACGCTTATAAATTTTTATCAATTTCAAATCAACATTCATTTTGCATCATTCACATTTCACATCGAACATTTTCAGGAGAGTTTAAGTGGACAACAATCGAATTTTTTTGGAAGTAACGATTTTTTAGGTGGAAGTAAACTAAATGATTTTAGCAATATTCAAGGTAAGCCACATCTGTCCATTCGTTATTATCAGCAAAATGACGAGCAATTTTTTTCATTTCATCATCATATGAATGCAATAGGATTTTTACCGTCGCATGCGAATAATTCGATTACACCGGACCATAATACATTTACCAATGACCTAAACAATATGTCAAATGCCACAATTCCTGCATCACTAGTTGGTAATATGGGTGAAGGTGGTCATTCTCCGAATCATAATACGATGATTTCATCACAGATACTAGGCTCAACACCGCTCAGTCAAATCGGTTGCCCATTGCCAATAGATCCATATAGTAAGTTGCATTGTATCAAAAAAAAAAAACTGTTATTGGCACCACGACAGTGCGGGCACCCAATCAATATATAGCTTTTACAAGAAAGAGCGACACTTGTAAGGATAGTGCCCGCACCTCCGCAATGCCCAAAGCAGCTCTGAATTTAATTTAGTATCGACGCAAGTATTTTCTTATCATTTAGCAGACCAATTGTCACCGTGCAATAGCTCCGACGAAGGTGACTCGGAACTCGATTCGATCAATGACGATTTGAGTTCAAATCTTTCGAATAATTCGGGTTCAAAACGACAAAAACGTGGAATTTTGCCAAAGCAAGCGACAAGCGTTATGAGAGCATGGCTCTTTCAACATTTAGTGGTAAGTTGTATTATATTTCAGACATGTTGATTGTTCGCTTATCCTTTTTGATTTTCATTTTTTTTTTTAATTAACACCGATAACTTATACTTATTTAATAAAATAGCATCCCTATCCAACCGAGGACGAGAAACGAGCAATTGCAGCTCAAACGAATCTGACATTGTTGCAGGTATGTGTCTTGACCGCTGACCGCCCTATTACAATTTACTTCAATTAATCAATTAAATTTTAGGTTAACAATTGGTTCATAAATGCGCGACGAAGGATTTTGCAGCCAATGCTTGATCATGCCAATGATTCCAATCAACATAATCCAGGTACGCCAATTCAACTCGAAAGTTAAACTGTGGTTACTATTATGCCTGTTTCTGTTTTTTCGCATTTTATTACAAAATTGTAATAATACAACGATGACAACAACAACAACAAAATTTACGTTTTCGTCGATTTCACACAAAAAAGAAGCGAACCCGGGAAGTGATACACAAAAAAAATCAACATCACCATACTCAACCGCCCCGAATACAACAACGACACAATCGTTAAATGATCGTGGTACTGAAAACACCAATCCAAATATGCTGTGCACCGACAATGAACGTCTTTTAATGCTACAAAGATTTGCAAGCAACAATTACTGCAGCAGTGACGAGAGTGAAGATAGTTTTGGCACGGAAAGCAAACAAAATCAATGAAGTGGCCAAAAGCAGTGATGCAAAAACGGCGCATAGCTTTTTATTACAAAATGTTTGCTTTGAATTTTGGGTGTTTTTTTCTTTTATTTTCAATATTCAAAAGCATCGTTTTTTTTATTTGTAAATGATTGTTTTTTTTGTTTACACTTGAATAATTTTGATTACATTTGCTTGGCCAATTCATTCCAAAATGTAATTTGTTCAGTGGTGCCATATTTGAATCAGGAATTTAACAAATAGTACTACCACTGCTAAAAGTGAATTCCTACTTAGTTTAGTTGTAAATGGCGACAAGAATAAATACAAATAAAATTTTTCTTTTTATCGAAATGAAATGAAAACAAAAAATACGAAGAAATAGAATCAAAAATGTGCCAGAACTACGAAACATGCTAATACACCTACAATTAAGTGAAACAGTCAGAACATTATGAAAGTAAGAGTTTGAGAGTCCGTGCCGTTGAAAGGGGAATGTTTAAAATGTTTAGTTTAGTGACAAACAAATGGAATGATAGTACACAAAAGTCCCGGTATCGGAATGCCACATTGTACATATTTTACACTTAATTTTAAATAATAGCTCATGTATACCAGTATCCTATTACAAGTCAAATAGTTTTTATCTCTTCCTCGCATTAAAAAAAACGTTGCTTTTTAACTCGGGTGCCAAATAATAATTAAAGATAACATGTCATTGAACTGATATTTCGTTTGTACTTGAAAGCATCCCTTTAGTACAATTTCGTAAATAAAAACAACAAATTGTCTTCAAATTTACAATTTCCAAGTTTGTGACCAGTGGAACCATGTATACGTAAATGATACCTCATTTTTGTCTGCTCATACTTTACAAAGTCAAACATAATGCAAAATGTACACATTATTTATGATTTATCACACTTTGCAAAAATACCGTAAACATTGAACTATCTTCTCTGAGACACAAAAATCAAAGCCAAAAAAGAAACAAAAACAATGGAAATTCAGACAAGAAATATTTAAGCAAAACCATTCATTCTAAACATATTTAAAGTGAGAAATGAATTCAATGTGAATACTGCTTAAATTACGATTTAATTCAAACTTTTAGTAGTTCAAACGAACGATAATTATGATGATGACGCAAAATATATACGTAAAATTATTCCATCCTACACATCTTTATACATGAAAATCATAAATGTATGTATATTATTTTAATTGAAGAATAGGAGCCCAAATAATTAATAAGAGCTCGCACATAGATCGAGATATATAAATCATAGGCTAAAAATCCATACCGAGAAATGGGACAAAAAATTTATAAAACCATTCAAAATATGAAAGAAGGAAGTTTAAGAACAAAAATAAACAAAAACCCAACCAATGTATACGTATTCGAGTAAACCATTTTTATGAAGAAAATTAAAAAAAAATTAAATTAAATATCAAAAAATGAATATTTTAGAGAATTTGAATGTTACCTAACTTCATAATTTAATCGCAAATAAATTAATGGATGATCCAATTGCATTGTATACGCAATAGACCATTTTTTATTTAAATCCGGTGTATTTGAACTAGATTCTTAAGTGAAACACATTCTATATATCAGATTGGAGATATTGAACAAAGTGGTCGTGGAGCATATGATTTTTGGAGATTTTTCGAATTAAATGAAGTAGATAAGTTTTATTTTTTAAATAATGTTCCCATTTGCAAATATATCTTGTCTTATCAATTTGTAAAGTTATTCAAATGATGACTAACACTTATTTTTATTTACCGAATGTCCAAAGCGTAAAATCAAAATGCACAAATTTGTGTATTTTTGTATCATTTGAATTGCATTAAAATTGAAAAAGAAATTTGAAGAAAAAAAAAAAACGAAATTTCCAGAATGTGCTCCGCATTTTTATCAATATACACAAGCAGCAATACAATTTAATCGCAGAAGAAACTTTTATATACTGATTATTTTTTAAAAGCATAATTTAGAATGCCATGAGATGAAATGGGAGAGTCTATTGATATATTCCGATCGGACTTATGATAGGGCGCGCTTATGAAACGATGTTAAATCGGAAATTGACTTAAGACACACTTAGCTGGAAGAGGCACAACTAATTAGAAAGTATGAAAAACAAAAGAAAAAAAACTACCGCATCTCAAGAGATTCTCAACTCTATCGATTATGTTTATGTGCCTGTGATAGTAGGATTTATTTCATTTGTAATGATTAAATATAAATTTTTATTTTATTTTATAATTCAAATCTGTGGGAGACTGTATCAAAAAACAAAAAGAAAATCTTCCCCCGTGTACATACATGTCTTTGACGACACAAATCCACACAACAACAACAACAACAACAAATTGTAAATCGCTTAAACGTTTCATTTGAATTTTTGTTTGATTTGTGTTCATATTTTCTTTGTCTTCTCAATTGGATCAAAAATAAGTGAATTTTTCTGATCAAACACAAGGTTCCTGTGCATAATTAGGCTTTCACTAACAATACATTGATTTCATTGTAAAATGTGTTTGACTCTTTTTGTTCTTGTTTTGAAACGTCAGTGCGTATAGTAGTATTTCAAGCTTGAAATGACCATCAGCTATTAAAGTAAGTTTACATATTTACTGAAAAAAAACTGTTATTGACGATATTGGTAGAAGAAAAAGAAGAAGAAGAAGAATGATGATTAAGGGAAAATAAACGACAAAAAAGTTAAGCATTGAAAACACTTTACAACTCATATGCCAAATGTTTGCAACTATTTTAACTGAGAATAATCTCAATAAATTTTTAATTTAAATGATGAATTCGATTATTACGATTATATGCAGTAAGCACAAAATGAAAGTATACTATTTACCGAATAAATTCTACATCTAAACATTCTATAAATAAAAGAAAAATTCATTTAACGAAAAAGGCAAATACGAATGTGTTTGTATTTTGTGTAATTGTGTGATTGATTCAAAATGTCTGATGGTCCAGCGTTGAACTAAAGATGATTCGAATCTATTTCCATCAATTTGCGTGGCAATAATTTTTTTTATGTAGTCAGATAAATTAAAGTTTCTTTTTTGATTTCGATTTCGGTGTGGAAATTGTTCGTAATTGAACGCGTCGTGGTGTTTTTGGATTTTTTCTATCTGGTGTGCCGTTCAGTTCATTGGACGATGATTCCGATTTCAGTGCATCACCAAAAGTATTGTTTCCCGTTGCTTTGGTGTCACCGGTTGGTTCTGATTTGAGCAGCGTCAGTTCACTATCACCTTCATAAACCAAGCGCATATTTTCATCTTCATCTTCAATTACGATTGGCTCATCATCCATCTTCTGTGGATTTGCTTTTGATGCGATAGCAGCCACTTCAACAGTTTTAACTGAATCAATTGGAATTGGCCAAGCGTCTAATGCTTCATCTTGATCATTCGCCGTTTTTGCCACCACAACTGGTGATGGTAGAATGTTTCTCGGTTGACGTCGAACTTCAATCAAATTTGGCTTCTTGGCGCTATTTGGCGTTGCACTCGATGATGACGGTGTCGATGGATTTGTTCGAGGTGCTCGACGAATGGCAATTGGTGTGGCTGGTTTCTCTTTCAATTCAGGCGATTCGAATGTATCAACCGATGCAATTATCGTCTCTGGAATTTCAATCTTCGGCTTTGCCACCATCACCAATTGTTCATTACAATCCGTTGTTAATGATGCCATCGGCTTTGAAGTTGGAGTTCCGGTGGCCTTTTGTTCTTTTGGTGGCGATTTATTTTTTCCGTCGTTGCTGGTGCGCTTTTTTTTCGGTTGATTTTCTTTTTCATCGACATCGATCAAATTGATGGGTTGATCGTATATTTCGCCAAGTTCACCATCTTCAAACGATATCAACGTACAAAAACCATCAAAACTTGATGCAATCATAATTTTTCCATCACTCGACCATGTGACATCGGTCAAACGAGAATAATGTATATTCGAAATGGATCCGAATGGCATTTTCTGTTGCGTATCATACAGATAGACTGAAGTCTTTGAAGCAACTGCGAAAACCATTCGGTAGGGTAAATCAATCATTGGTGCAGTGTTTTCATTGTGTGGACGTAATTTAAATATGACTGGACAGCATCGAACTGCTATTGTAAAATGGTCAGCAGATGGAATGACAACGGCTGGTTCTTTTGAATACCGTGTAAAAATGTATGTTGTATTCTGTAATTTACTTGGTTTATCCAATTTCTCTGGCTTCTCAAGTTTGTCAGTTTTTTCAGCGATTTCATCTTTTGACTCATTTACTGCTGTCTCGTCAGTGATTTCATCCTTGACTTCGGTTTGTGCGGCTGTTTCGTTACTTGACGTTATTATGTCCGTACATCCAGATGGCACAATCCTAAAATGACACAATCATTTGTATTTACACACATTGTTGGTTATGTATTTTTTTTTTTTTTGTTCAATTAATTTACAGTAAGTTTCCATCAGGTGAGTAGCACAATCGTCGATAAAATGTTGCAAGAGTATCATCATGGAAGAGTCGAATCTTCTTGTTATACAACGGCGATGTCTCAGAGACTGGATATGTCGCCTTGTTGATGCGGCGTTGCACTTTGCCCGTTTTTGGATCAAATGTACGTAACATACTATAAAATGAATACAAATGAATACCAACATTTTACACCATTGGAATAAAATCAACAACAACAACGAAATGAAAGTGAAGCATACCGATCAGATGCAATCGTTGCAACCGATTTGTCTTTTGGATCCCAAGTGACGCCTTGAACAAAATTTTTATGATCGTTTAAATGAAATTTGCTCTTTCCCTTCATCACATCCCATACAATTGCGGTGCAACCGATTTCACCCGAAATTAAAAATGCTGAGTCCAATGACCACGACATATCAAGAACATCATCCAAATGTCCGCGTAAAGTTTTAAAAACGTTCCATATTTCTTTGTTTTGTTCACTGCTATCATCTGTTAAAAGTCAAACAAACAAAAATCGTGTTTAAATACCCAGCGATATGAATATGCATCTGATTTCTATCGAAATCTTACCAAAAAGACTCGGTTCATTTTCACCCTTTAGCTTCCATATAAAAATCGCGGAATCATCATCGCCAGATGCCAAATATTGTCCAGACGGTGACCATCTGACACAATTCACAGGTTTTAAATGTCGTGTCAAATCGGATGCCAATTCCAATTGCGGCAATCCCTCATCATTGTCAGCTATATACCAAATCTATTGAAATATTTTATGATTTTCTTTTTATACAAATGGTCAACGAAAAATGGATTGGAAGATGAATACAAGCAACGCGCTCATTTCTATACGAACCAAAACATGTGAATCGTAACCACCAGATGCCAATCGAATTTTATTATCACCTTCCAATGGTTTTGGTTGAATATCGACACTCAACACTGGATCGCGATTATGCCATGAAATCTCCGGGATCAGGCACTTCATGGTCGATATTATTATTCACGAAAATTTACTTAAAAGGTGTTAAACGAAATCTTTTCTGTTATGTGCAACACAGCAGTCAACAAAGCACAGCCGTACGATAATATAATAACGTCTAAAGCGCGCCAAAACTAAATGTCAAATCAACACATTCAATTGGTTCAGTGATCACTTTACAAGTGGCGCCACCAACGTCTATATTAAACTGTTGCAACTAATATATGATTTCACATTGGATTGAAAGTCAAGAGCGAACTGAAAAATTCAAAGTTAAAAAAATATTATTGTTTTTTTTTTTTTTAAATGCGAAGAAGAAAAAGAGAATGATTCAACGCATTAATATAGAATTTATTATTATTTTAAAATTATTACAAAAGTTACACAAGTTGATTATATTTTGTTGGAATTGGTGACAATGAGATTTTAAGATCTCGATTCGAAAGCTTCCGCAATTCAATGGCCGAGTGTTTAAGTTGTATGCCACAATCTGGGCTGACATTTTGAGGTAGTAACAATGCTTCTCGTTCAAATAGCGTTGAAAGTGCTTCCAAAAGCTCTACAAAGCCCAAAGATAATGCTGCCCGGCGAATTCGGTTGAGTTCCTAACGAACAAAATGTTCAATTTCCGTTAAAAAAATTCTTTGAAATATTGAAAGTTTTTGGTTTAAAATTTTGAAGGTTGATTAGCTATTTAAAAATCAAACCTTATAAAATTGTTGTGTTTTTTCTGGTAATTTTTTAGCATGTCGCAATAATTTCTGAATGTCAGACTGTAGCCCTGCTTGTTTGATCCAAACAACACAATTTTGTGAATAGCTTCTTTTTTCAGGTTTGATAGGAAATTGTGCATTTTCGCCTGGTAACGCTTCATCGGCCGTAGCAAAATATTGAAAGTCACCCAACCACGGAATGTTGTCGTTGCCTGTAGAAAAATCATAAAACCATAAATATAAAGAAAAATGTTGGCAACTAAAACAGACTTCTTACCGGGTGGTAAAATGGTTAAAATGATATTCGATTTCCTTTTAATGTCTGAATATGAATGCAAGAATCCAAACCAATCATCGTTGAGAAGAACAACTGCCGCTAGATTCTCAAATTTCAAGGCACCGTGAAGCAATAGAGCGGCCGATTCATTATTTGACTTATTCTGTTCGCCGTTTTCTTCGTCTTCGCTTTTATTTAAAAATGATTTAATGTCATTTTCCATTTTTTCCATATCTGTAGTTCCCTGAGCGCAATTTGTGGTGGCATTCTCATTCGGCAGCACCAAATGACGACTGAGAGACATCGGTGAACCAATGTCGGATAAATTAAGAAATCCGCATACGATTATTGTTCGAGATATCATTTTTGGTCCATCTTTTCCATCATCGTGTGGCTGATTTATAGAAGAAAATAAATTTTGTATTGATTTTATTTTTGGTGAGTATTGTGAGTACATACCATTGGCGCTGGCCAAATAATGACCGGCGACTCGAGCTTGTGATAGTCACCACCATTCAAAGTAGCTTCGAACGGTTTATAGTTGGTTTCACACAGTTCCTCAATCAGATGTGTGATGATATCACTCTTCCATTGAGCTGTCGTTGGATATGTTTGACTTGGGAAATTACAATTTGTGCCCTTAGTGATTTTGTTGTCATTTTCCGAATCAATATGTGCGATGAAAAGTTTACCCTTTTGACCGCTTACATCCAAAAATTGCTGATATAATTCGATGGCATTTTGAAAATACGGATCGACGGTCGATCCCAAGCAAATGAAACTCAATTTACTCAAACTCGAAAATGGAATCCAACTCTCCCTAGACACATCATTCAGTAGATATTGGGGATTTGTCGAAAGCGCATTTGATGATGATGACGATGATGATGCCGATGCTGCTTTCGATGCATTTTGTGTTGTCAAATTTGCAATGGTGCTTTGAAGTGAGGTGACTCCCAGACCAACACCACAATGTGTGAATACCACTATCTTTAACGAAAGAAAAACAGAACGGAAAAATCAATAAAAGATCAAATGCTAATTTTTCAATGCACCTACTTGGTTGTGATTTTGACTTCCCCAGCTTGATAATAATATTGAACCGGCCATGCGAAGCATATTTTCCAAACATAATTTATCGTAATGCTCTACATTGTACAGTGCTTGTCGAATTGCATCATAGTCTCGTGTAAAATCAACCAAAACATCGTATTTTGATGAATAAACCAACTAGATAGAGGAGAACGATAATACGTGAATATTATAACAATTAATCATCATCAAATGTTCAACAAATAAAATTCGGCTCAAGAATGTGAACACAGCGTTTGTTTTTGTTATGGTTTTCTTTCATTTTATTCAAAATATTCAGTGAAATTCATTTTCATTTGTTTTCGTTTGAATTTGTTTAAATACATTTATTGGCGCTAGTTATAATGTTAAAAGAATTGAAAACGGTTTTTAAATATAAAAAAAAGAATCTGTTGAATTGAGAAACAATTTGTTTTGTTTTTGTTTTTTTAACGAAATTCGACTAAAGGTTTGCCCTATTTTGCAGTTTGCTGAGCTTCGCGTTTTGCGTTTACTAAATCAACAAGTTCCTTAACACGTCGTAGGCAATCCTTTTTCGATCGATTCGGTATGCATTCGGCGATACGATCCCAGCGATCCGGTGTTGACACTGGATATGTTTTCATTGCCTGTTCTAACAATGCTTGCTCATCTTTGCTCCATGGTCCAGCGGCAACTTGTGATGGTGCTGTTGCCGTATCATTTGTATTTGTTGGTGTTGATTTTTCATTTTTTTCATTTTTTTCCGTGTGGCCATTTGTTTTAACCGCTTCAGCAGCTGGTTTTTTCGATGTTGTACCATTTATTTCGGTTTTCTTGTTCTTTTTGCTTGCATTCGTTTCACCATCATTATTCACACTGATTTCAGCGTTGTCAACAATTTTCAATTCTTTTTTCGTTTTTTCAAACGATTCGAATGCATTTTGATTTGCTTGCACTTTAAGACTATTGTGCGCAAAATCGCTGCTCTGTAAATCCTTGGCCTTATTTAAAACGTCGCGTGCAGCAAATTTACGATTTGATAAATTAGTACAATGTTGATTGAGATAGTTGGCAATAACTTCCCATCGTTGCACAGTTCCGGCTGGAAATAGATTCACAGCTTTTATCAATACTTGCATATTTTCGGGACACCACATTGCATTTTTGTCAACGCTTTTAACCGCTGTATTTTGTTTGGCCTGTTGTGCTTGTTGTGCGGCCGCAACCGTCTTACTTGCACCGAATACCGCTTGTCGTTCTTCTTCTAATTTATCTTCGGTTTGTTTCAACATTTTGATGAAACAATTTCGTCCGCCATTCGATAGATCTTTATTGAACGATTGCAAATCTAAATATTTTAACATTTCGCAAATTTTTTCAACACCTTCCATATTTTTAATTCGTTCTTTGTCACTGGTTGAATAGTAATTATTTTCTTTGGCCATGTCACGCAGAATTTTTCGCTCTTTTTTCAATGCACGCTTTTGTTGTTCCTTTTCCAAACGAATCTGTTCGATTCGCTTTTGTTCGGCTTGTTCGGCACGTTCTTTAGCCAATTGAGCTTCTTTCAAAACTCGTTCCTCTTCGGCACGTTGTGCTTGAACGGCACTCATGCGAGCCCGTTTTGCCGCCTGTTTCTTTTCTTTTTCTTCATTCTTGATGCGTACGATGCGCGGATCATTGTTATAGGCTAAATCAACCAATGCTCGAATACGTGACATTTCCTCCTTTTTTCGCTTAATACGAACAGCCTTGTTTTGCTTATCAATCCAACGCCGTTCATCACGATCTTGACCCTTATCTTTGTCTTCTTCATCCAAATAACTGTATTCACGCCAAGATTCAAAACTATACCAGAAATTGTAAAAGTTTTCAACATGTTCTCTATTGGCATCTTCACCACCTAATTGAATAACACGAAACAAACACAAAATGAGTATGACGCTCAATAACATATACAATTGCCATTGGATATGTTTCAAATTACCTATTTCCGGAACTCTTTTCTTTTCGCTCCATCGTGCATTCAGACCAAAATACTTGGAAAAAGTCTCATAGAAATTTTTATTTATTTCACTTTGTGTTGGCAATGAGTCATCGAATATTGGATCTACGGAATCGTATGAGCGTCGTTTTGTTGGATTTCCTTATGAAAAAAAAAACATTGCAATAAATTTTGTCGTTCACAAATCGTTCGATTAGTCTTTGTTGTCAATTAAACTATTTACCTAGAGTCTCGTATGCTTTTGTTATGCACGTGAAATAATCGCTATCAGTGTGCACGTTTTCGCCTTGTGCTTTCCTTTTGTCTGGATGATGTTTCAACACAATTTTTCTGTATGCTCGCTTAATATCGTCATCGGTGGCATTGTATCTAAATTATGGTGATTGTTCGTTAAGTTTGATTTGTTTGTAGAAAATGCGGCGAATTTGGTTACCTTAATGTCTTCAATCCCAATACATGATAATGATCTTGATCTTTCCATTCTTTTGGATCCAAGCTTCTTAAGTAGTCAACATCGATTTCGAATTCCGTTTCATTAGCCGATATTTCGTCTATGGAACTGGCACTAGATAGAACGCCATCGCCACCATGTCGAATTTTATGTAGATATTTCATAAAATGCGGTCCGACGCATTGAACTCGTTGCTGAACCAAAGGTTGGCATATTGCCACTGTGTATTTTGAATTTTCGGCACTCATTTTATTTCAATTGATTTTGCACGTTTCTGCGCTTTATTCACGTTCAATTTACAATGTGTATGTATGGGATTTTCACCAATCTAATCGACGCAAAAGTATTGCAATTTTCTTCGAGAAGAAATTTTTTTTTTCACACTATTATAGATATTCAGGTACAAAAATTGTGTAAATTTAATTTCTCGGTGTTCGTTTTGTGATCAAGATACAGCTGTCTTTTAATTATAATCAATTTGTGTGTGCAATGACACTAGTTTATAAGTTAACCTCAAACACGTGCTCAACATGAATATTACTCCCGATATACGAATTCACAGTGCGATGTGTGTGCCAAAAAATTTGACAAAAAAAAAATCGATGGAATTTTTGCGATTTGAATGCTGCTTCAAAGTTCAAATCGATTTGCGTAATTTTAAAACCTTTCCACTTCAATTGCAACGAATTGATTGTAAATGTTCAACAATAAAACCCGTCAATTATACAAAATATCACATATTAATATTTTTTTCTCTTTCAATCCAAAGGCTCATACGACACTGTAGCCAAAATAGCGCGCGGGTTCTATGCGCTTTTGTTTCTTTGATTTCTACAAAATGACTGAAGAAAGCACTCATATTTGACACTATACAACGAACAATCATGTTCGTATCGCCATCTAACGAGCATTTGCGCAATTTCCACTCAATGAATTAAAACACTAGAGTTGGCTTGCATTCAAACCAAAAAGAAAAAATCATCATCACACTTGTGAAATTCATTCTTTCAAATTATTCGAAAAAATGATAAATTAATTTCGCAATGCCAATGGATCGATTGAAGCCTCGAACTTAATCGCTTTGAACATTGCAGCAAAATGGAGCATTCTCATAGAACACTTTCAATGTTTTCAATAAATGAGAACAATGACATTCAAAACCAAACTGATTCTCTTATGAAAATGAGTTGAATCGTTGCATTTATCAAATATGTTTAATACATAAATGATAATTCATCATATTTTCATAACAATTTCCCTAAAATTCATAAATAATCAACAAAATAAGACATGTTGCTGATAAGCATGTTACGCTTTGATGACAAACAATTGGTTTATTGTCGGAAATGTGTTGGTACTTACAAGCGAAACATGTTCAAGTTTTGAATTTTTTGTGAGATAATTCAAAAATTCGTTGATTCCTTGAATGGCCAACTGACTATAAGTAATATTATCGTCGTTTGTGCCATTTGTTGCAACCGGTACAGCTCTTGTCATTGACAATGATACGTCTAATGCAATTATTGTTGGCATTTTTATATCGAAATTTACTTCAACTTTATTTGATAAAATGCAATAAACACCATTGATTCGATGAAATGATGTAGTCAATGGACAAAACCAATTCGAAACGAGTACAATTTGTCGATTATTCAGTTATTGAATTGTCAAGTTCTGCACACTATACACATACACAAACTAAGCTTCGAACAACACAAGAATTGACGCAAACGAAATGTCATATGTCGTTGTTGTTTCGGTTTTGATGTTTTGCGGTACGATTAGACAAATCGACCTTACGACAACTGCTACCACCTGAAAAATTGAAATATTTTCTTATCTGAAGGGTTGGCATATAAATTCGTACAAAATTTGATATTGAGTGTACAACAGCTGTCAATTGTCGTAGGGATTTTCGTCGAATGTTGTTTTTGATTGCGCTTTGCAATCATCACAAGCACAAAAATTCCGACAAAATTGCACTCGTTTTCGGTGGATTTTCAATTTATCGAACGATTTAACGAAAGAGAACGAGTGAATTTGATTTTAATTTAAATGTGATTAATCGGTACACATCAAAAATGTGGGACTCGTCAATGTTTCTATCGACATTAACACCAAAATTTTATGTTGCCCTCACCGGAACTTCTAGTCTTATATCTGGCTTAATACTCATATTTGAATGGTGGTATTTTAGGAAATATGGCACATCGTTCATCGGTAGGTCTATCGATTTCGACATTTCTACATGGTGATTACATTTAATATTTTTTATATTATTGCAGAACAAGTGTCATTGAATCACATAAGCCCTTGGTTCAATGGCGATACGGATGATGAGACAAGCACAACAAATAATCAACCAGTACCCGAATGCAAAGTGTGGAGGAATCCATTAAATTTATTTCGTGGTTCTGAGTATCAACGATTTTATTGGGCTGTAGCTAAAGAACCTCTTACCTATTATGATATGAATTTGAGTGCACAAGATCATCAGACATTTTTTACATGCGAATGTGATGCTGGCAAAGCCGAATATGAACTAATGCAAACAGCGTGGCGTGAACGAAATCCAGTGGTTCGAATAAAAACAGCTCGAGACGGTAAATGATCTCATACATTATTTGATCAACGCGGCTTTTTTTTTCGTTATTCGTCCATTTGACAAGTGATTTCGAAGGTGTTCGACACCCGTCGAATGGACGCAATTGTATTTAGTTCCTTTTATCAGAAATGATTTTTCGTGTCATAGAAAAAGTGCAATTGTGAAATGTGAAAAACTAATATTGGATTTGTCTTTTTTTTTTTTCTATTTTAGCGTTAAAAATAAATCCCGAGTGTGGTCCAGCGTATATTTTATTAGCAGAAGAAGAAGCGGTAACGATAGCCGATGCGGAAAAGTATTTACGACATGCACTAAGAGTGGCTGAATTAAATTATCGAAAATCACAGGCGCTTCAACATCAAGGAGCGCTAGCCGAAGCGGCCCATCGTCGTGATACAAACGTATTGATTTATATAAAACGACGGTTGGCAATGTGCGCCCGAAAATTGGGTCGTCTCAAAGAAGCCGTTAAAATGTTTCGAGATTTAACAAAAGAAATACCACCAATCATGAATGTACTGAATATCCATGAAAATCTTATAGAAGCTCTTTTAGAAATGCAAGCATATGCCGATTGTCAAGCCGTATTGGCCAAATATGATGATATCTCGTTACCAAAATCGGCAACCATTTGTTATACAGCCGCTCTGTTAAAAGCGAGAGCTGTTAGCGATAAATTCTCACCGGATATTGCATCGAAGAAGGGTTTGAGTGCGGCTGAAATGAGTGCGGTCGATGCAATTCATCGGGCGGTTGAATTTAATCCACATGTTCCTAAGTACCTTTTGGAAATGAAATCACTTATTTTTCCACCAGAACATATACTGAAGCGTGGCGATTCGGAGGCCGTATCGTACGCATTCTGTCATTTAGCACATTGGAAAAATGTGGACGGAGCACTAAATTTATTGCATTGCACGTGGGAGGGCACATTTCGAATGGTACCAAATCCACTTCAATCCGGACATCTATTTTATCCATATCCAACATGCACAGAATGCGCTGATCGTGAACTGTTGCCATCATTTCATGAAGTATCGGTGTATCCGAAGAAAGAATTACCATTTTTCATCATTTTTACAGCCGGTTTATGTTCATTCACAGCATTATTGGCATTGCTCACACATCAATATCCAGAATCAATGGGCCAAATGGCACAAACGTTACTTAATTGGCTTGCCCTTCCATTTTTTTTTCTTAAGGAGCGCTTGGAATGTGTTTGGCCATGCAGTTTATTACAACAATTATATCGAATCTGAAGTTTATTAGAAAAAAAAGGAAAATTGTTTTTAAAACCGGCCAATACAAAACACACTCACCGCATTGGTAACTCAAGTGAAATTGAAACAAACAAATTATAAATAATAAATAAACAAATTAAAAATGAAATTAAAACTAAGTTTGAATTGATATTACGTACTGTATTTCTGTATCTCAGTAATAAACTTAAAATTATTTATTGAAAAACGGTGTTTTTCATTTTGTGCCATTCGAAATATTGTACGCTTGTTGAAATTTGCATTTTAAGTTTTATCTATCGATGACTAACGGTTTGGCGAGCAACGGTGTTCGTTTGTTATTCGATTTGTTTGAAAATTGGCATGTGTCAAATGCAGTTGAGTAAGTATTCTCTTTAGTTTGTTTGCAGATGTCTGTCAAGATGGATTCTTTTCCGAATATTGAGCTGGCCTTATGGAGAAAGTTGGACATTTTCCAACATGAAACCGAATCTGCGCTGAATGATTACCTTTCAAAATGGGCAAATCAATCGATTTCATTGGATGCACCTTTGATTGTGAAATTCAACCTGGATTTCAAGAAGTTGTCTACTATGAAGCCGGTAAAAGTGATTTTGGATTCAATTTTAGACGAACCGTTACAATCGCAGAAAGACATTAGATCGGCTGCATATCTCTATATTAGTTCACTTCTGTTTGAAAAGTTCCCGGAAATTAGTCTACAACCACAACAGATACATTGTATCATCCGCTTCACAAATTTACCGTTGACTGCAGAATACGAATTTATTCCATTTCAACATCCAGTTCGACTGTCGCTCAGCGGAATGAAGTGTGTACTTCATAGTTTCGGTGATAAGTATCTATATGTGCGGCAGTCAATTTGGTACTGCCCAAAGCATTGCGCCAACAATCAAAAACATATATTCGATGGAGAATCTTCGGTTGGCCAGAAATGTTTCGAATGTAATGGCGATCTCAGCGAGTATGAGGTAAGATAATAAGGTAATTCATCATTCGATCATTCGATTATTTCAATAAATATGATTTATTTCTGTGCACAGCATTTTCGTTCGACGTATTCGAGTCGTCTGGTCCGAGTCTTCAATGCACGAAGTGTTGACACACCAATACAGTATGGAAAAATACATCGCGATGTCAGAGTGAAACTGTCTGATGACCTGTGCGACGTGGAAATGATACTGGGCCAAATTTACATGCTCATTGGGACCTATGACATCATCACTCAAACTTATATCGCGTGGAATTTTTATAAAGATCAATGAACGTTGATTAATCAATTTGCAACGTTTATTGTTTTGATTTATCTTGCTTAAAAAATGTTGTTTATTTTATTTAATTTACAATGTTATAATAAACCTTAAATTAGTCATTTTACTTTTACGTTTACAAACAATGCAGAATATCAACATAGCATAGTGTGTAACCGTTTGACACTTAGGTGTGTGGACAAACTGACGTCGTGTATTACTTATTTTTACATTTAACGAAAATCAAAATCGTGTTAAGTAAATTTCGGTGTTCAATTTATAATCTCTGTTGGGAAGTAAAAAAAAGCAAACATAAGTCATGTATAACTTTTGACAACGATGGATTTGCAATCTACCTTGTAATGCATATTGATATTCGGTTGCTGACCGGCAAAGAAAATACTTTCTTTCTGGTACTTGGTGGCGTAATTTATCGACATTGTTGTCCTGGAAAATGGCAAAATAACACAGAATTGTAAAACAAGAACTTTTCATATTTTATAACAAACAAATGATACCCACCAGTTTCGAATGATGTGCACGATAGTTACAGAACCTTATTGTTCGGATATTTTCAAGTACTGACAATGACCGCGAAGAATTTGATGATTGATCATATGGTGAATTCGGTGTCTGCTTGGAACTCGCAAATAGATCCTTTGGAATTTTCAAATTGACATTTTTTCCTCAAAACGGCAACATCAAATGGCCTCATTGCTCTTACTTCAATCTTCAATTTGGTACAGTATGAAAAATGTGGATTTCGATAATCTACACCCCAAATCGAATAACGGAACAGTCCAAAAATGTTAGAAACTCTGCTATAATTTCATACAATTTATTCGACACGACTTTTATTCGATTCTATAAATAATACACAAGGTCTATTTGCATCTTCACACAATTCTAAAGAATATTCCGCAAAATTTGTTTGTTCTATTTTTTTTTTTTCATTGTTTTTTTTTCTCTTCTTCATGAAGAATGTGAAAATTATTGAATTTATGTTGGAAAATTGTTAGTTCAAAGCAAATTTATGTGTATGTGTATGTGTGTTTGAATGAGCTGAAGAATACAAAGGCATCTCATATGACTGCCAGCTGTCAAATGGCAAAATGCCACTATTCCATGTCATATCGGGTTTGATAATTATAAAATATTCATTTTATTTATTTGTTCGTATCATTTTAATCTACAGAAAGCTTAAATTATAATTGCCATGCGCAACAATATTTATAAATCGAAAATTAAATTGAAAAAAAAGGTGAAAATAGATCGTTTCTTTGCATCGAGTATAATAATCTTTAAAAATAAAAAAAATCTGACTAACTCATCGTTTATTCCAGCTTATAAATTCGTTTTGTTTATAATATACTTTCATTTTACGTTCGGGAGGTGTGAAACCTACGACAATCTATTGACCGATCGCATCTCAATGTTTTTTTTCCTAATAAAATTGTTTTCGACTAGCGCCAAAGTATGTGTGTGTGTGTATGTGTGTGGTTTTCAACATTTAACGTCAGTTTCTTGATTTGAGTTCTTGTCGCTTTCTAGATTGCTCTATTCATTCGAACTGAAGTGAAATTGCATTTATAATCAGTCTTGAATTTGTTTTTTTATATATTTTTTTCTTCGTCAGTATTTCCTTTTTATATTCTCAGTGCAACACATTTTTTTTGATTAATTATCGCAATTGTTTCCGTTGTACGCAGAGTTCAAATCATAATTTAGTATGGATTGCAAACAAAAAGAAAATAAGAAAAAAAAGATAGATATTAACACAAAAAGCGATGCTAATAATTTGAATTTTACAGCAGGTGATGGCAATTCATAAAAATAAACGAATAAGGCAACAATTGATCATTTTTTTTCCATCATAATATTTTCCGTTTAATTTCGAACATTTTTACGTTTAATTAATTTAAATTTTCCATTTGAAATTGGTTTTACTTATTCACATGCGGTTAAGCTGAATTGATTGGTTTAGCTATTATTTTTGTTTACCATTTATTATAACAATTAGTTTTATGTATTTATTTACAATGTGACATGCTTTTTATTAGAGAACACTTTTTCCATAAATTTTCTAACGATTTGTTTTTTTTTTTTTTAAATCTTGTCTAAACGTTTATATCAATTAAATATTGAGTTGAAATTGAAAATAGGAAAAAAGAAACACATTAAAGCCAATTCGAGTTTCTTTTAAAAAATAATTTTTTTCTTCTTTTTTGGTAGAAACACTCTACTGCGAATTTAACAAGAATTAATATTGGCTGCACCGGCATTATTTTTTGCTATAATCATTTTCCATGTCATTATTTCAATAGGTCATATTGCTATTTGTTTCTCTTATGATTTATATTTTGTTGTTGTTGTATTAATTCAATATTTTGAGTATTACATTCGCATAAATTCAGTTATTTAGTTTAGTTTTAGTTAAGTCCATTGACATTTCAATGAAATGGGTTAATTATTGTTGTTGCTGTTGTTTGTTGATTTAATAAAAAGAGTAATTTGATAGATTTTTTTTTACGTAGAAAACGTACATACTTAACCGTACAAATCACAATATTAGGTGTGTTATGGTGTAAAAAGTAATTTTTTTTTTCCTGACGATGATTTTTGTTTGTTTGTCTATATCAAATTATTCGTCATATTTCAATTTAAAATGTTTGTTTAATTTAAAACCGATCTGTCGACGTGCAAAATTCGCTTGAATTCCTAATCGTTATCATCCATAATTTTCGAATCAATTTTGTCCGCCTTAGTTTTGTTCTCTTTTTTTTAATGTTTTCATAAATAATTAATTTCCGATTCAGTTTCGATTCGATTCTAGGTCTGGTTGGACAAGTCTTTGGAAATGTTGGATCACTTATTACTTTAAAACGGTGAACTGTTTCAATGCGCAATTTACATTTGTTTGTTGTTTATATCTTATCGTTTTGAAAATGCATTCATGATTCAGTTCCGTTTAAATGATTTCAAGAATATGTTTACTTATGACATCTCGCAATTGTGTGTGTGTGTGTGTTATTAAGGTTTTGGTCACCTTTTTCTTAGTTGAGAAGAGCTCTTGTTTTGATTGATTCGGTTAAATAGTTCTGTGTTTGGTCCATATGAATAGGTATTTTTTTTTGTTCATTATTTTAATTATTTATAATGATAATGCTTTTGTTCGGTTTGGAATTTAAATTTTAGTTTTGTTTTGTTATCATTTGAACAGTTTTCGATATGTAAAGCAAGCAATCATTTAACTGCTATTTTGGCGTGCAAACGGAACCATTACTTATTGCTCCACACATTTTATGTTTTATGTATATGTTATGTTATTTTATGAAGCGATTCCACCGTGTTTGTGAGTGTATGTGTGTTTAAATTTTCATGAAAAATCGTTCTCACAAAATTCCATTCGTTAAATATTGGTATCCATCGTATAATTTGGTTGAGAGTGAATTTAGTGAATCTTGCACTAAACCAATAACTTTCTTTTCCAGCTCCTGTTCGGTCAAGTTCATATGAAAGCGATTTCGTAAATTGCGAATTGTACCCGCACAACCATTTTTGAAGCATGGTAATTGCGCGCCTGCAAAAGATAAACAAGAAGAGCACATATTAACATTAACACCCATTCCATAGAAAATAAAAGGTCTGTAATGTCACTTACTACTTCGCATTATTTCGACAATATTGATGACTCGGTCCATGTGCTTTCGTGCAGCCATTAAACCTTTGATAAAATAGATATTCTATTAAAACCATTCTTAAAACCAATTCAAAACTATATAGTTTACCTTTGAGTAATAAGTGCTGGAATTCAGTCCATAGTGGTGATTCTACTCCTCCCATTACATCAACAAACTCCGGTGTTAATTTGAATGGCGATTGCTCAAAACCTATTCGTCAAATATGTTTTATGATTATTTACATATTTCGCACACAAATTAATCTCTGTTATTTACCTAAATTCTTTGGCGAAATGCTGAGGATAAAACCGAAATCGATGTGTATTAAATGACCATCGGAATGTAATAAGATGTTGCCATTATGTCTAAAATTGTAAGCGAAATTGAAATGTCAATGGATTTTTGTTTTATTTATGCAATATAACAAAAGACTCACCGATCTTTGACTTGAAGCAAATAGGAAATCAAACAATAAGCCGCACAACTTTGCATGAAATTGTATTGTGCCAGTTTAAAACTTTCTGTTTCGGGGCTACCATATTCATCAATGAAATAATCACGTAGACTTTTGTTTGAGTTCTTTTTAATTTGATGTAATGATACGGTATTCAAAATTGGTTCAATCAGCCCACTGTCATTTGAGAGGCACACAATTTTGTATGGTCGAACCCATAAATTGACATTCTCTTCTTGCCAAATTAATTTGAAAATCTAAAATTAAAAAATCATTTAAAATAAACGTCGAAATTTATATTATTATAAATTTTTAACCTCTAATAATTGTGTTGCCATTAATTCCTGTCGAAGATCGTCTCCACATTTGACAATAGCCGAAAGAAGTCTCCAATTTGATAAATGTCCATAAGGTGATGATTCACGAATTTGTCGCTCTTTTTCATGCCATGGTTCCTATTTAACGATTAAAATGAAGTAATAAGTCTAGCGAACTTTCGAATGCATTTTCAATAACGCATTTACAGTCGGATAAACACATACTTTTAATGCAGCAGCAGATGGATCTTCAGGATCTCCGAAAAATGGTTTTGTATTTTCAATATTCAAGTTATTTGTATGCCTCGTTCGCACGTCACCAATATTGAACACAACTGGACCAGATACGCCTATATGATATGAGAGGAAATGTCGAAATAGATTATTTGTAAATACAACCGAATAAAAACGCAATAAAAATGCTTTCAAGTAAAACTTACTTTGTTCCCTCGAATCAATCGAGTCAAGCGACATTTGTGACATTGAATCTCGGTCAGCGATTTTATACATGTTAAGATACTGAGCGGTTATTTCATCATCTTCCGGCAACCACGCATCATCATCGCTGATACCATATTCCTGCCAATATTTGTTCACATCTAGATTTGTATGGGACGTTTTTAATGTCGAACTATTGCATATCTCTATCGTTGATGAATGATCGTTTTGCATTGGTGACGCACTTAAATTTGAGTCAAGATGCTCTTCACTTTTGGTGTGTCTTAATGAAGGCATCATTTTTGGAATCACTGGTGATGTATAAATATCACTAACCTCAACAACTTCAACATAAATAATATAAGGTGTTTTATCTTTTGAATTTAGTACGGCGGTTTTCTCTTCTTTGATACGAACAATATGATGTGGAATATCGGAATTGAGTGGAAGCCATACACGAGCTGGTAGATTTTTATTTATTAAATTTAATCGCATCCGAAGAATGCTCGTTTTCTCCGTTTTCGATGGTAAATGTGTCAAATTACGTCCAATATCGATGAGCGATTTGACAAATTCACGTTGAGCAGCCAATTTTGGTGCACCACATGTACAAACCGTTTTACAACCCAATAAATCATTGACCGCACCACGTACAGACTCAAAACACGTACAACCATTATCGAATGCTCGTCCGGTTGATAAATCGCCCAAACATAATCGAACCGGTGTTTGAAATAGTTTTGGTGCATTTAATGTTAGCAAACCAGTTGCATCTGATTGAGATCGATGATGAGTTTTCTTGATCGGTGAATGTAAATCTTTTACATCTTTAACATCCAATTTATCATTTGGCTCATCAATGCGCAGCTGTTTTCGTTCACGTTTTGGATAAAGTTCTTTGATTAAACTAAGATGGGATTTTTTATCGCTTGAACGCTGTGAAAACGAATCGAAACTGTAATTATATGCTTCCAATAGCCACGAGCATTTCAATGAAAAATCGGCCGCTTTTCGGCAACGATAAACCAAATATGGATCAAGTGCCTCAGCCAAATCGTCTATTTGAATGTACATCAGTATTAGCTGCGGAATATATAAATCCACATCTTGATCTTTAAAACTGAAGATTTTATTTCCAATGAAACTTAAAACGCCCGGCTCTTTCGAATAGAATAAATAATGAATGCCAAAATGAATATTAAAGATTGGTGATTCGAAGAATCGCAGCAAACCGTTGTGACCATTCTCAATTTTCGGAAGCGATATAGTCGTTTGTTCGATTTCTTTATTTGACTTAATGAAACATTTTACAACACCAGGTACCCGAACTTTTTCCTTATCTTTGGCGGTGAATGTTAACGCTGACACGGTTTTTTGCAATTGAACATTTTCAGCATCCGGTGTGGTTTCGGCCGACGAAGAAGCTGTTGTTGATCGATTTTTCGAGCATGGTTTCAATATGAAGAACTCTTTTCGCTTTGATATTTCACTCGATTGTTTTGTTTGATTTTGTTCATCCGATTCGGTTTTGTTATTCTTTTGTGCGTTTTTCTTTTCATGATTTTCGATGATACTTTGCGCCGTTCGAAAGATTGCATTTTTTGTTGCACCAAAAATATTCTTGAAAATAACATCGTTTTTTATATGCTCTGGCTTAACTTGTTCGCTTGATTCGTTATCCAGTTTCGGTGATTTGCTGCCTTTTGTATTCGTTTCGGTTTTCTGTGAGAGCTGCTGATCAGACAGTGATGACAACATTTGTTCATTGGTTGGTGTGGAAGCCGCTTTTGAATTTGTTGCTGTTGCCGTTATTTCATCCTCAAATTCGATTGGAACAAAGATTTTTTGGTTACGCTTTTCCATGTATTTGGCTAAATGACTCATATTTTGATCTCTGTATTTGCACTTATCGTCTATATTCGTTTCAAAAGTTGACGTGTGGCCAGTACTTTTATTCTTATTTGATTTTGTTGCAAGTTTATCATCATCGGAAGCTGCATAAAATGTTAAATCCGATTGCAGTGTTTTATATTCTTCGTCCATGGATGTGGTCTCCAATATTTCGATGCATTCTTCTTCCGGATCGATTTCACCAGAGTCAAGACTTTCTCTCGATCGTCGCATTCTCGTCAACGAGGCTTGATCTGTTTCCGAACTACATATTATACCTGAATCGTCAGATCCTAAACTAGTCAAATCTTCTCGTTTCTTCGTAGTACTATCGCCATTACTTGAAACATTGTCACATTTGACCTTTTCGGAATTGTTTGAATTGGCCAAGTTATTACTCCTCGTCGGACATGATCCTATAATAATCATAATCATTGTATTAATATAGTTTTTTTTTTCGATTTCAATACAATATAACATATACATACCGATTACGCTGGCTTTGCTGCAAACAGCGATTGGTGTATTATTTGGATTGGTTGCGGACGATGGTGCCACTTTACTGCACATTGTTGTGCCCAAAATTGAATTGGTGCACAATATGTTCTCTGATTCAGCGTTTGGCGACGATACTTCCACCTAATTTACAACGTTTACAAACAATTAATACGAACACGATTTAAAGAAGAGTTTCATTGTGTTGTTGATGGAATTTACCTCTGGGATTCGTTGAAGTGCACTATCAAGGCTGCGATTTCGATGATGTTGTGTTAGGTTGATTCGTGTGTTTGTTACTTGTGAGACTGGCGGCAAAAGAATGCCCATCGACCTAAACAGAAAGCATATCAAATTGATCGTTATATTGTTAATCACTAGTTATGAACAATGAAAAATAATTATAGCTCCAAATCTTCTTTTCCTCTTGTAGAACATCATTTCACGTCTACGCATACATAATAATTGAATTAATCATTTCATTTTTAGTATTTTTTGTGATGGATACAATTTTGAATTCATGAATTGAGTGCACTCACACTCAATTTACTGTTTTCGGGCTTAAAATCAAACTGAAAATGTAATTGAAAGGGCATAATTATAATGCAGCCACCGATAAATAAGCCTCTTGTGAATGATTACATTTATCTAAGCTACATAGCAAGCTTGTACTACATCGCTTGATAAATGAAAAGCGAAAAAATTGCAAAAAAAACGAGCGCATCAGAGAAAAAACGATGAGAAATAGTGTTAATTATCTTAATGAGCCGATTTATTAACCATTGAGTGATTACTGCACGTTTGAGATTGTTTTTTTAAGTGGCTCGTATTTTTTCTCTATATTTCTTTGATTTTCAAAATGAATTTACCACATTCCAAATATACATGATCATGTAACGGTGATGACTTTCCTTAAATTCACAATTAACGATATATTTTATCGAAAATGATCATTTAACATTTTAAGATGAGACAGTGGTCAGAAATCGACGCCAAAACAACTGATAAAACAAAATAGCGATATATGAATCGCATCTAACGAACATGATAAGCAAAAAGAGCATTGGTAATAAAAAAAAAGTGCTCCAAATTGACACATACATACATACAGAGAGATCTGGTGCGCGATTTTCACTTTCACTTATATTTAAATTGGTTTTTATGGGCTCTGAAACACTTGTGAGCCAACCAAGTTTCGCATTCCTAAGCAACAATGAATTGACGCGAAACAAATGAGATCCAACGCATACGGTCCACACTGCTCTGTAATAGTTTGTGAACGGATCTATTCAGACGATATGATGCACGTTTTAGTTGAAAAAACAAAAACAAAAAACAAAATATATAAACAAGCAAACAAGGCAAATTAAGTTCAAACTAAAACAGGCTACTTAATTTTTTGTCTGATAAAGTCTTTGACTTGATTGTGGCGATGCACGTTCATTCATTCATTCATTCATTGAGTGCATTTGTTTAGCGCGACTTAAGTCAGCACAATGTTTGCATGCATGCATCTACTTAATATACTGATGTTTTAAATGCGTATGTATGCACTTAATACTCATTATTTTATCAGTATGAAATACGAGATTTCATTCACATCGTTTGCTTAATTACCTTATCAGTTGAAGCGAAGCGTACGATTTGAAGGGGAAAAGAGTGGATGTGAAACGAATGAAAACAACAACAACAAATTGAACAGTCTGTACACAAAATTAACGAATATAACGTAATACGCGATACTTATGTAAGGCTGTAGAGCTATGTACTCAGATCGATATTTGAATATACGAATCATAAAATGCGGGCTTAACATTTTATTGAAAAACGTAAACTGTGAAAGAAAAGAAACGTTCACTGTCCATCTTAAATGAAATAGAAACATAATTGCGTGTGTGGGATATTGTCAATTGTACACATATGGAACATAAACTACATCTTAGATACTTGGAAAAAAGTGAAAAGATACCATTGGCATTAGCTTACCTAAAGTCCAGACTAAGATTTCGTTGATGTGTGGATATTCTGGTGCGTTTTGTCTCACCACAATTGCCGTTGCTACCATTTTGTGAATTAGATGTCGATCGACCATGAACCGATGGCAATGGATTGCTACCTATACCGCTGAGACTAAGGCGTTTATAAAATCGATTATTCGTACTTTTATTCGATGTTGTTGGTGCATTCGTTTCGCCATGTCGATTCAATTTCTTATTTGATGCAGCTGATAATATTGGCGTATGTATACCATTGCCATCATTCAATTGTATGGCATCGCAATGCGTTTGATGCGTGCTAGAATCTTCTGTACCATTTGACACAATTGGTGAATCGCTAAGACACGCTAAATCGGACGTATTTGTGGACGGGTTGGTTGTGTCGGTGTTTTCTTTATTTTCGCTATCTCTTGAACTATGATCGGTGACACCATCCATCGCTACCTGTGCGCCATTTGACGGAATGTTTGTGTAGCTGGCTACTGACTGAGAATTTATAACTGGAATTACTGAAGACGTGTGCTGCTGGTCATATGAGTTCGCCATTGGTTTTGTGTCATTTACCGTTGACGTTGTGATATTTTTATCAATATTTACATGACTTGATTCGGTGTGAATGGTAGTGATGATGGTGCTGATGGCGTTGCCGTTGCCATTGCTATTGCTGTCGCAATCAATTTGGTGTGTATTTTGTTTGGTTGATTGTGGAATGATTTGTTCCATTGACGATGTTGACGGTGATGATGGCGTTGATGTGGATGCCGATGTTGAATTCACTGTTGTTGGACATTTGGTCAATCGTAAATTGGGAGCAATGTCATCGTCATCATTGTTACCAACAAATGAGCTCATCTTTGCGCTTGAACCAATTTCACGAATGTGCCGTAGATTTAATAGATTTGCATAGCTACTACTGTTGGTCGAGCCAATTTTTTTCACCTTATTTGATTGTATGCTACCGTCAGATTTACTACCCTTAAATGCCGAAAATACGGAATTCATTTTTAAAACAGTTTCCTCGATAATAATTGATTGTTATGGTTATCCAATGAAAACTAAGCCAATTATATGAAGACCACATATTCATGCGTCAAGTGTCAGGTATACGATCGCCTACTCACAATTTACTTGTCTCGCACCTAAAATGAAAAGAAACAACAAATATACACACTTTAGATGATTTCATTTTGTAAATAATAACAAAACATTCAATTGAATTCGCTAAACAAACGGTAAGGTATTTTGTTTTTTTCTTCACTCTAACGCAACCTATAACGCATAACCAAAGTAAACATATGGTATTAAGTAAAATAAAGTCGTTTCGCTGAACGAAAAAATGCGGTTTTATTATTGTTCACAGTAAATTTTGTTGTAAAAACGCGTGCTACTTTTGATACTCTGGATATTGTTAATTTGTTCTAGCAACCAACTGAATTTCATGCACGAATCTCAAACACTCATACATACGATACAGATAAAATCAATTCGAAAATTTTGTTGACAAATAGTCATGAGAGCCGCTTGAAGCTATAGCTAAATACATCCACAATCATTTTTATGTATTCGGTTTTTGCTTTTTTGTTGTCATTCACAGTTTGCTTTGTCTCTCTTTGTTTTTGTCTAAGTCGCTTTTGTATGATTTTTCGTCTTGAGTTACAATGCTGTTGAAGGTCGATTATAGCGGTAGCTTAAAAAAAAACAAACTAACGATAGTCGGTTTTTGGGTTAAGATACTTTTTCTCTTTCGTTGAATATGAACTCAAAAATAATTAAAGATAGACGAGAGAAAATTCATGCGATCACATTGTTGAGCTGCAAATGATTACATGGTGAAATGAAAAATCGTTGATTTATAGACAGTAGAAAGGGAGAGGGAAAGAGTAAAAAAATTAATTTCCCACGAAAAAATAAATAAACAGTAAATGGCATGAAGCAACGAATGAAGAATCGAATCACGAAAGTCAACCATTCCTTCCTGTGTTCATTATACATACCTGTATACTTGAGGCTGATAAAATAGCTATGGATTCGTGAAAATGGCAAATAACACGGTCAACGTCCACGCAATTTGTTTAATACACTACTCAACAGTGTATTGCACCATGCATGGTCATTGGCTCGAATCATGACACTTGCTCACCAACATTCATACCAAATGAAATGATATTAAGTGGATAATTAGCAGCCAAACACATTCATGCGAATTTTAATGAAAGGTACGAAAGAGTAACGCTTGTTGTTGTTGTTTTTTCGATTTGGCTGACATAAAATTATCAGTGATTTCTATCGGGTCCAATCGGTAGATCGATCATAAAAGATCAAAGTGATTAGATGAGTTCCGAGCACTGGAACCATTCATTGAATGCCATTTTGAAATGGATTGAATCGCATTGAACTAGTTGAACAGACTGGCGATCAATAAGTCAAATGAGATATGTTAATTTTTTAAGATGAAACGATAAATGAGTGTGTAGATTTTTTTTATGCACGAGTGCACAATCCAAAAATAAAATCGTTCATGGCAAATGTCACAAAGACTGAATTTGGCTCGAAAATTTCGACAAGAAAATGCCAAATATCTGTTTTAAATCGGGAATTTATTCACTTTTTCTTTCAATTTTTTTTGTTGTACATCTTGAACGGAATTTCTCAATCATCATTCCGGGTATGGCATGTTTTGTGAATGTGAAAAGAAGAAAAAGAAATACGAAACAAATTGATGGGGAATGTTATTTGATCATTCCGTTTAAGTTACAATCACTGGAAACGGGGTACATTGGCCATGGCTTTGAGTTCGAAAATGACCACATGTACGAATTATCTCGTCATTTTTTAATCATTTTACCATAGACATGTATATTGTATATACACAGAACTCCAATATAATTCAATAAAGAAACACAACGGCGCTAAGCTCATGGGTTAGAAATTAGAAATACTATCGAAAAACCTTGAATGAACAGAAGTTTTGCGAATGGTATATAAGCCGATTTCACCCAATACATATCTGCGCAAAGTCGCAAGCATTTATTTTAATTCCATGAAATGAGTCATTTCTAAGAAGTGCCCTCCAACATACACTATGCATTATGAGCAAAAAAAAATGTTGATAAACATCTCATCTCATACCGAAATTCGCTTCTACACCGGCTTTTTTTTTACTATTGTCGTTTTAACAATATCATTCTAATTGCTACTGAGTCTGGCGGTCCTTTCTGTTTGGCGCGAGAAAATTTTCGGGGCGATATCAAATATGGGTTTTTGAAAAAATAAACGCTTGAGCTTTATTATGAACTCATGTAACTTGTGCGTGTTCATTAATACTTGTTGTGGTGTATAAATATTTCTTTTTTCTTTCTAAATCCCATTACGAGATTGTATTCCAAGCATTTTCACATTTAAAATTGTTGTGTTGCTCCGTAAAAATGTGTTGAGATAGAGAATCAATGGCAAAAAAATGTTCTTTACACCGAATACGGCATGTCATTACAGAATGCCATAAATACCTTTACATAAATGATTATATGACAGTAATGCCGAAGAGCCAAACACACGCTGAAACTTGTAATTGTTTTAGTTTTGTAGTTGTTGTTGTTGTTTCTCTTGTGCCGCAAGTATGATATCAAACAATTATGTACGAATACGTCACATAGTTGCAGATAAGAGAAAACTTGCTAAAACTAAAGATTATCAAAACGTGACGCACACAATAAGAACCTTGTTTCTATATGCTAACATTTGTCAATTGAAAATTCGTCATCAAATGTGAAACCGATTTTGCTTTACTCCGTAAGTCCATTTATCTTTGTCTACTAAAAAAGAACATGATTATCATAAGAAAAGAGCCGATTTTCAGACAAAATAAACAAATGTTAATCAAGAATTTTAAAATATTGCCTTTTGTAATGAAATGTTTCAGCTAGAACTTGCATTTGCGAGTGTGTATAAATGACGACAGGTAATATTTGGTAAAAATGATAATGAAAAAAAAAGAATTGCCGAAAATACAAGTAAAACAATTGTTTTTTAAAAAACGCCCATTAGAAAGTGCCATAAATGTTTAGAAAACATTATTTTTCGTAAAATGTTTTTTTTTCTCTTCTTCACAACATACACACTTTTTTCTACCTCAATTTAAATTGTAGATTACCGTCAACATCGACACTAAGAAATAGAGCTGCAAACTGAGTAACAGGCACACATTTTTAAATTATTTACTCTTTTAGCAAAAATATTTACCGGAATAGCATTAATTTAATTACTGTTTTATGATGTGTTTATAAAAAACGAAAAAAATTTTTTTTTACTTGCTGAATAGAAATCACTAGGCACTTCATTAAAAGAAGTGAAACACAAACAGAAAACAAGAACCGTTAAATATTCATTTGAAAGATTTTATATCGTTGTCAAGAGTATAAAGTGTAGCAACTCCATAAATAAATATACGTACACAATTGTTACACACAATTTCACGCATTCGGTAAATTGCACATGTGCGATTGTTTCGCATCTGGGTTTTTGTTTGTTTTTCATCATGATCATCGTCGTTGTTGTCGTCGTCGTTGATGATGATTATTTTTAAAAGCAGCGGCAATTTATTTGTGTTACCCATGCACTTGTGAGCCAATGTTGAAATGGTTGTTGTTGTTTTTTTTTTTAATTGAAATTAAAGCGAACGAATTGACGAATGCGTGAGTGCACGCTGGAATGGGAGCGATTATGTATAAGTGCATCCATAGTTTGAATGAAAAACAAACTATAAAACAAAAAAATAAAATAAATGCAATAAAATTATAGTAATTTATTTGCTCTTGAAACTGTGCACTTATGTGTCACACAGCAAATGCCAAAGAATATGAATAGCACTTGAAGCAATACGCACAACATTTGTAACTTATGATTTCTGCTTATTATCAATGCTTGTCTCCGAAATCTCTAGCACATAGCACATAATCAGCTAAGAAAAAAGAAACCGTTCTTTTTGTTTCTCGTATTCCACAGTAAAATGTTTCGTTCATCCATGTCAAAACCAGCTACGCATTACAGACATACAATGTACTCATATAAATAGAACATATAGACTGAATGATAGTGTGAAACGAAAAAAAAGAGAAGAATTCAGGACAATATAGAATTTTGATATCTCGAGTACGGCTTAAAATAAAGCTAGCATAGATTATTTCTTTTGTTTTGTATGCGAGCACATGATTTATATTTTTAAATTTGGAATGTTTCTATTTTTTTTCCTCTCGCTACAGATTTAAGAAACGCGAATGATAGCATCGATTCATATATTGTTCCATTTATAATACGTTCGCTGACGTTGATATTCTAGTTTTCAAAAGTTCAAAAAATCATCCGAAAAAAATAGAACAAAATCATTTGGTTGAATCACGGCGCGTTTGGTGCGCAACGAATTCCAGAGCATTTTTTATGACCGATGAAAAATGTAAACTAATCAACGCTGAACATTTCTAACGAAATGAAAGCAAATGTGGAACCCATGATGTGTGCAATTTCTTATGTTTTTAGTGCATATTTCAACAAAAACTATTTATCGGTTTATGGCTGCTCGATGCCGTTTTGAATGAAACGAACGCAATGCGAAAAATGCCATAGAACAAATGAAGATAGATAAACGGCACAAATATTGTTTATGCACATGGGGAACACATTTTCAATGTTGTACACAGAACTACAAGAATAAGACGTCGACAACGACATAGAGAGATGGTGAGAATGGGAAGAAGGAAGGTAGAAACCATCAAACGGATGGAGTACAGAATGATTTTGAATGGTTTGAACGTTGCTGGTTGATGACGGAAAGGGAAAATCGTTTGAATCATCAATTGACGAAGCATATGCACCGTTGAGCGTTGAGCGTTAAACGTTCAATGTTATATTCAAACCATTCAACACTTCATATTTTATAGCGACACTATTCAAAGAGACTCCCAACAGGAAAAGTGTAGAGGAAAAGCTGCCAAGCTGACATGATATCAAGAGTGAATGATATAAATGGATACCGCTATATGATATGTGAGAGTTTGTATTCAATCACAACACATTCCATGAAAATAAAACAAAGAAGATGAATAAAAAAAAATAACAACAATGTTTTTACAATAATATCATCAGATCAGTAGCCTGAATGCGGTCGATGTTGTGCATGACAAAATACGACGTAATATTTTGAAACAAGAAGCTTATGCATTAACATTGTACTCACATTCCACTAAATTGAACGTGTGTGTGTGTGTTCACCACATATAGTTGTGTTTCATGTACACGATAACATCAACCAAACTGACTTATTTATAAAATTAGATTAATTTTTACCAGAAAAAGAAGCAGAGGGGAAGCACAATGAATCGGACGAAAGAAATGTTGGTGTAGCCCAAATGGAATCGAGTAAAATGAAGTAGAATGGAATGGAATTCATTGATCATTTTTCTTTTAGTTTGTACATTTGTAATTGTGCGTAAGACGATAGCGTCGTCCGCATACAAAAATGTTGAGCGTTGATGCAGAATGGATAGAGAAATATAGTTTGTAAACAACATCATGTCACTCATTATATGTCGGCGTATACAAATTTTTCGAAAATTTCATATTTTATTTTCAAACATCAAAAATTAGTACTCTACATTTATTATGTGCTTGTTTGTGGATGGGATCACAGTATGCATGCAAGCAGCAATAATATACAGTAAATATATAATTGAGTATAGATATCTTTGTACCACGAAACATGTTTCCTACTTCACATCAATTTATATGATTTTTTTTCTTATTCGTCTCTCTCTCTCTCTCTCTCTGCCATTATTATTATTATTATTATTATTTACTGCTTATTTTTATTCCGATAGTTTTTATTTGTATGGGCCAGACTTTTTATTTAACAACATGAACCGGCCTCGTTTGAGTACCAACCATTTAATTTATTTTTGTTGGGTTTGGTCGGTTCTTTGCGCATCTGAACGGCTCATTGCTGCCTAAGTGATACGGTTTTATTATATGGTTTACTTAGAACATTTTAGGTTGATGCATCACGTCGTTTTCATTCCACTCTTATTCAATAGATTTAAAGTTATAAAAATAAAGAAGGAACTCGCATGTGTGTTTGTTAGGTTCTCTTTTTTTTTGGTGGATAATTTTATATTGCCATTCTCTGATGATATGAATATAACTGAATGACTACGATAAATGAACGAATACACACACACACACACACACACACACACACACACACACATATATATATTATCACATGTTATTTTCATTTATTGACAAATAAATAGGTAGGCATATCAAGCAATTACGTTTACGTATGCATATTCACAAAAGCCGTCCTTTTTCTATTGCATGACATCGTGATCGAGCAAATGATTCTCCCACTATTTATTTTCATTCTACTTTTTATATTCGTATGTATACATACATTAACGATTTGACTTTTTTTTTGTTATTGTTTATGTTTCGTTGGTAATGCTGCTTTGTCATCTTTTGATCCGAATCTTTCGTCGACAACGACGATAATAATATTTTATTTTCAGTTTTTTTTTTCGTCGTTCATTTAATGCATAAGCTAAAGAAATTATGAAAATCTTGGGCATATAACCATCACTTATTATTTATAAACAAAATGCACGTATGATGAATATATGTAGACAGCTTAAGAGCGGAATTCAATTTCGTCGAATGTCTGGCATGAAAAAAGATAGAGAATGAGAGAGAGAGAGGGAAAAAGAAAGAAATAAATAAATGATTTTTAAACGGAATGTATCAAACATTACGTACAAGCATGCCATTTGTATATACGAATGAATACGCATTTAATTGGATCGGCAAAAGAGAAGAATTCCAAACAAAACAAAACCGTCATATTATTACTACATTGATGCTTTATTTATATGGATACATTGCACCAACTATTTGCTACTCTTCTTCATGACTCAATGATTTTGCTCGATGCAATTTTCATACCAGTACCTCTATGTTCAGTATGCTTTGGATTTATTTATGTTTTTCTTTCTTTTTTTTCGTCTTTCTGTTGTAGCTTTCGTGAACGTATCACAGTATGCGTGTGGCGATTGTTTCGGTTGTTGTTGCTTCGTTCAGAAATCGAAGTAACAGCTAACGATCGCGCAAAAAAAAAAAACGAAAACACAATGCAAAATCAATAAAACAAAGGCTGATAAAAATGTGAGCGATAAATACATGTCGCATCAAACACGTCGACTTTCTAATGGGTTTTACCATTCGCAATCATTAATGATCGATTTGTGAACATTTTCAAGGCGATTTTTTCTTTTTAATCGTCGCAAAACTACAACCAGATAACGAAATTTCTACACTCCAAAATTTTTTTGGATACGGAAAATGAACATCAACAACAAAACAATTTCAATCACAATAACCGAAAAATGATCAATGATTGAAGACACTGTTTATACAACTGAAAGAGATCTGTTTTCATTTGTTTATTTAAATTGTCGATTCAATTATTTGACTTTATAACAATAACATTGTATCTTCCTACTCTTCTTCTTCTTCTTTTTCATCTTTGTCACGTTTTTCTCTTTCACTCTTCTTTTCTCATACTTTGTCGTAAAATACGCAAACATATTCATTAAAATTGTTGTTGATGTCAAACACAGCTTCAATATTCCACGGAAGTTAACACATATTCATGCATAAATTGCAACACTTGTGCGAATCAACGATATTATTATCTAATAAAAATATTGTATTTATATCATTGAAGTAATATACATCGTGTTAGGGTTTGAAAATCAAATAATAAGTGACAAGTATCTTTAATTACGACGGTCACAAAATCACATAATCTTCATGGTTATCACTTGCATTGACATATTTATCAAATGATATTTGGTGTATGTGTGGTGTGTCGCTTAGAAAATGTGTGTGCCCGATGAATGGCCCATATTCAAAATGAATTGTCGACTAAAAAAATGAACAACGATATCGAGTCGAATATATGCTGATTTGATTTGCATTTCGGTGCTCTTTTAAATTGCCGTTTCCCACAATAAACATTTTTTTTTTAATGCGATTATTGTTTGTTAAAGGCAGGAACAATTTCGAAAATGCATAGACATTATTTTCAATCATTCATCATTTTAATTGAATATCTCTGTTCATCGTAATTGAATTATTTTCCATGGCAAGCAATTACATTATTATAAGGTCACAAGGCATTTAATGACTTTGGTTTTTATGATGGCCTTTCAATATTAAGGAAACTGTATCAGACAAACGAAGGATGCACACGATGAATATGCATGCGATGAAGGTACACCAACGGTTGTATAGCTCATTGGCAAAATTAAATTTCACCGCATATTCAATTATCATTTCAAACCACTCACTCTCCCTCTATATCTCACATACACATGAATCGTCGTCGTTGAAAAAATATTTTTATCACAAACATTTTTTTATTGACATAATATTTATTTAAAAAAAAACAAAACCAATGAATCAAGGAAAGCCAATCAAATTAAGATAATTTTGGCATTTCCTGCAGATAGGTTGAATGATTTACGTACCCAAACTTAAACAATATTGTAACCATTTCGCCCTTTTTTCGATACAAAATAAAAACTCTATCTCTGTTTATCTTTTGTTTGTTTTTTCAAATCGATTTATTGCAGTCGTATTCACAGTTTATGAAACATCACAGTCACACTTAGAAGATGCAGTCTTAGCTAATAAAAAAAAAAACACGGAATTTCAAAGAAAATAAAACAATCACCAGTTCAGTTCAGTTCGATATAAATTCCGTGTGTATATTAGGTAGTGACGACAAAAAAGAAATTCTGATTATTTTAATTCACTAAACGCGCAACACGACTCGCATACGTTTCGGGATAATGAACATTTTCTCGTTATGGGTGCACAGAAATCCGTAGCTTTTGGATCTAGGGTGTGACTCAATATTTATTTTTTTTCTCTCGCCCGTTCGCTTTTCGCACAACCTCTTCACCCTTGTGTATACTATCTCTGCGAGACTGTTGCGAAGAGCTGAACACACAGCACACCGAGGCACATCGCTCTGATTTCGTTCGAATGACATACATATCATCCATCGCAATGAGTGAACGTATGGGTGAGCTTGTGTGAGTGGAATGTACGTAAGACTAAACATTTGAAATAAATGCGGTTTACTTCACATGCCACCCAAATTGAGCCACTTCGCAAAACGTGCAAGGATTTCTTTGAGAGAAAAAAAATATGGTAAAAACCCTTAGATTCTAAATTTATTTTGAGAACTATTTCCGAATTTGAGTGTAATTTTGAACAAATATTTGTGTAGAAGGAGTGTTGGTTTCAGTTTAGGGGACTGGCGTTCATGGCTGAATATACACACTGCACTGCACTTGGACATACAAACAATACACAGACAAATGCACATTCATACATATAGCTGACCGAACGCGCATACGGCAAACACTAAGTCACGAGCTATTAAAACGCTCTCGCTTCACACATTAACCAAATATGTCAAATTATCCGTACACACGAATACACACCCAAAACATTCATACTCGCATTTATATCGTGAAAACATGCTGTAGTAAAACATGCTTCTTTTTTTATACTGCTGCTGCTGCTGCTCTCAACACAAGTCGCGTACGGAATACGACACATAGTACACTATTGAGTCCTTATGTATGCGGGCATATGCGAGCAATGCAAACATTTATGCTTACCATTGAAGAATTTCAATTGACTAATCCAAATTGATGCGAAGAAAGTGATCGGGGACTGTGATGGAGTTATGAATTCGTTGGCTCACTTTATAGATAATAATCAAATTACATTCACAAAAAATTTCGCTTTTGTTTAGCGTTTTATAATTCACTTAATCTCGAGTATGTAGACTCGCCGAAAATTTTTATTTTTATTTTTTTCTGTCTATCTATCTATCTATTAATCTATTATTGTTTAAATGCGATAGATTTCATTTGTTCCTTGCTCATGTTTGATGTTTTGTTTTGTCATGCATGCACAACAATGAGATTGAAAGTATTGTTTGGGCACCACTAAAAGTGCATCATTTCTATTAGCAAACACAACAAATTGCATTTTGGACACAATTTTTCATCACGTTTGAACATTTGAACAACAAAATATTGACTCCAATATAATATTAACACGTAGTCGATTTTGATTGTGATTTCTGTTGTATATATGTTTATTTTTTTTTTGTTACTTTGACTTTTCGCCAACAGGAATGGTATTTTGGAACACAGATTTTTCAATGACAAAATACAAAATGAATATTTATTGAAGAATACACTAAACACTGGACATGTTACCAATTGCGATAAGCAATCTATATAGATGAATAATATTTTGGCACAATTTGTTTTATCAAATCGTCGCTGGTTCAATTTTTTCTATTATTTTGATGTTTATTGTTATTATTGTTTTTGATGGTGGTCTTTAAAACATTTTTTATAATAGAGAGTCCGCCATATTTGAAACACATTTTTCTCTCTCTTTTTTGCATTTGAGTTTTTAGTACATCGCCGACGTACGCCGATAGAGGGCGGATCACATCATTGTGGATCATTTCGGTTGATTATTGAACGAATATTTATGCATTATTCACATTTTCACTTTTATAATGTGAGCATATGTTCAAACTGATATATTCAGCGATTGAAACAAGTCATTTTGGACGTAGTTTAAATTATAATTTAATAAAAGTCGTTGTATGTTTCATCATTATATATTGAAATGAAAATGGACAAAAATACTTTTAACTTTGTTAGTCTTTCAAACTTTATTTACAAATTTTTACTTATTTATTCATGTTGAACAAACATCTCAGTAATTTTAAATTGAGTCGATAGATGTCGCTATGCATCAACAAATATATTTTGAATCGCGATTTTTCATTCAATACATTTGGCGCCAAATGTTAATAAAAACAGTTTATATCATAAATTGTACATGTAGCTCGTTTATATTTTGCTTTATTATGCCATATTAAAATTTATACATTCAGAAAAAGACGTAAAAATCAAAAAAAAGGTCTGATATACAGGAATGCCGCTGTAATTTGGATTATAGCCTCTGACTGGATATTTAGATTATGAAATACAGTTGAAATTGGCCTTAAAAGGAAAAAAAACATCGATAAATTTTACTTCTTCAATCGACGGATCTAAAATGCATTTCAAATGTATTACTACTTACAGATATGCCAAGCTGCCAACCAGTACCGGCTGGATTTTTTTGTGTTACGCCACTTCGTCTGCATATAAAATTACTATTTGACACAGCCCAAACATTTGTATCAGTTACGGAAACCGATTTGAATCCAATTTTTCCTTCTTCATGCGGTGGATCATTAGGAACATTTTGCAAAATTTGCCAATGAGATCCTTCCGGAAATGAATCGCATACTTCTCGCCGTACAAGCATTTGACCTTGTGAATCGATCACCCAAATTCCGATCGGTCCGACTGATATTTGTTTTAGATTGGTTCCTTTAGGCGCATCCTCTATCGCCTTCCAATAGGTGCCACATTCATTTTCGGACGAGAAACCACACCGACGATATGCCGAACCATTTCTTCCGATAGCCCAAACACCAGTCGCCTTGCTAATACTGATTGAAACTAAAGGTTGATTATTTGCAATAATGTGCTCCCAGGACGATCCACTGAGATTGGTTCGTGTAACACCGCGTCGATATAATGCATCACCATTGCTGGCGATAGCCCATACTTTAAACGTATCGGTATTTTCATCATATAGTAGGCTCACATCGATTAATTTTGTATTACCAATTTCGTGCCATGGACCACTGGTTGTGAGGCGACATTTTCGATACCTATGTGTTTTATTTGTTAAATGTCAGTTTCATGACGTATTTCGATAATTCGATAAGATGTGACAATGAATACAAACCATCTTCTACGCCGTACGTAGTCAGTAAATTGCTTCTTTGCATGATAAGATGCTGGAAAATCGACAGCATACTGCCAACCATCTCGATCAACACCACCAGGCGTATGAAAGTCGACGAGCCAATCAGAGATCTAGAACGAATTATCGGATTTAAATCCACTAAGTGATAAATTTACAACAAATTAAAAAAAAAAAATACCCAGTGCCATCGAGATGATAATAGTTTTGAATTTTCTTTGCTTCTCTTTTGTTTACCCGTTGCATCACTCCATGCTGGTCTATCGGTTGGTAGACCATGACTTGTATAACCTACATTGAAAAATATATCTTTAGATTTTCCGAACATAAATATTATAAATGCAAAATTATCGTTTCAGCACCTGTCAATGGGTTCCATCTTTGGTTTTCGTATATAAAGTAGTTTTGTGTATCAGTCATTGCATTGATTTCACCACTAGAATTCAAACCCCTCGAAAAGGCTCCTCCCACTCCATTGGTATAATAATATGCAGTATTATCATAGCTTATTGCCCATACAATGCCAGATCGGCTAGAGACTATTTTACGAAAATGTCCGCCAATTTGACGCCAAAACATGTCACGCAACTGAATAATCACCTTGAAATATACAATTAAAGTTGGACGTTAAGTTTTTACCGTTTTCATTGGTATTGTGTGGTTTGCTCTCACCCTTGGACTTTTATATTTAACATTGTAGATTTTCACTCGGCCACTAATGTACAAACTGTTAACAGATTCTGGGGGCAATCGGTGCTCGAAAAATATAAATTCCAAATTGTCCACGAAAAATCTTAAGCCGCTTGCTTCGCATCTGTGTGTATTTAAATCAATAAAATTGTTAATACTTCATTCACTTTTTCACGGATAAAAAATAAATAAATAAAAACTAAATCAATAATTAACCTAATTTCCAGTTTGAATTCAGTTCCGGGTGCGAATACCATTTTATCAGTTCTCAATTCGGTTTGCCATTCGGAATTTTCCATTGTATTCAGTACAATGAGCCGTTCATTGAATCGTGGATTCAGATGGCATGCAACGTGCCGCATTTTTTCGACGATGAATCGCGTTTTCAATGTCGAATGGCATTGTAAATCGAAACGAATTTGACTAGCATCATCGAAAATGCAACCATTTATTTCTAAAATGCTGCCAAGCGGCATACCATTTGGAAGAGTTGAATGGTATGGCGTTTCTGCTCCGAGCATATTGATTTCTTTTTCGTATAATTTGATGTCTTCTTTGTATTGTGCAGATTTCAAATTTGACGGATCAAATGTGAAAACTTCGCCCAAATTAGTGGTTATCCATCGTGCATCATCAGCTGGTTTTCCGTGAATATCATTCAACTCACAACATATCGAGGTTAAATGTGATAACCAGTCTTCCATTTCATCATCATTTGAAAACTGTAATTTCAATGCAGATGATTCGCTCGATAATCGTGGCGCGTATAAGGCAAGCCGAGGATTGCCCGGTTCACTACAACACATTACACATATTATTTCATTTAAGGATAGCTGCATTTTAGTGGACACACCGTCCAAATTTAGAATTGTCAATGTTCCCGATCCTGATTCAGTCGTTGTTAGCCATTCCAATTCCATGAGACAGTCTTCGAAGATGTCATTTTTCGCAACTTTTGCCTCGATACTCTTAACCTGTGGAATCAGAAAGGAAAATTGGAAATGATGGAAAAATAATCATTATATTTTGATACTGACCCACGAAGACATCTCAATCGCTTTATCGTAAGTACTCGTATCAAAGCCATTCAGTCGTTTTTTTAGCATTTCAATCAGTTTGATGCGCCACTCTTTATTCAAATCAATCGATGAGTCCGATAGTGTAACAGTGTCTTTAAACCAATTTGGTAATTGGCTTGGTTCTAATAGAACGGCGCCCGCCGTACAATTTGTCCAAATCGTTTCCGATTCACTCCAATATTGTGATCCATATTGATCATCTTCTTCGCTGAAAATGCACGAGCCACGATTTGAATCGGTTTCAAAGACAGTTGAATCGCTTTCCGGATGAGCTTCAGTGCCGACCATTGAACCAACACTTCGTACGGGACTCCATGCACGTGGATGCTTTGACGAACGTTCATAATGTTTGCCCGATATTTCGGAGACATGTTCGGTTGGTGCGCTCGACGCTGTATTCTCCATCATTCGAACTTTATAACGATTATCAACTTTGTCATTCAGACTGGCCGGCGGCGAGTTCAAGTATTTGGGCTTTTGACGAAAATTTGGAGCCGAATGGGCAGCATCTTCATCGACAGCTACATTTTCAACAATTGCTGATGTTTCAACACGACCTCGTTCCTTATAGAGCGTATTTATACTGCGATTGCTTTGTGCTGGTGATTCAGAGCTTCTTCTTGAGTTCAAAGATACGGTACTCGATGTACAACTTGTATATTGCAATGGACATTGTATTTTAACCCAACGTTTACCAGTCAGATCACTTGGTGAAACACCCCAACGAAAGTATAAGTATCTGAAGCGAAAAAAAAAAATCTATTTTATAGATTGAAAAAGATAATCAAATGACATGATTAAAAATAATCTGGTTACCTATCATCATCTGCGCCGATGGCAAATACTTGATCGTTTGCTGCCACCGAAACTTGTGAAATATTTCCAACCATTTCCACCCAACCATTGCCAGTAGCTGCTTCTTCACTAATTCCGCATATATCACCTTTTATGCCACGTCGAAACCACACATGATTATCATTTGTTACACACCATACGGCATTTGTTCCCACCGAAACTTGTACGATTTTCACATTTTCACCGGGAGGACTGATTTCAATCCATTTGTCACCAATCAAATTATCACTTCGTATGCCTGTGCGTACCAACGCCCGTCCACTGTATAAAACGGCCCAAACTAATCCCATTGTACCTTAAAGAGAGCGATGCCGAATTAACGTATATGATTTGTTTTCTTTTAATCAAAATAATTTACCAGCACTAATATTCAATATTTCACCAGTTGGTGTTGGAATAGCTGTCCATCTTTTTCCTTCCGGTGACACCATACTTACACCAGACCGATGCATTACTCGGCCATGCGCTGATACGGCCCATACACTTAACACCGGACTCTGTGATTCCGATCCAATGCAACCGATTGCAACATCCACAAACGGTTCTTGTGTTGCATCTTTGTGTAATGGAGCGATTGCACACCATGAATTAAGTGCATTATATCGTCTCGTTCGTACCCATTTCCGTCTTCTCACGCATGAATTCCACGATTTTTTTGGATAAAATTTTGTCGGAAAATCTATTGCATACGTCCAACCATCATGGTCCAATGGTTCTCCATTCAATGATAAATCTAGCTGCCATTCTCCTGTTAATTCAAACATGTATACGATTCTCATTACAAAATCAAATTTAAATTGAAATTTTTAGTTTACCTTCCCAAATCCAGCACGCGGATGGAAGTCGAATCAATTCGATGGCACGATTTTCGGTACCATCCTCACTTGAGAATTTATGTCGGTCAGTTGGTAATAATCGATTTGCGAATCCTTCGATTGGAAACCATCGTTCATTTTCATAAGTCACCTCTTTCACACGGATCGGTATGTCCAGACCAAAAACCAGCACATACACTTGCCGATCTCCACCAATTGCATAAATAATATTTTGTACCGTTGAAATTTTCTTGAAATCTAATCCAGAGTATTGAAACTCTTTCCAAACGGTACTTCCAGTCGATAGCGCATAAATTCGTCCCTCATTATTTGTGGCGAATAGCAACGTATTTGGCATTTTATAAACAGTGTTGAATCACTCTATAATTTTTTTTTAAATTTGACTTTTGATGTTCAATCCGAACGAAATAAATAGATGCTACACTTTTCAAGTGTTTTCATTTTTTTTTTTAATTATACATAACATGCAACAAAATTCTGTTTCAGTTTATTTTGTTTTATGTTTTATTGTCAACTTAATGCTAAATTTAAGTGCTTCTTATCTTAGATATGAACTCGGTTGAGTTTATGTGCCTTTGTTACAATGGCACACTCTTCAGATCTGTTAAAACGAAAATCAATATTGTCATAAACAATATGTATTTCATATGGTGCTGGAATGTCAAATTTCTGTATCGAAAACATTGAGTGTTCTAAAATAAAACGTCGCACAGAATATGACATAAAACGTCAAACAAACGATTGAACGATTGAACGATTGAACGTTCTGTATGAACGATACATTTTACGTAGACATCCATTGTTTTATTTTCATTCACGATATCAATGAACTGATTACGATGCACCTATTGCCTATGCACATTTCTGAGTGTAAATAATAATATTGACATTGCAATTTAAAAAAACGTTCATTTGAAAATAAAATCTGAACGTTTCGTTTGTAAATATTCAAATAGTACGAATTTCGTGGTGAATTGTGATCAATTCAATTTTTCATTTTTTTTTAATTTGAAGATAAAATTTGATTGAAGATAAGAAAAACACTCGGAATTTATATGACAAATACTTTTATTAGCCTTTTTTCTCTGGTTTTTACATTAAATGCAAATTGAACATAAAAACGAAATGACAATCGTTTATTCCATTGTTGCCGACTACAACCGTAACAACGATGACGTTCCAAAAGTCAAGATATTCATGAGCACCAATACCAATTTTAATCAGAATTGATAATGCAAAGTGATATAGAGCGTTTCGAAATAAATAGAATATACACACTTGTATTGCCCGTAATCAGTCGGTGATTCGTTCAAAGTGCACAACATTTCATACTTTCCAACGATATTTCATTTGCAGAACGAAAACAATGGACAAAATTATTAAACGAATAATCGCCACAAAAACGGCACCTGAACCAATTGGCCCATATAGGTAATATGTACTGATAAACCAATTTCCAATATTTTTAGTTCACATTTATTTATTTTGTTATGTTTAAAGCCAAGCCGTTGTTGCTGACAAGAATGTATATGTATCGGGTGTTATTGGTGTAAATCTAGAAACTGGTGCATTGGTTGATGGCGGAGCTAAAGAGCAGGCCGCAGCCGCCTTAGTTCATTTGAAAAATGTGCTCCGTGCTTCAGGATCCAATTTGAACAATGTGGTTAAAACCACGGTATTTTTGCAAGATTTTAACGATTTTCCTGTGGTCAATGCGGTCTATAAAGACGGTAAACGATTGAAAAAAATTCAAAAATGCTCATAAAAAAACTAAATATTTTCATTATTCAAATTGTAGTATTTGTACGAAATTTCCCGGCACGATCTTGTGTACAGGTAGCCAAATTGCCGCTTGGAGCTCTTGTCGAAATCGAAGCCATCGCATTTTTAGGAGAAGTAAATATATCAAATAAAAACGTTCAAAATCTTTTTGAAACAAATACCAAACTTTGAGTGTATTTGAAAAGTTCAACGGTTAAAGAGACCCGATTGTGATTAGGGGAATTTTTTTTTTTAAATCACTCACATATAATTGTTGAAATTAATAAATACAACCTATTCTGATGGTTTCTTTTCCTTATTTTTCTTTATTTGCAGAATTGAGGCTTATATTAACCGTCCTCCCCTTTACGATTTAGACATTTACGTTAGTCGTATGACAATTATGAGAAATGTCAAATTATCTATAATCACAATAAAGTGTCGTGCATCGTAGCGCAGTAATTTGTTTTATTTTTAATCTGAGTTCACTGTTTCATTTTGTAATGTCTTGAAAATGCGAAATTTCGTCATTATTTTTTTAATACTCGCAATTGAAATCCTAGTCACTGCTCAGGATTTTTGCAGGCATCCATTGTATTTTGAAGATGAGTTAAAAACGTGCGATCAAAACGACTTTTGCTTTTCATTGGACGAAGATAGAATTCATACAAAATATTTTTCGACAAAAACTGCATATCGAACAGAAAAGTCACGCGACAAACGACATGATTTTGAAATCGAAGGTAAGAATCTTAACAACCATTAGGCCAATGAATTAATTGAAATCAATTTTGAAGATTGCACTCCTTCAAATGTTTGGCTTTTGATTCGACATGGAACTAGACTCACAACTGCCAAGGGCATTAAACGTTTTAGCCAAATGGAAAAGGTAAATGGCTATTTTTAACGAATATTCAATTTTTAATGCAGACATTATTTTCTAGTTTCGAGATGAAATAGTCAAGAATGCTGAAAAATTGCCAAATCTACCATTGTGTCAAGAGGATTGGAAGCTATTGAAATCCTGGAAGTGGAACAATAGCATCACCGAAAATCAAGGAAATAATTTGGTTACACAGGGATTCAATGAGCTTAGGACGATTGCACACAATTTCAAACAAAACATACCAAATCTTTTTTCACCACCATATGATATCAGTACATTCCATTTTCGACACACAAATACCGAACGAACACATTCCAGTTTTGGGGCATTTTTTGATGGCATATTTGGCGATAATACACATAAAATGATTAATGCGAGAAGTCCATCAAATCGTCCAGATTTATTGCTTAAAGCATATGCAAATTGTCCGTTGTGGATCGAGCAAAAGAAGAAATTGAAACAGTCCGATTCCGAAGTGAAAAAATTTGAAAATTCAATGGTGTTTAAGAAAATGATTGAAGACATTGATTCGAGATTGGGTTTTGATGGAACATTACAAATGAGATCGGTTAAAGACATCTATGACATGTGTCGCTACGAACAAGCGTGGCAAACGGACAAAGCAAGCAGTTGGTGTTCAGTAAGTATACCGAAGGTCACTTGATTATCTTATCATTACACAAATATTTTTCTATTATCTCCAACAGTTGCTGACTCCGTCTCAAGTGTACTTACTTGAATATCTAGAAGATTTGAACTATTTTTATAAGTCAAGTCATGGCTCAAAACTCAATAAAAATATCAAGTGCTTTGCAATGAAAGACATGCTAAGACGTTTATCAGACGATAATAAGCCAAAAACCACTGTATATTTTAGTCATTCGGCTGCGGTACAATTATTTCTAACCTCTTTAGAAGCCATGAAAGACGACGTCAATTTAACAGCGGAAAATTTTGCAAAGAGTACGCTTAGAAAATGGCGAACAAGTAGGGTGAGCCCGTTTGCAGCAAATGTCGCCGTCGTTCGATACAAATGCCCATTGAACGATAAAGTGAAATTTTTTCTAAATGAAAATGTTTTACATTTTGATTGGTGTACCGAAAATGGTGTGTGCGATTGGAATGATGTCCAAGAAAAATATGCTTTTTACGCACATACAGATTGTAATAAGGTCTTTTGTTCTAATCAACTGTGATAAAATAATTCAAGAAAAAAAATACATTTTAATTTGTTGTTTTTTATAAGAAATCTTTAATAAATTTTCAAATTTTTGATTGAACAAAAATATGTTTTATATATTCATTTTACACGATAACTGGGCGTCATTAATGGCATATTACGGTAATATCAGTATTTACAACAATTTTTTTCAACGATCGGAAAAATGAAAGATTTTTCTATAAATGGTATTAAACTAATGCCCAAGTATAGTAAAGCCCCGGGAGTAATTTATTTACTCCCCGGGAGTAATCTATTGACTCCTCGGGAGTAATCTATTGACTCCTCGGGGCTCGGGGACACAAGTGCCCGGACGGACGGACAAAAACAGTGACGTACGGTGAAAAACAGTTAAAGTTAAGTTAAAGTATTTTACGTACGGACGGTCAAAATGTCCGTACAAACACGAGGAGCGACATTAGTGCCCGTACGGACGGTCAATTTCTTTTTTTTTTTGTGCAACTATAGAAATGAACATATATATGTTGAAACATTGTTCATTTCGTATTTTGTTAAAATTGGTTATCACCGAGGTTTATTTTAATTTCCCTATTACCAGAGATTCTAAAAATTGATTCGTCGTTAATATTTAATTTGTGGCCGTACGTCAAACGAACATATATCTTTTTTTGAAAAATAAACACGCACAGACGGCGAAGAGTCACGAGAAAAACATATCAAAACATAGTTCGTAACCTGGGTTGGCAAATCTACACGATTTTCAAAAAAAAATTTAATTTACGTAGAATATGTCCGAGAATGTGATTGTCCGAGAATGAATGTGAGTCTTCTCGTGAGAGTTTATTGAAATGTAACACCGCCATACAAAAATTGCTGACAGTCAAATTGACCCGAGGTATATTCTTTTGCAAAAAATCAAAAATATAATCAAATACCGTTTTTTGTATGTAATGAACCTTTATCTTTGTAAACACAGTGAAAATATTACAAATATGTGACATATGTGTATGGGCGGCCGATATGTAAATGGCACCATTATTCACCAATGACACCATGACAATTTTGTATTTTATAAGCACAAACAGGCGCCAATTGATAGTTTATTTCAAGGCCTTTCCAACGATATTCAAATACTATAGTCTACTAACTGTAAGTCAAGGGGTTGAGCCTCAGTAGCCGTAGGAAAATTGACCATTATTCAAAATTGAAAGGCCGGCTACGGCCAAAATGGCGGCAGGATCAAAAAGTCGTAGAACAATAAATGTTTTGCTTATCTTGTACTATAATCCCTGAAAGTTTGAAAAAGATGGGTACTAAGTTTTACGCGTATGTAAAAATACACATGTGATACATAAAAATATGTACATATGTGATGCATATACTTATGTGAATATGTGATACTTGAAGTATTAATGTATATTGATATATAAGTATCAGTATCATAGAAATAAAACTGATCATTTATGAAATAATTGAGCTGGTTCTTAAAATAATGACTGATTTCCATACAAAATGCACTATGGGTCAATTTGACCCATAGAGACGGGATTAAGTAAGATCTCTAATACAGTAGCTTTTTAAAATGAAATCTGTCACACTAACGCCCTCACTTTATGTTTTGGCGAACTAAACAGAATAAAGTTTAATATAAAAGTAAAGTCTCCATCAGGATATTTTATACAGCCGGTGTCAAGATCAATAAAACTGTTAATAGAATCTGCCATTTTTACGCAATTTTGCGATGTGATTGCGAGATTAAGAATATAAATAAAATAAATGAACGGAATAAACGAACTTGACAGAACAAAATAATTCGCACGAGTGTATGACAAGTATGTAAGAGAACAATAACATTACGTTTTGTCAAATGTCACACTCACACTTATAAGTTTACGTATGGAGATTTTAACAATATCATTTCTACAAGACCTACACACTCTACACCCGAGGCTTTTTAAGTTAAATTAAAACGCATATAAATTTATTTTTTTAAATAGAAATTATCTATTTAAATAAAAATTATATAATTTGAAAAATTTACTATAGAAAAAACTATTATATCACGTTTAGAATTTGCGACATATAATTTGAAAAATTTAATAAAGAAAAAACTATTATATCACTTTTAAAATTTGCGACATATAATTTG